ATCATGGACTACACAGACCAGGGACAGGAAGGCAAGACCCAGGTGCAGAAGGACCGCTGTTCTATGTTGGATGTGCATGCAGATTGCAACTTTCCATTAGAGACATGAGCGATCTCAGATTTGTTCGAATTGTCGGAGCTCTGGCATTTCGGTTCGGGTGCCTGTATGAGTGAAGCCTTCCTTTTCGGCTGCAGTCGGTCAAGTAGGTTAGGCAGCATGGCAGCTTGGTGTTATGCATATTAGCTGCTGCAGTAGGGGTTCCAGTGTCACAGCCCAGTGGCTCGTAAGAGCCGAGACAGTGCTGTGATTCCTGATCGATGCTCGACGTGGTAAATTCCATCTGGGCGCTGTTGGTTTGCGCACAACCCTTGTGCACAGCTTCTGTCATCTTGCACTGGCCTCTGGCCCCCCAAAAATCAAATCCGACACCATCCCTGTAGCGGTTGAAAACCACTGGCACCTTGTGCAAGTTTTCGACAGAAACTTGAGTCAGAATCAGTTGCTGATCTGGCCACGAGGCCTGGGAATGGGTAGTGATGTTTTGATGCGTTCCACCGACGAGGCACGGGGTGCCCCTTCCGCACCAAAGTCACAACCATCTGCGCTTTTGGGCAGACACCCAGGTTTAAAGACTTCTCCCTGGAGATGCGAATCATACTGGGATGAACGGGCAAATTGGCATCTCAGACGCTCCTGGACTTTTGGAGCTGGACCCCAGGGAACCCAAGGTTTCTGCTTGGGGTACCTGCAATGTCTCCTGGGAGTTTCCAAGAATTAGGGGTACCTTATTTTGTGGCCGCTAAAATAAGGATCCAACGATTTAGGAATAAGGATCCTACTACTTAGGGTACTAATACTATGTCAGGATCCCTGATTTTCGGAAACTCCCTCCTAGCCTTTGCTCGACGATCATAAAATTGGAATCGCCAAGCACCGTGTTCTTTGAGGACAGAGAGGCCCGTCCCTAAACCCTAAACCCTAAACGGAGGTCCCTAAACCCTAAACCCTAAAAGGAGGTCCCTAAACCCCAATCCCTAAAAAATCATGTCTGAAGTCTGGACCTTGGGCTTAGGATTGCTAATAACGGTGCACGTCCACGAACCTCACCTCCAGAAAATAGCAGATAAATCCGTCGAACAGAAGCTCTGAAAAGCGAGCAGCATTCTACTCGGCAGAGAGAGGCTTCGTTCGGAAGTTCAAATCCCTCCTTTCGACAGCGCTGTCCATGGCGATGAAAACTTGAAACTCGAAGCAGGCTGGTTTCAGAACATAGGGGATTCGTTTTTAGGGGGTCCCTCAAGTACAGAATGACAGTATCTCGGCTCCTGCACCCTAGATCCTAAATCCTACATCCCAAACCCAAACCCCAAACCCTAAACCCTATATCCTAAGCCCCAAACCCATAGTCCCTTTGAGCCCTATCGTCCCCCGCATCCTGTAGTCTCTGAAACGCGAAGCACAAGCCAGACCCGGGCCTGGCATCCACCCACGCGAGATCACCCCAGGGGGATTTAGGGTTTTAGGGTTTAGGGTGAGTAGGATCTTTTTTTAGGGTTTACTTGGAGGTTCATGGGTAGTTATATTCGGGGTGATAAGTCCCCTAATATGGGTTACAAGTATAGTTACCCTACTTACAACCCTACTTATAACTACCCATGAACCTCCAAGTAGGGGTTTAGGGTTTAGGGGTTTACGGGTCTGGGAGTCTAGAAGGGTGTTTAGGATTTAGGAGAGTAAGGTTTGGGGGTTCCTTTGACGGGAGCTACAAGGGTTTCCTTTAATTCAAGGGATCCTTTAAGGGATCTATAACGGCTCCTTTAAGGGACCTATAGGGTTTAGGGTACCATAAGGGTATTAGAGGGTGTAGGGTTTCCTTTAATTCAAGGGATCCGTTAAGGGCTTATAGCAAGGAAGGGGTTACAGTCTTCGTGCTCGCTTGGTTTCAGGGCTTTTTGTTGAGGGGCTGTGTCCTCCTGCTTCGGGTTTGGGGTTATGGAGTCTTGTGGAGTTTCGGGTATAGGGCTTTAGAATCAAAGAAAGACACCGGTCATTCTCTGCGTGGGTGTGGCGTGGAAGAGCCTCAGCGCTGGGTTCATAAAAGCTACTCCGAAAAACCTGATTCCATCTTCGCGCCCAGATGAATCTGTCAGCCAAGTGTCATTTACAAGTCGAAACGTACAACAGGGGGAAAGAGGAACAACTCTCCAAGGAATGAAACTTCCAACGCATGGAACACTGCAGCCAAGGATGTACCGGTGATGATATAAATCCTGCATTACGTTAAGGACCCTAAACTATGGGGAATTCTGGTATAGTCCTTATTATTGGGAATGCAGGATTTCTAAATTCAACCGTATCACTCTCAACATCAGCATACAACCCGGGCATTGTGTCCGGAAGTGTCCTGCCTTGGAAACCGGCCTTCAGCTACGACGACGACGACGACGACGACTACTACTACTACTGCTACTGCTACTGCTACTGCTGCTACTACTGCTACTACTACTGATACTACTACTGCTACTACTTACTACTGCTACTACTACCACCACTACCACTACCACTACCACTACCACCACCACCACCACGACCACTACCACTACCCTACCACTACCACTACCACTACCACTACCACTACCACTACCACTACCACTACCACTACTACTACTACTACTACTACTACTACTACTACTACTACTACTACTACTACTACTACTACTACTACTACTACTACTACACTACGACTACTACTACTACTACTACTACTACGACTACTACTACTACTACTACTACTACTACTACTACTACTACTACTACTACTACTACTACTACTACTACTACTACTATACTACTACTACTACTACTACTACTACTACTACTACTACTACTACTACTACTACTACTACTACTACTACTACTACTACTACTACTACTACTACTACGTCTACTACTACTACTCCTGCTGTTGCTGCTACTACTACTACTGCTGCTACTGCTACTACTACTCCTGCTACTACTGCTACTGCTACTGATACTACTACTGCTACTACTTACTAGTGCTACTACTACTACTACCACCACTACCACTACCACTACCACTACCACTACCACTACCACTACCACTACCACTACCACTACCACTACCACTACCACTACCACTACCACTACCACTACCACTACCACTACCACTACCACTGCTACTACTACTACTACTACTACGACCACGACCAGATGCCTTGCACTTGGCTGAAAGCACCCTGGGCACAAGAGGTCTTCACGGGCATTGCTCACCTCAGTGCGTTGCAACTCTCCATCTGCTCCAAGACTTCAAAAGTGGAAAGTGCTAGGTATATGGTTACAGTATAAACTACAGTATGTGTTATATGATAATAGTATATGGTTACAGTATATTATGCTATAATCGCATATAAATACAGCATATGTATTATACGAGTATATGATGGTACGAGATTGATGTTATAGGGATGCAGCAGCCGGCTCCATCAGACTAAGACAGTGCACACAGGTGGTCATGTGATGCACTCTGCAAACTTCCCAGGTGCAGGACCCCCCGATGGTGGTAGCGACACTCCTCCTTCGAATCCTCACGCAACGAGACCGGGCCAGACAGGCTGGGTTCTTGTTAAGGAATATTTTAAGTTACCATAATAAAGAAACCATGTTAGAAACCATACTCTTTACTATAGATCCATACTATGGTAACTTAAACTATAATAAAAAAACCATATCATGTACTATAGACCCCTATGATGGTAACTTAACCTAAATTCCTTAACCATAGATACCTATTAGATTAGACTATGGTAACTTAAACTAAATTCCCTAACAAAACCCCGGCAGGTGGCCCTGCAAAGTGACTGGAACCCTGGCAGCGGTTGCGACCGCATCGCCTGCACAACCCCGGTTTAGTGTTTAGTGTTTAGGGCTTAGGGTTACCAATAAATCAAGAAGAACCAAAGAGTATAGGGTTTAGGGCTTACGGTTTAGGGTTTAGGGGCGTAAGAGATGAAGTTGTGCCGGCAACCAACGCGGTGGGGTTGAGGGTTACAGGTGATCGTTTTGCTTTGACGTGATACGGAAGGCTGCGCGTTTCGTACCACGTATTTAGCGTTCCACCAGGAGCACGCCCAAGTTTCCGGTCAGCGAATGCTTTGACATTCTGCCGGGACAAGTACCGACCAACAAAACTGAAGACGCAAAACAAGAACACTAGCAACATGCAGCAGCAGCCGCAACAACAAATCCCCAAAGACGGCTACCGCTACTGCTACTTCGCTTTCGACTAACACATCTACTCCAACTTTCTTCGGATGATTGCTACGATGCTGCAGGTGCCTCGAGGACTGTGTACCAGAGGACTCAAGGAGAGATTCAGTCCTTGCTTCAGAAAGTCTCGACGCTGGTTCCGCAGCGTCACACGAGACCTGCGTACAAGCAGTGCATGACCTGAACCCTAAACCCTAAACCGTCGATATAGCCTAAACCTTAAACCCTAAACCCCAAACCCCTAAGCCCTAAACCCCTAAGCCCTCGTTCTCAGTTCTGCTGTCAGGACTGCGGGGCTTCGTGATGCGATGGGTCACCCGACGTCGTACTGACATTCCAATCCTAAACCAGAGACTCCAACATCCCTCGATTCAGGGATATACCTTAAATGATATTTGGGGATCCTCGTATTATTTTTTTGTATATCCTTAATTAAGGGACGTTGATATGGGAGTCTCTGGGAAACCCCGACATCCCTAAACCCCAGTCTGTCCAGGGGCCTGAAGCGGGTCAGCAGTCGCGGAGCATCCTTTGGAATTCACGTGGTTCACATCACTTGGGAGTTTCCGAAAATAGGGTACCTCATTTACGGGTCCTTGTAGTAAGGATCCTACTATTTAGGGTACTATATTAGGGTCCCCTATTTTCGGAAACCCCCGAGCTTCATGTGAAGAGTGCCTTTCGAAAAACTGGAGCTCCGGCCTCTGCAGAACTCATAACCAGAACGAAGTAGGCGGCGCAGGCGCCTCCCCGAACTTCGGGGCTACTTGGAGGATCATGGGACTTAGTAAGTAAGGTTATAAGTACCTTAATTGGGGTTATATGTATAGTTACCCTGATTATAACCTAAGTTACTAAGTCCCATGATCCTTTAAGTAGACCCCCCCCGCCCCCACAGATCATGGCAGAGACATGTTTCTGCTAATGGTGCACCGTCAGGAGTTCGTTTTCCTTGACAACGCCTGGCCTCCGATTCCGTTTGCATGGTCGTCGTTCCTCGAATCTGGAAACGCAAAGTAGAGCATCGAAGCATGAGCGTAAAGCACAGCAATACGTGGAATGGCTTCGCAGCGTGAGTACTTGAAGGCACGCGTCGGCTTGCCAGCGTTCCACAGGACGTCGGCTCCTGAAAATGAGGAAAGTAGGGCCATCGTAGGGGATGGAAGTCAGAACTGCCACTCGCAAGTACTTGCATGTCGCACAAATTCTGCAGGGCGGCAAGCTAAGGAAGAATCCCCACAGGGTGTTTGCACTTCGGGCCAGTGCTTGTTGAAGTTGGGGATCAACGTCCATGCGATGCAAAATCCAAAGGCTACGGTGCCATGTAGGGCTTCGTGCTTCGGATGAGGGTCCAGCGTTTCATCTTCAGAGCTATTGCTTTGCAGTTCAAGGGTTACAAAGCCCGCTCATGTAATCGACACGCAAACGCTTTCGGGTTTGGCCCTCCAGCCAGGTTGACCCATTTGTTCATATTCTTTGGCACTTTGTGGATGAAGAATGTGGCGCTGGCTGGAAACTAGAGAGCGAAACTTCTAGAAATCCAGGTGGCGGCCATTTGGCTTTTGGCTGTACCCTTTACTTGTTCTTCTACGTCTAAGCCTGGCTATCAATATGACTTGCGCATCAATCCGCCTCAGTCTCGGTGCGGTACTGAAGAGCTCCACCAGAAACCTGAAAGATGTCAAGAGCATAAGTTTCGCAAACGGCATCCCTGGAAAAGACAGAAGTCGTATACATGTATTGTACATAGATACATATACATATATATATATATATACATACACATATACACATCTACACATCTACACATCTGCACATATACTTATACCTAGACATAGACATATACAGTACATACACATATGCTTATGCATATGCATACACATATACAGATACATATACATACACACATACATACACACATTACACACATTACACACGACACGCACATTACTTTTCACTTTTTCACTTTCGGCGTTGCAGAAGATCCGGCTTCAGCGAACGAAAATGCAGACAAGCTTCGAAGCCCGGCGCTCTGTTGGCGCTGTGCATTGCACATCTGTGTTGAACCCTCCCAGGAGAGGAGGTTTTCGGCACTGGTGCCCTAAAGCAAAACCTCGTTGTGGCTCGCCAGCTTCGTATAGAAAAGCATGTAGATATCTTGAAAGCGATTAGCAACAGTGTCATACGAGGTCCGATAAGCCGGCATGTCATCATCAGCAATCCAATACTCGCAATTATCAACACCATCAAACAAGATAACAGTATAATGGCCACATTGGAGAGAGGGGCCCTGGTGTACCAGTGCTGCACGAAGGTGAAAGACAGTATCGTAAGTTTCAACACCATCCTCAAAGCATGGCAGCTTGATACACGGTTCAGGGATAACAGCGAAACGGCGCTTCACACTGTGACCCTCAGCAGCCTGGTACCTAAATCTCCCCACTTGTATGGCGAGCACTGCTGGCGGGACTGTGGCCGCATGTGCGTAATCCTGATTTCGCCATTCATTGATAAGTTCTTGCACACTCGTACTGTACAGATGGTCCGAACTCACTCTTTCGGGAGGCTGGATGAGGATTGGCGCAGACTCACCCCCGTCCACTATCATTGGCTCACCAGCCCGAGATGAGCGAGCTTGCCAGTACAGCAGCATTTGGTCCGCAGTAAACCTCTGTTCCCGCAGAAAGTGTGCCAGGAATTCTGCACAATCATGTTGGCGTGCAGGTTCCCGCCATTTGCTCATCATAGCCATCCAAAATGGTTGGCTCCACAGGTGTGTGGTCCCCTTCTGCTCAAGCACTCCCCGGATGAACTTGAGCATGGCCCCATCAAACATCGTCTCAAGGCCGCCCCTAAATACAGCAACATACATCAAGCACTTCAATGCCGCATTGGAGTAGCAGTAGTTGCCCCGGTTCCCCAGCTGTAGTGCCCTTATTTCGTGAGGGCTGCCAGCTTTTGTCCCAGTGCACTCCTGTGCATGGTCTCCGCCCGGAGGAACGTACCTGCCGCTACCCAGCATGCCGAGCGCTCCAGTTGATGAAGTCGTCGCCAGACTGCCTGCGCAGCCTCCACCCGATTGCCAATCTCGAGCATCATCGTCAATGTCGGTGACTGGTAGTCCGAGGCCAGTTTCCTTGTCGCATGGTATCTTGACACCACCAAGTCCTGGGGGCATTTGATCAGGATCTCCGCCAAGGCCGCTTGGACTTCCTCTGTTGCCAAAGGGTTGACCGTGGTGTCCTTGGTGTGTGTTCGATTCTCCGCGTCCCATTTGACTCCGTTGATCTGGGTGCCCTCGTCGTTCATCCAACCCAAGGACGCCGCCGTTGATCTTGCCGAGGGGGTAGACACCATCTTGTCGACCTTCTCGATCACCGTCTTGATAAAGTGCTGGAAGAGTAGCACCCTCATCGGGGACGACAGCTTCTCCGGTTCCTTGGCCTTCATGGCATGCCACTTCTGCGCCAGCGTGTAAGTGGATTTCGCCACGCTGTCCTCCATGTGGGTCTGCATGAAAACCACGAAGGCAGTGTCTTGCCGTTGTATCAAGATCTGGGCTTCCTGCCGAAGGATCATGTTCGCCATCATGTTGATCATGGCCTTGCACTCCTCCGGCATCTCTTCGCCACTCCATGGGTCGTGGTGGGGGTAGGGTTGCCTCTTGCTCTTGCCCTTGCCTTTGCCCTTGTTCTTGCCCTTCTGAGCGTGGTTCTCCCATTGTCCCCGCCACTGGCTTGGCCAAGAGTTTTGGCTTTGCCAGGAGGTGTCGTAGGTCTCCTGATCCCTCGCTCGCTTTTCCGGTCCTCCTTTGCCTCGGCCTTCGCTGCCCTTGTTGCCGTCCTTGTGGTACTTGGGCTGAGGCTCGCCAAACCAGGAATCCTGAGCTCTTTCCAAGGGCTCCTCCACCGTCCCGGGGTTCACTGACCTGTTTGGCTGATTGGTCACCTCCGGGGGCGCAAGCGCTCGAAGCAGCTCCAGTTCCTTGGTCGCCTCCGTCATCTGCCTCACAGGCTCGGCATCCACTTCCATGGTCATCACCTTTGATGATGAGGTCTTGTAGAGGGCGTCCTCTGGCTATCCTAAGGTGAAGGTATACCCCACTGAAGATGCCGATGCATGCCTTAAGATGCGCAGATTTGCGTTGATAGACGAGGCCACAGTACTGACAAGGATTGGTGATGCTCAGGTCGCTCTGTACAATGAGTTCCTCACTGCGTTCAATCAGGGCCCTTTGAGCAGGATGCTTGAGAAGCATGTGTCTCTTGACATACTGATGCTTAACTGTCCACAAGTTGCACTCTGGGCAATGCTGGTGCTTGTTGCGAACATTGGGGTGCAAGGCCAGGTCCCTCCACGAGCAATTGCCTGCAAGTTTTATGATCTCGGGATTCTCAATGATAGCATCGCTCTCCACAGGTGCATGCGTAGCGGTGGAGCCAGCTTCAAACAGAGCTTGGAGAGCAGGGCAACTCCTAGCATTGATGTGATAGAAGAATGCTGGCCAGGTCGTGAATGCATGATTGCAGTGTCTACAGAGTGGCATACCGTCTTTGGCATGTGACATAGCCTCCCCTCGTAAGACACGACGGTTTTCAGTCACAGTTTGGAGTTGGGTTTCCTCATCCATATGTTGTCGAAACACATGTCGTTTGAGGGCAGCCTGCGTGCCATAGGCCAGTCCGCATACGTCACAACAGTGCTGTTCCGGAAGAATGTCTTGTACAAGCTGCAGGTGGTTACCAGGAGGAGTCTTGCCTATGTTGTCACAGGATGCCCTGGCTTCCAGAATCTGGCCCCTCACAAAGGCTCGCCATTGTAGTTGTGCGTCACCTGGGCGAAGGAGCACCGGGCAATTTGAGTCTGCCTGAGTGCGTCGATCTAGAGCCTGGATAAGACGACGAAGGGGGTCAGGTAGTCGCAGTCGGCGGGCAAAGTCCTGGTGGGATTCATGGGTGAACATGCTGAACGAGTTGGCAATCGCCCTGGCTTGTTTGAAGTACATGATCATCATCTGTGAGGCCTCGTGCGGTGGAAGCCCTGTGCAGTCCAGTCCGTGTAGCAAGGTTGGTAGGATCGTGCCTTGCCAGAGAAGAAGTCCAAATCTAACCGACACATCGCGGCACTTGAGGATCACAGCCAGCCTTGAGTAGGCCCCTTTGGCCAGGTCCATACGGTGTTTGGCCGTCTCCTGGTCGTGCTTCTTGAAGCTGATGATCATGCCTAGGTATGTGTGTTTGGCAACCACTTTGACATATTCTGGCATGCCATGAATTGTGAACTTGAGGAACTTGCCCTTCCATTGTGGTCTTTCCACCAGGTATCTGGAGAGGCAGGCTGCTGCACCCGGGCCCTGGAGCTCAATGAGGGCAACCGTCTTTTCAATGCTGACTAGTACCCCACGGTCCCTAAGGCCTTTGAGGATATGTTTCATGGAGTTGTACGCGTCCTCCATGTCCCGGCCTGTGCGTATGGTCCAGCCAAAATGAAAGTCATCTGCATATGTTGTGTTGCTTGACGTGATGTCGAGCAGCGGCGGTTTATGGAGTCGTCTGAGCAGCCAGCTCGAATAGATTGTCCATAAGATGGGGGCCAATCCACATCCTTGTCTCAAACCTCGGCCCAAAGATAGGTGGGCTTGGCAATCGCCATGTGTCACACGGATCTGGGCCTGCTGGTGAATGAGCAGGATCAGTTCGATGAGGGCCTCCGGTATTTCCGCCTCACGCAATGCAAGGACTAAGTCGCTCCACGGCACCCTGTCATACGCTTTGGAGATATCAAGCGAGAGGTGCACTCCCCCACACACCTGTGCTGCTCGTCTCCCAGCCCGTCTGGCGTGGAGGTTGGTCGCCTGATCTCCCAGCAGCTTTCGCACCACTGCGCAGTGGCTCGCCACGCGCTCAAGCGCCATACTTAGAGACCTGCCCCCAACATACGCAAACTGAGGCACAGCCTGAAAAGGTAGTTCACCGCATAGGGCTGCAGTCTGGCCGCGATCATCGCTCCTAGAACTTTGGCCTGTAGCGAGAGCAGGTTGATTGGCCGTAGTTGGTCAGGGGAGCACAGATTCTTACCCGGCTTTGGGAGGAGGATGAGCTCAGATACGTTAAAGCCGGCCGGCAGGGTGCTGGTGCCTTTGGTCAGGTAGTAGTTGATCTGCTGCTGCAGGGCTGGTACGACCTGAATCATCGCAGTTTTCCACAACACTGCGTGAGCACTTGTGGTGGGCATGGCCTTACCCGCCGCGAGACGGCCAAGGGCTCGATGGACTTCCTCGATCGTGAAGCACACGTCCTCTGGTAGCATGATGACTGTGCACGGTGGGCCCGAAAATAGAGACATGAAGTAGTCTTTGATTTGCTTGAATTCCGCCTCCCGAGACTGGATGCGACCTTCCTCAGATCGAAGTTGTAGTCGTCGCCTCGCCTGCTTGGGGGCAAACTTCTTCGCAGCTTGATGGATATTATCCGCTTGCACTGCCTCCAGGATACGTAGGGTCTTTCTTCTCCTGCATTCTTTACGAAGGTTGCGAGTGACAGCCTGGAGCTTTGCCGTAGTCGCCCACGCCTTCCACAGCGTGCCCAGGGGGGGGACGTCCTCCGGATCTCTTGGGTGACCTGCAAGGGCTCGTAGCTCGGCTCGGATCCGCCACATTGAGCTGATCGTGTCACGGACAATTATCTGCTGAGTCTGTGTCGCTGAGTCCAGGCCACCATCCTCCGAGGGGCCATGTCCCTTCTGTTGGGCCTGGGCCCATCCTTGTTGCAGGATCTGGTCGAGGCTGTCCGTGGGCGCACACATCTCCAAGGCTGGGGCCACAAGCTGGAGGTAGTGGTCCTTTTTCTGAAGGTCAGCCATCGCCTTCTGAACCTGAGCAGGTCTTTGCCGAATGTGGGTGTCTTTGGGCTTAGTGGGCAGCCTGGGCATGGGGATCGAAGCGTGGACTGGTCGATGTCGGCAACCACTGCAGGGTTCGAACGGTGTCGAAATGGGGCAGGCTCTCCTGGCTGCAGCATCAGCAAGATCATCCCTGGCGATCACAAAATCAATCTGTGTGCCAGTCTGAGCACCCTGCTCACCCGGGGGGATGAAGGTTCGCTGCATCAGTCCTGTACCCGTCCAGGTGTTCAGCAAGCAGCAGCGATGAAGTCGGAGGATGTCCTGGAACGCTTCCTGGTCCTTCTGCTGGACTTGTTGTGTCACCACACCTGGCCCACATATGCCGGGTTCTTCGATTGCCGGAGTGTTTAGGTCCCCTGCAATGAGACATCCGTGCCTTTTTGGCACGGTCCGGAGCCATTGTTCCGTCAGCTTCCAGACCTTTTGCCGTTGCTTGATCAAGGCCGTCACTTTGTGGCCCTCAAGGGATACCTTGCTCGGGTTCCATGAGTACTGATATATTCCCAGGATGTCCAACGGTGCCTCAAAGTACAACCGCACGTGTAGCATCCGACCTGGTAGGCAGCTGACATGGCGGATTTCCGAGTCAGGGATCATGCCCTTCCTAAGCAGACACATTATCCCAGTCCGGTCTGGCCCTGCTGAGTGGATCACGTGGTAGCTGATGTGGCTGTGGTTCGTTGGCGTGGTCACATACTCCATGTCCTGTTTCCAGCATGTTTCCTGTAAGAACAGTACATCCACCGGGTGGCCTTTGTCCGTCTCTTCAGCGAGCCATTCCAAGATCTCAGCGTACTTGGTGGTGCTGAGTCCTCCCGTGTTCCAAGTCATAACTCTGAGTCGTCGATGAGCCCTGCTATTGGGGACGGGCCTCGTCTTGCTCCTTGGGAGCATTCCGGGGTCACCTGAGGAGAGCTGGCTGAAGTGCATTTGTTGCCCTCGGTACCATGTTAGCCCCGAGGGGTTCCGTGTCGCTCTGTGGTACGCTCTGCGGAGCGCTCTCTTCCGAATCACTCCTGGGGGGTGAACCTGGGCTGAGTGGCGGCTAACACCATGCTTCGCCCAATTGTGGTCAGTCATGACCTGAGATGTGGCTTCTTGGTTCCAGTGGTGCTCTGGGAACCAAACCCTCGCATCTGTCGTTGCATGCATGGCCTTTGTGGTATGGATCATGATGTAGAACAAGAAAGTAGAGACTCGTAGCGAGATTGTGTTCCCTCTTATGCAACGACCCCAGGACTTGGGACCTGGGCGGCTCAAAGATGAACTGAGAATACGACCGTGTGGGAGGCATACGGCAGGCAGTGTAGCTCTGTTGGTGCACCTCGGAGGGCACGTCTCCATATTGTGGTGCAACAGGTGTCTGCACTTACACGCAGTCACAAGGAGGAAGGATGACAGGATCACTGTGTCAGGTCTGAGCTGGTCACCCTGCAGGTAGGCAAGAAGCAGGATGCGGCAGACCTGGCTCATCAGGTGGTACACAAGCAAAAAGCATAGTGCCACCAGGCAGGTAGACAATGAGGCCCGTGCCAAGTTCTTCCAGAGAGTCGTGGTACTGTACCTCCCAGGCCATTGGACAATCCCCACTGCTGGAGTGTGTACCAGGTACATGCACCGGCTCTTCAGCAGAACCGCTCCACTCTTTATTTTGTCGCCCAAGGTCATCAGTAGGCTTTCAAGAGGCAGGCTATCCTGGAGGTACTTTCGACCGAGGCCCATTTGCCCTGTGCAACGCCCTCGGCCAATAGTCCTGAAAAGCTCCCTAGAGCATGGCCCCTTCAGATTACGTACTGTCCTCGTGTCGGCGCCTGAGACGGCTGGATGTTCGAGGATGGATCTGTGTGGGGTTCCAATGTGGTATAGCTTATGCTGCCTAAGGTTGGTCACACTCCGTTGCAAATGAGGCTGCGACTTGCGGTTCGCCTTCGGCTTCGGTGTCGGAGGAGGCGCCGTATCATCATCAGCATTTGCCCTTCTCCCACGCCTGGGTCCAGAGTTCCCGGTGCTGGGCCTGGCCGTAGAGGGTTCGCTTGAGCCCGATGCCATCATCGTTCCTGTGGAGCCAGTGTCCTCGGCCTCGTCGCCCAGTAGCTCCGCCAGCGTGCCATCCGCCCAGAGCTCCGCAGTGATCTCCTCCGCATGTTCCCGCGGGATGAGTCCACCACCCCCCGCGTACCGGCTGCGGTTCAAGGCTTCCCCAATGACGGTGGGGTTTCCCGTGTCATCATCCGTAGGGCTTCCTGTCCACAGGGCCAGCTCGTCGCCTGTCTCATTGGCTGCCATCCTTCTGATGTTGGCCGTGAGCATGGGGACCCTGGTGTCCGGTGCCACGATGTCAGAGTCCAGCCGCGTGAGGATCACCTCAGTGGGGTGTCCTCGGCGCAGAAGTGTGTCTGCAATGGCAGCCGACAGCATGTAAGACAGCTGCCTGTCTTCAGCTGCAGGTCCCTCCGTTGCACCACCCTCGTCTTCGCGAGGGCCATTGGCACCCCACCGCAGGACATTCGGGTGTCCATGGTCGGAGCTTCTCATGGGTTCCAGGGTCACTCTGAGTGACGTCAAGGTCGCGCGATCCCACGGTGCATAGCAGATTATCGGCCCAACGAATCCCGGAAGCTCTCTCGCCACTGCCCTTGCCACTCTGTGCACGAAGGCTTGCTCCATCTGGATGGGTCGAGGAGGCGGCGGTCCTGCCAGCGCCTGGCTTGGCGGTCGCGGGGGCATAGAAGGGCACTCCACCCAGACCTCCTCCATCTCTTCTGAGGAGTCAGCCATGGTTGATGCCTCTGTTGAGGCCTTGTGGGCCTGATGGGCCCCCCAACTATGAGCCAACGAGCTGTAACATGGGATATGCTTGGCAAGTTCCCTCTGCAGGCCAGCTCTCAGAATCCCCATTGTCTGACAAAAGCACTGCAGACATGCATGCCATGATTTGCAGGGGCACTGGATTCGCATCGAAGGAGGGGCCGTGTGAGTCAAGGCCGCCTGTGTTACAAACATGCCCATCACGTAGATCCCAATCCCAGCACACAGGCACAGACTAATTGTTGGAAACATGGTCAATCTGAGTGCCTGCTCGGTTCCCGGCAGGCGTCCAGTCCAGCCACTCGTCTGTAGCCTGAAGGCTCCTCGCAGGGTTCTCCTGAGATCTCGCATTGGGCTGACCCGACCTTGTCGGGTGGCTTCAATCCAAAGTCTGCAGGTCAGGATCTTGGCAAAGATAAACACAGTGCAGTAAAGCCAGGGCAAACTGTTTATCGAAGTGCAGGGTGCGCTCAAGTAGCAGTAGTTTACCTGCTCCATTAAGGAGGGTCCATCCCTCATGCCATACCTGAAACGCCCCAGCATACCTCCACTGAATGTCCAGGCGGTGTTGCTTGTGGCGCAGTGCCGTGAGTGAGAGTCGTCTCCACTGCTGTGCAAGAGCGCCCAGCACCACATACCGCACATAATTGCCAATCCTATCACTGTATAGCAGTCTTGCAGGCAGTCGCGGGATTTTGTTGCTGCCATGGACCGCCACCTCAACCATCTTATCTTTGTCCATGGCTGCATGCAGCCACAGCTACTTCTACCTGTCGAGACCTCCCTTGGTCTCAGTCGCTCACATCTAAGCCGAGATGCTTACACGCACATTACACACATGCATACACACATACACACATACATACATACATACCTATATACTTACATATAAACAGACTCCATATATGTATATATTACGTATACGTATATACGTATATATATATATATATATATATAGATATATATATATATAGATATATATATATATATATATATATACATACATACAGCAAGGAAAGGCCAAGCGACCGGGTCGTCCAGGAAGAGGCGGTCCGCGTGCTGTCCCTTTCCGGGGCTGCCCGGAAGTCCATGAGCTGCGAGACGTGCGGCGAGTTCGGGAAGACGAGAATCGCCGCGATCCGCAGGGACTCGGACTCCCTCTGTCGTGGCCCGTGCGAAAGGGTACACGGCCGGGTGCAGCTCAGAAATCGAAGGCTGAGCGTTGTAAGTTGTGTCCGTGGCCAGTCTGGGGGCCCGCGGCGGCCTTCTTCGCGTCCAGTCCTCACCCACAAACATGGGAATGTCTGTCTGTGATCTCGATGCGAGCATCGCTGGAGGCGCGAGCTGGGGCACTTCCTGAACCACTTCGGGCCAGCCGGCTGGTCCTTGGAGGTGGCCTTGACAAGGGCCCAGGTTGGGCCCTTGCCTCACTGCTCCTGGTCTCATTTCTCTCAAGTCGTCAAGAACCGGAGCAGCATTGGCTTGGTAGCCCTGGCTCTGACGGCCTCTGCTGCGGCCCTTTTGGTTTTGGCCTTCTGGGACCTCGTTGATGACAGGCCGCAGCTCAGCCTCTCCGTGAGCAAACCTACAGCGTCGGCCATATCGGCAGCCACCGGCGCTGAACTGCGCACATAGCCGCGTGCTGTACAAATCCGGCTGGGGACGAAGGTCTGCTTCGGAGTGGGCGAAGTTGCATGCTTGCCCTCGGCGACAACGCCCGGTCTCTGCAAACCTCACAGCTCAACGGCGCTTCGCTCCGTTCACTTCACTGCCCTCCACTGTACGACTGAGGCGTCGGCTTACACATCCGTGTATTTTTGAGTGATTGAAGCACCACCTGCGGCAGGCATTTCACAAACAGAAGGACCCAAAAAGCTTGCACACTGCTTGCAAGCGCCTCTGGCTTACTCATTAGGCTCTGAAGCACCAAGGAAAGAAACGACTTCCCATTTCCCTAGGCAAACCCGTCTTGAGCCAGACAAGCTGATGCGGTTCACAGCATGATCCGACATGCGCATGACATCCGGGTTTAGGGTTTTGGGTTTACGGTTTTGGGTTTAGGGTTGTGGGTTTTGGGTTTACGGTTTTGGGTTTAGGGTTGTGGGTTTTGGGTTTAGGGTTTGTTCTTCAAAGCCGCAAGAAAGAAACGACAGAGAGCAGGACTCTTCCAGCTGGTCGACGCCGAAATCGAAGTCATGATTTCCGTAGCAGGCCGTGTGGATACCTGACAAACCAAGGCCTTGTCCTGGCCATTTTCTGACTTCTAGCGAGCAAGCATCCGGCCTATGGCGTTCAAGGCCGGCACCATGTGCCTGACAGGGTTCAATATCCCTTAAGCTTTGTACTTTCGGGTTCCTTCAAGGGACTTATAAGGGTTCTAGAAGGGACTTAAGGAATGAGGGGGACAGTGCCAGGTTCTGGCGCTGATTCCACTGCGGGCATTCATGTACCTTGACTGCGTTTGTAGTCAAGTCTGGGCTGGAGTCCGTTGGACGCGCTTCCCTGCCCAATGTTCTCTTCCTCGATACTTGCACAGAAGAGTCAAACAACTCCACCTTCCGTGCGTGGTCGTGGACCTGGGAAGAAGATTTAGTGGCAAAAGTAAGCTTTGCTCATCGAAGCTCGAGATCGTATCGAGAGCAAAACACAATGGTAAGAGAATATACTGCACCGAATGTCCGTCGGTTTCTGTCGGTTTCCATCTGCTAAATTCACGACAGTGTAGCTGGAATTTGTGATTTAAACAGTGCCTTCCGTCGCACTGAGATATTAGCAGAATCAAAAAACAGCAGGTTAGTAGGGAAGTATAAACCTAGAAGTCAGACATCAAACCCATCGGGAAGCACGCGATCAGACTGAAAAACTCAGAATGCTCGTATTGCCAGCTTCAACACCTAATGGTGGCAGTATCAGAAAGTCAGTCTGCTGCAGAAGCAACAGCTAAACCCGACAAGCAAAAGTACATGAATTGCAAACACGGACGTTCGTGTGCAGGGAATATGTATTGACATACTCACACGACCACTCACAAATTCGACAATAATATGTAGATATAGAACATATAGATAGACAGACTGACAGATAGATACATATGGGAGTTTCGGAAAATAGGGGACCCTAATATAGACCCTAAACAGTAGGATCCTTATTATAGGGCCCCAAAACAAGGTACCCCTAATTTTCGGAAACTCCCATATCGAGAGCCCAGCATGAGGGAGGGATTGAAGGCGTCTCCGCTGAAGAGGATGACTGCCTTCTCAGAGGCTCCAATATCCAAGGAATATACCTGGGGTTCCTTTACGGGATCTATAGGGTTTAGGGTTTAGGGGACTCCACTATCCCTGAATTAAGGAATATTCCTTAAACTTTACTAGGATCCCTAATCCCTAATGTGATTTAAGGTATAGTCCCTACAAAATCTAGGACATTGGAGCCTCTGGGTTTAGAATGATCAGCTCCAGTCAGGCTTTTGCCGTTGCAGAGACTTCCTTCTCATCGCAAATCTTGAACCTTAAACTCTAAACTAAACCCTAAACCATAGTCCGTAACAGGAGCTCATTTCTGCGTGCCTCGTGCTCTCCTCGAGCTAGCGACTCGGCCTGACAACAGCTTGCACAGCTACTCTGCTGGATGGCCTGCAGCACTACTCACATACAGATATATACACATACATACATTCATATATATATATATATATATATATATATATATATATATACATGTATGTATGCACATATACATACGCATATACATATACATAGACATATACATACCAATATACATACACATACACATACACATACACATGCACATACACATACACATACACATACACATACACATACACATACACATATAGATACACATATACATATACATATGCATATGCAAACGCATATACATATACATATATGCATATACACATATATGTATATATATACACTAGAAAAAAACATAAGTATTAATAAACACACAGATAGTTAGATAGGTAGAGAGATACATAGGTCGATAGATCGCCAGACAGATAGGCATAAACAAAACCCTATTCAGCAGCTCCATCGACTGAGAACATATACACACATATGTATATATATATATATATAAATATATAGATATATGAGTGACTAACATAAATATTAACAAACACATATATAGATAGATAGGTAGGTAGATAGATAGATAGATGGGAGTTTCGGAAAATTCGGGTACCTTCTTGTGGGATCCTTATAATCAGGATCCTGTTATTTATTTAGAGTACTATATAAGGTTCCCCTATTTCCGGAAACTCCCAGATAGATCTTCAGCAGCATGGCTGCAACCCTAAACCCTAAACCCTAGGGGGGCTGGCCTTGAGCTCTTTCATTCGTGTCACAAAGCGCGCGATGCCTCCGACGGGCTCCTGATCTGTGGCCACCCTCCGGTGGATTCTCGAATGTAGGGCTTAGGGTTTGGGGTCTATGGGTTCAGGGTTTAGGGGTTTAGGGGTTTAGGGTCTAGGGGTTTAGGGGTTTGGGGGTTAGGCGTCAAGGGTTTCGAGTTTCAGGCTTTCGCTACAGTCCCGCTGAAGTCGTGTGGCACCATACCCTCTGAAGCATGATCTCACTTCCGAGGCCACTTCCTTGGAGCGAGGTTCCACGTTGTATACCTGTGCCGGCAAAAGCCGAATCACAATTGACTCGCAGCCAATGCTAGATGTGGTTTATCAGGACAACAGAGCGTCATGTCTCGGAACGGGAAGCAAGCAGCGTGAACCACTGGGATGAGCTCAGCAGCACCTTGTTGGCTCAGTCCCTGACATCATTGAAATGCAAGATGGTCATTCTCTTTGACCTGGCATCGAACGATCCCACGCGATGCTCCACGCCGGTTTTACGACGATTTAGGCAGAATGACCTGCAAAGGTCGTAGGAACATGATGTCTGTGTCGCTAAGGCCGACTATTGTCGAAGCATCTAAGCACAGAGCTCTTGCTAGTGCTGCGACAATTCAACATGCCCTGAAGTATTAAAGGCATTTTGGGGCTTCTATCCGGGCTTGGGGGTTTGGGGATTTATAGCTCCATTTCGCTCGGAATGGCTGGGAGCACTTCTCACCCCCGGCGGTGTCTGCAACCCAGCGCCCGCTGCCGGAGGCAGCGACCTCCTTCTGCCTTCCACAAGCAGAGAGGACTCTGACTGACTCTGGTTTGAGGGTTTCAGATTCTTCTCAGGGGCTCCGGTACCATTCTTGCAACTTGTCGTTTTAGCTGTTTTGGCTCTTGACGCGCAATGTATCTCGACTTCCTTTGGAAGTTCAATCTCGAACATTGACTGGGGCTTTGCCTCGGGCAACATGTGACCTCGCACTGCATGCTCCGTGGCCATCGGGACGTCCAAAGTCCAAAAGTGAGCAGCCACATTGACACTATAATATAAAATACTACAATATAGTATCATACACTATAATATACTACATTTTGCTATAATATAATACAAGTTAACTTCTACACACAGCACAGTGTCGATCCTCTGGCAGGAGCTTGCACTGGCGAGCTGGCACGCGAAGACTTATGTACAGAAGGCTCATACCCTAAACCCTAAACCCTAAACCCTAAACCCTAAACCCCTAAACCGTAAACCGTTCATGACATGAGAAAAGACCGGATCCGGTCCACCACGTCGAGTCGATGCTGGCCTCAGTTCCGATAGCGTTCATGTACAGTACTTAAAGGTTCATGGGAGTCAGTAAGTAAGGTAAGGTTATAAGTACCTTAATCGGGGCTATAAGTATAGTTATCCTAATTATACCCCTCGTTACTAAGTCCCGTGATCCTTTACGGTATGCCGCCTGGTCCTTCCGCAACTGCCGCCTTTTTGCAAACCGGCTCGAAACTGCACTTATGCCGCTGGTGCCCTTGCATGCTCCCACCACAGTTATTTCGAGCCAAGCGACATGCACCGTGACCTACTGTGGGCAACCACATCACGCCTGAGATCCAGAAATCGTCTCTCTGCACGCCGTGGCCAGTCATGCCACATGGGGGTTTCCGAAAATACGGGACCCTGATACCTCACCCTAAATAGTAGGATCCTTCTTATCAGGACCCCAACATAAGGTACCCTGAATTTTCGGAAACTCTAAACCCTTACAGAGCCCATTATAGTACCTTTATAGTAACCCTTTAGAGGAACCCTACTCCAATTTTCGGAAACCCACCCACTGTCTGGTCTGGAATTTCAGGCCTGACGATTCGACGCCGTCAGCAGACAGCTCCTGGCCAGAACTCTTGAACGGAAGTTCCGGAAACCCATAGCCTGGGTACCATAATAAGGAGACCATATTTAGAAACACTATGTCCCTGTTGTGGTAACAAAAACTAAACTGTTACCAAAAACCCAGTTAAGTTCAGAAGCTCGACATAGGCTCCTTGTAGAGCTGCGCGGCTGGGATCATGGTGTCAGTCTCGGCCTCATTCGTTTGCTACGGAACTGCGGTCCCCGGACCGACCCTTCATTCGTTCAACCATCTCAGCCCGGCACTAAGATCGTAAGCAGCCTCCAGGGTGACAGGTTATGCCAAAAGGTGGCGGGCAAGCTGGGATGGGTTTAGGGTCTAGGGTTTAGGGTTAAAGGGTGGCGGGCAAGCTGGGATGGGACGACCCGGCAACCAGAGACAGATCTCAAGGCGCATGTCATGGCAGCATTCTGTACAATACAGCTAGCAGATGACGGGAGGCTTAAGGAGCATGAAGGTCGAAAAGAGGTTCAGATCATATCTAACATGCTATATTACAATGTAAAATGTATATCACAAAATGATATATAGTAATTATATTGGGGCAGACCGAGCCTGCCCTGTTGGTTCATCTGCCGAAGAAGGCCCCGATCCAAATATTCAGGGCCGTGCAGGGCACGACTGTTGACCCAACCTCAGGCAGGCCGACACGTCCCCGCGAAGCAACACATAGGGTTTAGGGGTTTAGGGCTTCAGGGGTTAGGGGTTTAGGGGTTTCGGGTTTCGGGGTTTAGGGTCTAGGGCATGCGCTGCAGTCGATCGCGTCCAAGTTCATGAATCCAAGCAGCAATAGACCAAGTCACGGAAAATGAAATAATTGAAAAAGTAGGTCTGGAAAATAATCCTCAGCTGCATCTCCATGCTGTGTGCTCTGTGTGTGTGTGTGTGTCAGTCCTGGCAACTGCTCTCCGAGAATCCATTTCCTGCGCTCCACAGCAGCAGCTTCCTCTCAATCCAGACAAGCATGCGAGAAGAGACAGGTGCCATGACGCATTCAACGAAAGCCAGAAGCTTCCCCGCCAGTCACGATCACGACATGACTGTTCAAGAAGAGCTTACCTTGTTAGCTCCCCCTAAACCCTAAACCCTAAACCCTAAACCGTAAACTCCAGACGGCCTGGTCCAGTTCGTCGACGCACGGCTCAGGCTTGTTCACCACGTTTTGCAGCACTTCCCACATTGTGGGAGCTGCAACAGGGTTCTGCAGTCTGCACCGAAAGGCAACGAAATTTAGAACAACAACAATGGTCATGAGAAGCCTGGGCCGTTCGTCGACTCTGCCAGAAGTTCCATCGCCACGTCTTGGGGGGTACGCCGCAACAGCTGCGCTTGCTTGGAGATGCCTGCGAAGCGTATGCCAGTATGTGCCACAGTGTGGGGTGCCCCGCAATGCAAGCTCTGAAACGCAACGAATAACCTCTGTTTATATATACACAGTATTCGTAAAGTCCCTATATATACATGTACATAGTATAACGGACACCCGGCGAATATGGACCAGGGGGACAAGTGGGGTTGGCAGCTTGGAAGAAAACAGGGTGACTGCATGACTTGTGGCCTGTCATTCTCGCTCGCCTGCCTCGTGGGCCATGCCAGTACATCACATGAGGTATCTCGAGCTGCCAGGACTGCAAACGTGGCATTCTGCATGCACATCGAAGACAGCTACAGCTACAACACCAAACAACAGAAATCGCATACCGACAGCAATGACATAAATATACTTTGGAAACACGGAGAAGTTCATTAGCCAAGCACTACCGGGCCTGGGATGAAGCACATTGGGTCCATCAGCACCGTCCGCCGAACAGTCACGGGCTCCCCATCACTCGACTTACGCGCCTGATGCGACGAGAAGTGATCTTGGGGGGAGGGCGTTTGGAACAAGGGCCGTATAGTTTAGGGTTTAGGGTTCAGGGCTGTAAGGGAGGTTTCGAAGGCCAGGATCCGTTTCACAACGCTGGTGCAGAATCAGAGCTTCTCAGGTAGATTCTAGATCTAGAGACGAACTTGGGGTTTAGGGTTTAAGGGTGACATGTCTGGCAATTTAGCTGCGTCGAGAAGGCAAAGGGAGGTGGTACACGGCACCGGGACATAGTGAGTGGGGTGTAGGGTTTACGGTCTAGACTATAGGTTTGCGGCGCTTCCAGCTTTAGCATTCAGGATACTCTTTACGTATCTTAGTTGTGTATATATATATATAGAGAGAGAGAGAGCACATACACCATGTACAGCATAATATCCTATAGCTAGAAAGACGCCTAGATAGATAGATAGATAGATAGATAGATAGACAGATACATAAATAGATATTGTAACACTATACGTTTACCAGAAACTTAAAGACTACAATAATGTAATCAACTACATCTAGTGTAGGGCTTATAGGCAGATAGATAGATGAACAGAGATAGACAGTATCTATACCCCCCTTAGAACCATAATAAAAACAATATGTTTAATATTCTCTTGGGTTCTTATGAACAAAAATAAAAAATCTCAAGGAGACTATCGTTCAGAAGCCTCCATCTCCCGCACCAGCGCGGAAGCCACGGCTGTGCCAAAGCTGTGGGCGAGGATGTCCACTTCCAGGCCCGGCCTGCAAAACTTAGCAGTCTTGAGGGCTGGGGCTTAGTGTTTAGGGCTTCGGGTTTCGGGTTCCGGGTTTCCCTTTAGGGTTTCGGGTTTCGGGGTTCGGTTGAGGGTTTCGGCTTAAGGGTGTCGGGCTTCGGGGTTTTTGGTTTAGAGTTTCGGGATTATGTGCCGCATTTAGGGTTTCGGATTCTTCTTGTGGCCACACAAAAGCAAGAGTCCTATCACTGCAAAGAGTTGCGGCCTGCTTCACTAACTGATACTACTACGAAGAATAATAGTTGAAATGATAAGAATAAGCATAGAATAATACTAAGACCTGAAAGGAGGGGTCCTTGTAGTAAGGATCCCACTTTTTAGGGTACTATATGAGGGTCCCCCATTTTCGGTAGGGTTTAGGGTGTAGGTTTTTTTTGCCCCTTTTCCGCCTAAGGTGCAAGCCAGTAGGGTGTAGAGTTTAGGGTGTAGGGTTTAGGGTGTGGTATGCACTGTCGCGACAGATGCCCTGTTGCCTAGGGGTATGCCCGAATCCTAGTGTTCAATGCGTTGCCCCTGAGAACGCAGCACTGAATCAGAAGCCCATTGCCGGACCCGTGTGCCTCCTGGCCAGGTAGGCCGCTACAGCAGCGGAGATCTGGCGAACAGTGGGGGTTTTCGCCAAATCTCCCCGCACGGGAACTCGAGTCACCATCAGCCACCTTGGCTCCAAGCTGAGTAGTATAGGGGCTTTAATAAGTAGAAAAGGGTTTCGGGCCCCATTATACTATATTTATAGTAAGGAAACCTCAAGATCGTATTGGTAATTAGTTAAGCCCCTATATCACAGTACCCTGATAGTAACCCCATAGTAACCCTTATAGGACCCGTTTAAAGGAACACATTAGTGACCTAGCAGTAGCAGGGAACGATGGAGCTCGTGTCAAATGAAACGCAGCCAAGGCCGCTGACAGTCCACGATAATGACGCGCCTGAAGAAGCTGCAACACGCTTCAACTAACTCCAGTGACAGATCATACATCATAGTACATTATAGCACAGCAGACTAGGTTGAGGTATGTAAACTGTAGTTTAACATAGTGTAGACAAGAGTACATGATATGATATGACACTAGACTAGACTACGGTAGATTATGGTACAACGTGGCAGATTAGAGTATACCGTAGTAGATTATAGTACTGTATAGCAGAATTAGAGTATACCGTAGTAGATTATAGTACTGTATAGCAGAGCATAGCAAACTATCGTACATGGTCGTATAATAGACTATATTATAGTCGGTTGTTGTATACTATAGTATATTCTGGCATAGTATAACTTACTATATTATCGAATATCTAATATATTTGAATATACTCCGGTATGTTATAGAAAATTAGCGTATACTATCGTATGTTGCAGTACATCGTAATATGGGGGGTTTCCGAAAATCAGGGGACCCTAATATAGCACCCTAAATAGTAAGATCCTCAAAATAAGCACCCCCAAAATAAGGTACCCCCTAATTTTCGGAAACTCCCATATCGTAATATCTACTTAAAGGATCATGGGACTTAGTAACTTGGGTTATAATTTGGGTAACTATACATATAACCCCAATTAAGGTACTTATAACCTTATACTTACTAAGTCCCATGATCCTCCAAGTAGGACTCCTCCCCTTGCGGCGGCCTCCGCTTGAGACTGGGGATCATCCACTCAAAGAGCGGCGATGCCAAACCTGGGTCTGTCGAGGCTTTTTTCAAGGGTTTGAAGGCTTAGGGGCTTAGGGGTTTAGGGATTTGGGGTTCAGGGGTTTAGGGTTTTGGGCTCTTTTCCGGCTGCGTACAGCTAGAAGTCCTTACCAGAATGAGCCAGTCGTCAGAATAGGTTTTAGGGTTTGGGTTTTGGGGTTCAGGGGTTTAGGGTTCAAGGGTCTAGGGGCTTGGGGCCTAGGGGTTTAGGATTTGAGGGTGTCAAGACTTGGTGCTTTTGGGTTGAGGGCCATGTTCGGAGCTTTAGTGTGCTTCGAAGGATCCGAGTTCAGCAGTCAACGCCAAGATAGAGAACTGGGCAGGATCCAGGATGGCACAGCAACTTGAGTTTTGATTACTACAGAGTAGATTGAAGCTTTCAAGAATGTTCGTGTGTGTTTCGTGCAGATGCTCGTGGAATCTCGTAGACTACTACCGCCGGCCTCGTCCGTAGCCGTGGAGAACCACGAGTGGTGGCTCATTCGGATCACCACCCTCCTCGCTCGCATCCCCCTCGCGTTCCCAAAAGCCTCAAAGCCGCACAGCATATCACACTGCGTCCGTTGCTCTACATGACACAACGCACTGTGCTACTGTGCAAGTCTCAGCAGCTCAACTGGGGCAGGCCCGCCGCGTCTGCACACGTCTCGACGAAGCCCTGCCGCTGCAGCTTCCGTCTAGCGACGTAGCGCTGCCCCTGCACCGAAAAAAAGCATGCATCCTTGCTACTGACATGGCCCTTGGCTTACGATGTGATTGTGGCAAAAAGCAGCAAGAACAAGTTCCGGACAAAGAGCTTCGAGAAACCAGCGGAGAAGAAGTGGCTTGTACCAGGCTTCAACCTGATGCAACGGCTTCATGAGGCTCAGGACTTTGGTATTCACTAGTTTCGGATTTCAAGTTCGAGTCCAAGAGGCCCATCCCTCGCCGAAAACAAACGCCGGAGGCGCCACGACGCCTCTCAAGGCTTGCAAAAAAGGGCACGGTTCGAGCAGCGGCCCACCCACCCTCGTGCCTCGCATGCTGGGAGCGAAGGGTCCAAGTGCAGCTTCCAGAGAGGATATCTGCGGAGTGGATTCAATGGAGACCCGCTTTCACATCCGGGAACAAGTGATTCAGATCATGTATCGCAACATCTAAACGTCAGTCAATGAAGCAATCACACCAGACTCGCATTGACATGGCATCAGGCGCAGGTGAGTCGCCAGCAATTTTCGGATCGGGGTGAGGAAAAAAATGGCAGGGTAGGATTCGGCCCCTCCAAGCCCTAACCCTTACTCAGGCTTCGGCCGCATCCTCCGCCTCTCCAAGTCCTCCAAGGTGGCTGCGCAGCCAGCGATGGACCACCTCCAGTATACTATATACTATATATACTATATACTATATACTACAGTATACACTACATAATATATATATATATATATATATACATACTATATATACTATATATATAGGGAAAGAAGGGAAGCAGCCCCGCAGCCAGAAACTGCTCTGCGCTGGTGCCCACCGTCTGCTCTCCGGGCCTCGCGGGAAAGTGCCTCACAGGGCGTTCCAAAGAAGGCGTGGCGAAGGAAGCGTGCGCACGCCAGGGAGTCGAAGTCGCCTCGGGCACTCGGAGGGCCTAAGCCTTTAGAGAACTCTCTCTTTACATACTCCATTGCTCCTGTCGACACCAGAATCGTCCCGTTTGACTCTACCTGGTCTTGTTGATGTGGGCTCGACTCCCAACTTATAGTTACCCTGATTACAACCCTAATTACCAAGTCCCATGATCCTTTAAGTAGGCTCAACTCCCATGGCCTTGGCTGCCATCACAGCGTGCGAGAGAGAGAAATCGGCGACCGTACTCCTCGTCCGCGGGGGCGTGCGCCGGCGCTTCGCTGCGCCGCGCGCGTCCTCGGAAGGAGCGGCCCACTTGGGGTCCAGTTTGGGCTTCCTTATACTATATTATACTTCTCATATACTATATTGTACCATAGTATACTATTCTAGCTTATCCCTTATACTATTGGGCTTCCTTTTCATATATTGTACCATACTATACTATTCTAGATTATCCCTCATATTATTGGGCCTCATATACTGTTTTGTACCACATCTTTCCTTTTCTAGACTGTTTTCATGAGCTACATCAATACATTGGAGTGTTCCGGTTCGGTGTTGAGGATCTTCGGCCTGGGTGCTGGAAGCTTGGAGTTGCCTCCAACTTCGCAACAGGCACACACCTCTGTCTGGTGCTGAGTAGGGAATGGGGGAATGAGTCATGGGGACGATTATTCGGGATTATATAGGGACAACTATAGGGATCCATTCCCCCATTCCCTACTAAGCACCAGGGAGGACCTGGGAAGGCCAAGCAGAGGAATAGATTCCTTTCACGGTGGCCCACCGAGAAAGGCATATCTAATTCCTAGTACTCTGAGCTTGCCTGTTTTTTCGAGATCCCCTGCCTTGGCTCCCAAAAGTGTTCTGCTGCGGTGCTAACCTCTGCCCATTTGCGCCTGGCCACTTCCTAATCCTGTCACTGCGGGCCCCTGAGTAGGGATCTGCCAGCCCTGCACATCCCCGTATCCTCAACCGTTCTTCTGGTCTGATAGCGACTGAAAGAAATCGGATCTGGAGGTTTGAGCCTGGCAGAGAAGCAATGCCTGGAGAAAGGAAGCTGGTAGGGAAGTTTGAACCGCCTGTCTGGTCCGTCTACTCAAACCCCACATCTAGCTCCCGGAAAACGTGGCGGAAGCACAAGCAATCTATGAGACGCCGGTTCCCGCCCTGCGCCTAAAGGCCAAGTCTCGCTTCACGTACCAATGATGCACGAAGCCTGGTGAGTTGCATGTTGGAGCTTTTTTTGCCGATGTCCGACGTCCATGGACATTTAGGGAACTTCCGAAAACAGAGGGACCCGAATCTGGTACCCTAAATGGTAGGATCCTTAGCATAAGAACCCCAAGATAAGGTACCCTAATTTTCGGAAACTCATATTTCGCTGCCCAGAGACGCCAATATCCCCAAACTAAGGAGAATATACATATATATATATATATATATATATCTTAAATCAGAAAAGGGATCCTACTATAGTTTAGGGTATGCTCCTTAATTAAGGGATATTTGAGTCCCTGGGTGCCATGCTTGCGCACGGCTCTTTGTCCTGCCTGTTCCCTCGGCGAAAGCATAGGCTCCCAGAACCCGGCGCGGCAGACGGTGCATGGCCCGGGACTGACTCAAGCCGATGGAACAACTGAGGGCTTTACTGGGTTCTTGTTAAGGGATTGAGTTTAAGTTACCGTAATACCATATTATTTACTATAGATCCCTATTCTGGTAACTTAAACTAAATCCCTTAACAAGAACCCAGTTTAGATGTCTGTGTCTGCCTGTGGCTTCTGTGGCTTCTGAGCCCACCTGTCTGACCAAGCAGTACCACTCGCAGCCACCAATCTCGAGCAATGCTGCGGTGGGCGCTGCGTGTATGCAAGTGTGCACGGATGAGCTGTGATACTCTAACATACTGTATCATCTTATATACCTTCCGACACCATGTGATATTGCACTATACTATCTTCATATTGAACTATGCTAGGGAGTATACAAACCGTAAAATTATCATGTTCTACTATGATATTGCATTATATTATACTTCTTGTTATATACATATATATATATACACTTACTTATTTATCAACTTATTTATGTATTGTTATTAACTTATATAATTGTTTTCTATCTCATCTATTTCTTCATTTATTTTTACTCCTGTTATTGTACATTACCATTATGTTACATAGCACCCTGCAGAACAAGCTCCCGGCCTTGCAGACAGAGTCCAGCAGTGCAGGATCTCGCCCTTCAGAGAGAACTTGTGGTGTAGGGTTTTGGGATTTAGGGCTTCCGGGTTTAGGGGTTTAGGGTTCTTTTTTTTGAACTCCTTTTTGATGTCTGCCAGGCAATTGGGTTTAGGGGTTTAGGGTTTAGGGTTTAGGGCTTAGGGTTTAGGGGTTTAGGGGTTTAGGGTTTAGGGTTTAGGTGGGATTGGGATTCTGGGGTTTGGTGTTTTTTTGGGTTGATCTAGGCGGTGGCGGTCGATGGTTTAGGGACCCACAGTCGGTAATTTGAAGCGGGCTAGGGGGCCTAAATACACTGAATAAGGACCCCTTATATGGGAGTTTCCGAAAATAGGGGTACCTTATTCGGGGGTCCTTTTAATAAGGATCCTACTATTTAGGGTACTATATGAGGGTCCCCGATTTTCGGAAACTCCCATATACCCCCTGAGGGTCTCTCTGGGGTTTGAGGCTTAGGGTTTCGGCCTTCGGCCATGTCTCTACCGGCTTTGCACGACAGGGTTTCTCGCCGAGGGCATCTTGAAAACGGATTCTCTTGATCTCTTGACCAGCGCACTCACTCTTCTGGGAAACCGTCACATTCGCAGAGATGAAGAAACAGGTCTGGACCGGACCCGACTTAGCAGATCCACAAAACCGCCACTGCGAAAGCGGGGACGAGGCTTTTCTGGGCCCATCCTGGGCATAACAATCATTTGCCACTTCCTCAAAGCATGACAGAAGCAAAAAGAGAAATCAGCCTGGAGGCCCCTCCTCTAGCATGGCTTCGATCCCAGTACGTCCACAAGGGTATCAAATCTGGCTGAAGCAACAGCAGAACAAAGGGGATCTCCCAACAACACAGGTAGCAACCATGCAGCTGCAAACTGATCTGCGGATGAGGTGCCATGAGTCTCACATGCTTCCACGACTCGCCCTTCCCAACAACAAATCCAGTTGTCCAACCGAGAAAGCGCCGGAGAAACTTGAAGGCGAGCAGGACTGGAACATTAAGAAAACAATGGTGCCTGGCAAATGCTGGCAGATTCATCCGGAAACCTGGACCATATCTCTCGTTATGATGACTGTAAAATAAGTAACCGCTCCGGAACATTCAACATTCGGATCTGAAGTTAGTTGGCCTGCCTTGTCCCGCAGATACCGAAGCGCCGAATCTCGGAAGGTGGCCGTGTCGCAAGCCTTCGCTAAGTCTGCAAATTCTGCCGTTGGCCTTGTCGTGACCCACCCGATCTTGGTTGGTTCTGCTGTTCATGTTCGCTGTCCTGGCATGCTTGGGTGTGCCGTTTGCTGTCGTCGCGTGTGCAGCTCCGTCCCTCCATCGCACAACATGTAGCAAAAATAGTAATAATAGCAATAATATTTCAGAGTAATAATAGTACTAATGGTAATAGTAGTAATACTTATATTACTAGTAATACTAGGAATAAGAGTAATAACACGAATTTAGCAATAGTAGTAAGAATAGCAAGAATAGTAGTAATAATACAATAACCAAAAGAATAAGAACAACAATAACAGGCCTCTGTGCAGGCGAAAAGTGGTCCAGAGACGCGCCGCGTGCCTGCGATGAGTTGATCGGGCGAGCAGCTTCGGTGGTGCAAGGTGCATCTTACATGGAACCTTTATAGTACCCGTACATGGAAACCTTAAAGCACCCTGGCATGGAATGGTTATAGTGCCCCGAAGTGGAGCCCTTCTAGTACCCTGACATAGAACCTTATTGGACCCTTAAAGGGAGTGACATGGAGTCCTTGTAACACCCTCTAAGGAAACCCCTATAGTACCCTTAAAGGGAACCTAGCTGCCGTCGGCCGTCGGCTAAACAAGCAAGCCAAGCCTATACACCAGCCATCCACATCTGGATTCTCCATCCACTGCTCCAAGATCTGCTGTGGTACCTGGCACAGAGAACAGTCGCGTAAAGTAGACCCGAGCCCGATGCAAAGAACAGCTCTGCAGCCATAGAATCGAACATCCCAGTTTCCCTAAACCCTTAAACTCCTAAACCCCTAAACCCCTAATGTAAACCCTAACCCCTGAACCCCTAAAACCCTAAACCGGGTCCTTTCCTTCGGGTCCTGAGCCCCGTGCACAGAGCCTCTTCTAAAGCCGATCTCGGGAGCCTCTCGAACCTGGGAGGTGATGATCGGGTACCACCCCTTGCGCCCTTCAGATGCCCTCTCGATTTGGTTTCGGATGTAGGGTTTAGGTGTTTAGGGTTTTTATTTTTTTGGACGGGGGGGTTTAAGGTTTAGGGGTTTAGGGTTTAGGTTTTTAGTGTTGTTTCTTTTTTCTGGGGGGGAGGAGGTTTAAGGTTTAGGGTCTAGGTTTTTAGGGTTTTTCTTTTTTTGGTGGGGCGGTTTAAGGTTTAGGGGTTTAGGGTTTAGGGTGTAGGGTTTAGGGTTTAGGGTTTGATTTCAAGACTGTCTGCAGGCGCACTCCACTGGACAGCAGCAAGCGACCAAGCGGATCGTCTTCCAGGCGACATCCAGTCCACCTTGGCCCAGCTGTGACGCGTCAAGGGCGGAGTCTTTGGCGAATGTGGGACATGTGCTTGATGATGTTTGGCCACGCAACAGCAGCTTGCAACGCATGGAAAGCAATAGACAGAGGCGGCAACGATCAAAAGGGAAAACTCGCCTAACACTTCCGTACCGAAAGTGATGCTCCAGACATATGCTTTACTAGCAGCATGCATGTTTGGAATGGCAAGCCAAAAAGCAGTCCCGATAGGTCCACCGTATGCTAGCTTCGCTGTGCATTGCTAGCGCGCTCCGTACATCTGGGAACTGCGCCACCCTCCGGCAGCCCCACCACAAATAGACAAGGAGAGTGCGAGCTTGGCCAGTTGCAGCTTGCAGCTGGCCATTCTTTTCAGCGTGCAGCATGTGCTCCACAACCAGCCAACGTCTGAACTTCATGTGTAGCGCTCGCAGCCCACTTTGTCAGAAATATGGCCGACCTGATGATGGCCCAGCGAATTATATTTCTTGGAAAGTTTCTCTCTACACGCTGGAGGTTGCCATTTCCTTCTGTTGTCCGTTCGGCTGCCTGTCCGGGCAGTCGAAACTCTCGACGCGTCGTTCGCGCATTACATCTTTGCAAAAGGGCGTCGCTACGAGCTCTTGCGTCCATCTCGCACGAGTATGGAAAAAAGGCACTTCGGCTGCACAAACCGTAAAATGGTAATCCGCTGTGACGCCTACGCTCGCTGGAGTGGCCTTCCAATGTATTCCTAGGATGCTTCGGCGAAGTACTTCCAGAAGCTGTAGTGTACCCCAAAGGGGCCAAATTACTGCGACTGCCTGCAGCAGTTTAGACCTGCAGTTGAATCCTGAGTTCTGCAGAAGCACGGCCCAAGAGAAGCTGAGAACGACACAACATGCGCTCCCTCAGCGCCTCCAGCGCGCCGGCCGAGAAGTGCACCGCGTTGCTGGGCGGATTCACACATAGCCCGGGCTTTTACAAACCATAGTAACAATAGCAATCACAGTAGAACTAATAGTAGTAATCGCACAAAAAGTAACCGTTAATCAGAATGATCATAAGAAATCAACAATACGAAGAGAGTGAATAAGAAAAAAAAAGAAAACAAGAGTAAGAATAATGAGAAGAAGAATAATAACAAGAACAAGAGCAAGAACGACCAAGAACAAGAACGACCAAGAACAATAACAATAATTTTTAAAAGCTACGGCAATAGTAACAAAAGTAGTGATGTTGCTCATGACAGCAATAATAACAGTAACAATAACAAGGACAATATTCACATCAGAACAAGCTTAACTACATGTATATGTTAACAGTAATAATGGAGGTAATGATAGCGGTTATGAATGTTAAGTCTCAGTCTCAGACTCAGCCTGTCGAAAGAAGCGTAAAGCTCTTCGGGCCCTTTCTGTCGTCCGGGAAGCGGGCTCCGTTGTAGTGGGCTGCTGGCTGAGCCCACACTCCTTCAATGCTCAAGCCATGAACCTACAACTCTAGTACAATGTAGCATAGTAGAATAGAATAGAACTGAATGGAATAAAAAAGAACCACCGACGGCAATCTTGGCGATGCTTCCGTCCAGAGTCCTTTTGACCTATACGCCTATATTGGCTCGCGGTCCCAACTGCAAGCTGATAACATGGGGTGTAGTATACTATGTGCTAAGCTATGATATACTCTTATTTTCCATACTACAATTTTGCTATTTTGTGCTGTACGATACTACACTCTGCTACACTATACTGTACCATACTGTACTATACTATTTCGTCTAGTATCGTATTGTACAGTACAGTACAGAACAGTATGGTATACTATACTATAGCTTCTACGACAACTGCTGTCCTGCCTGCCAGTGGTGGAAGAGCTGACCGCGTATGGAGTCGCTACTGGCCTCTTCGGGAAGGCGCTCCGTGTGTACAGCTGCATGGGTTTAGTGCTTAGGGTTTAGGGTTTAGGCTTTGGGGATTGGGGTTTAGGATGTTTTTGTAGAGCCTTTTCTCCCTTAGCTTAGGATTTAGGGTTTCGGGTTTAGGCTTGATAAATGTCATGAGTGAAAAATTCAACCAGCAGCCAGCTGATGTTGAGAACGAGTTATAGGGTCTCGTCCGTGGCCTGTGACGGATCCGTGGCACCCAAGATGTCTTCGAACTGCTTCCAGGAGACCTGTCCCAGGGCTGGATCATTGGTCATGAAAGCCGAACGTTAATCTGCACCTCCGGCAACCTTTCTCCTCTTAAGCCAAGCCCCCAGCACCTCTTCAAAGCTATGAAAGACAGCCTGGCTGGGATCAAGCTCCACGACATACCACGCGGCTGCCTGACGGCAGTCAGTTGGCCGAGTTCTCAAATGCATCTTTGCTGTGCATTGGCCTCGCCCTGCTTGCTGAAGGCATGGCGCCTTGCTCACACAGGCTGTCTTGGCTTCTCGCAAAGAACCCAGATGTGGGCGCACCAATGTGGAACGAAGCCATTGACTACGAAGAGGGAATCGTTCTGGGTGCTCACCTTCCCGACATAGAGCGATTGTGCCTAGGTGCGACAGGCTGGAATTGCTGACTTGGCTTGTCTTCTCCGGTTGATATGAGGATGCTGAGATGAATCACTGCAGTACTAAACTTCAGCTTTGCAGCTTTTTCTGTGCAATTGGGATTGCGTGTTCGGAGTGTTGTTTACAACAACTCCGCACTTGGACCGCGGGACCTTGGGAGTGACTTTGCGGGAGGCATTTCTCCACGCTCTCACTTCTCACCGAAGAAGAAGTAGGGGAGGAAGTTCTGCACGTACTCGTCGAACTCATCCTCCGGCGGCAGCAGAACGGACTGGTTGTCGAGGAGCAACAGCAGCAAGTAGAACAGAAAAAGCATGACAATGCCAGTGACCATGACCTGTCTTGTCCAACATGTAAGGAAAGCAACGTCTTAGCCGCTGTACATTATTACACAGGCCACATCAGGCAACTGAAACAACACTTCAGAAATGCAATGGATGGTGATTGCGAGGCAAGTTGCCAAGACGGTCGGGATGCTGTCCTCCTTCGCAACAACGCCTGCCTCGGCATTCAGGGGCTTCAGCAAGTCCGACAGGCCAGTGCGGATGCCGTAACCCTCCGGCAGGGGGTCACGCTCGCCATAGGGCGCAGTTCGCTTGGCGTTGCCCACGGGGTAGACGCCGTTTTCAGCAGGCATATCCGTTTCGTACTGCACCGCCGCAGCTGCAGCCACATTGACCTCGCGATTCGCGACGGGCGAGTTCACAAAGCTCAGCTGGCTGCTGAGTGCCCACAGGCACATGCAGATGGCGATCAAAGAGAACCTTTGTTAGACGCATTCAACACACTGCTCTACGGCTGGAGTGATCTCACATGCGAATGAGTTGAAACACGACCAGGCAATCTGTGAACCGTACGTTCCACGTGCCATGGCGTCGATCAGGAGGGTATTCAACACGGCCCAAGCTTGACAAAAAAAACCTTCAATGCCACGACGGAAGAGAAAATTGCGCAACTGGCTGCCAGAATGAAGCACAAGACGCCTGAGCCCCTTGCAGATCAGTGCAGTATAGGCAGAAAGGGCATAGAGACAAGCTGGGTCGTCGTTTTTCGCTACTACGTGATGCCATGCATCAGCACACAGGGAGATTGACTCGGGACACGAGACTGTTCTCTTAAACGCCGATGCAAGAAGAGACTTTTCACTTCTCACCGAAGAAGAAGTAGGGGAGGAAGTTCTGCACGTACTCGTCGAACTCATCCTCCGGCGGCAGCAAAACGGACTGGTTGTCGAGGAGCAACAGCAGCAAGTAGAACAGGAAAAGCATGACGATGCCAGTCACCATCACCTGTCTTTACAACATTTCGTAGAAAATTCGACATTTTAACCCCTGCACAACATGCAACAGGAAACTGAAACAAAACTAGACATGCACCGGATTGTGATTGCGTGGCAAGTAACCAAGACGGTCGGGATGCTGTCCTCCTTCGCAACAACGCCTGCCTCGGCATTCAGGGGCTTCAGCAAGTCCGACAGGCCAGTGCGGATGCCGTATCCCTCCGGCAGGGGGTCACGCTCGCCATAGGGTGCAGTCCGCTTGGCGTTGCCCACGGGGTAGACGCCGTTTTCAGCAGGCATATCCGTTTCGTACTTCACCGCTGCAGCTGCAGCCACATTGACCTGGCGCTTCGCGACGGGCGAGCTCACAAAGCACTGGCACACGGCCCATGCGCTCAGGCAACCAACGACCACAGCGACGAAGGACCTGTACAGTTCGTTGGAACTCCATCTCTACAAGCTACATGATTCTCGCACATCCCGTCAAAAAAGCAGTCACTGACATGAGCCACGGCTTCCACTGCAAATTATCATGGCTTTTGCTCAGCGCCCAGCGAGCTGCGCGCCATCTGCAAGGTCAGGGTGTCAACCTGTTTTCGGAGAATCTGCCTGCGTCTCGTTTCACCCCTCTGCAGGCCAAAAGCCAAGCGGGGATCGCCAGAATGCAAAGGGAAACCGTAAAACTCACTCTTCTTGAGTTCAGGCTGCTCAGCTAGTACAGATAGATGCAATTTTGACCAATTCAACATGGAGGTTCTCCAGAGATTTAGTGCTTATTTATGGTTGGGCAACACCGGGCCCTCTAAATCCTCATGTCGCAACAGCAGCCAGCGATATCCGTGCCTTTTTAACATCTACCTTGGTCTGGCATGTGGCCTGAGGCGCTACCATGCAGATGCTGCCCGTGAGCATGCGGAGGATTAACTGGGTGCACTGGATCGTGCTGTGTGCTAGAGTGACTGTGCGGGAGAAATTTCTCCGCGCCCTCACTTCTCGCCGAAGAAGAAGTAGGGGAGGAAGTTCTGCACATACTCGTCGAACTCATCCTCCGGCGGCAGCAGAACGGACTGGTTGTCGAGGAGCAGCAGCAGCAAGTAGAACAGGAAAAGCATGACGATGCCAGTCACCATCACCTGTCTTTACAACTTTGTAGAATATGCGATATTTTAATCCCTGCGCAACATGCAACAGGAAACTGAAACAAAACTTCAGAAATGCAATGGATGGTGATTGCGAGGCAAGTTGCCAAGACGGTCGGGATGCTGTCCTCCTTCGCAACAACGCCTGCCTCGGCATTCAGGGGCTTCAGCAAGTCCGACAGGCCAGTGCGGATGCCGTAACCCTCCGGCAGGGGGTCACGCTCGCCATAGGGCGCAGTTCGCTTGGCGTTGCCCACGGGGTAGACGCCGTTTTCAGCGGGCATATCCGTTTCGTACTGCACCGCCGCAGCTGCAGCCGCATTGACCTCGCGATTCGCGACGGGCGAGTTCACAAAGCTCAGCTGGCTGCTGAGTGCCCACAGGCACATGCAGATGGCGAGCAAGGAAAACCTTGGAACGGCAAGACGACGCTTGACAGCTGTCTCTTCAGGTTAGTCTGTGAACTCCCGTGGCCCCAAATGCTCAGGTTGCGGCATGCTGCTGCCGTCACGAGCCATAGCGGAACTTTTGAAGCACTGTCAGGCACCCTTGAAAAACCAAGCTGCGTGAGTTCCGTAACTGTTGGGCAAAGTGAAGACTGCGTGGTGACGACAGAAACGCAACAAATACTGCCAAATCAAACAACTGCTGCTGACTGAAGTCCCGCAGACATCCTCTTGCTTCAGACTGTTTGCACACGCTCAACAAAGCGCGGGCAGGACGGTTCATCGAAGCATTCCAGGATTGGTCCACGAACACTCGTGAGCGTAAAATGCTGTTCAAAAAGCTGCAATGCAGCCCATCATGCTGCCACAAAGCAAGCATTGAACTGGGCATTAGGCTAGCCAGCAATTGAAGCAGTTATGTTTGTACAGAGGGGTGGAGGGAAGACAGTGAAAGCATTCCCTGCTTACTTCTCACCAAAGAAGAAGTAGGGGAGGAAGTTCTGCACATACTCGTCGAACTCATCCTCCGGCGGCAGCAGAACGGACTGGTTGTCGAGGAGCAACAGCAGCAAGTAGAACAGGAAAAGCATGACAATGCCAGTCACCATCACCTGTCTTTACAACTTTGCAGAATATGCGAAATTTTACCCCCTGCGCAACATGCAACAGGAAACTGAAACAAAACTAGACATGCACCGGATTGTGATTGCGTGGCAAGTAACCAAGACGGTCGGGATGCTGTCCTCCTTCGCAACAACGCCTGCCTCGGCATTCAGGGGCTTCAGCAAGTCCGACAGGCCAGTGCGGATGCCGTATCCCTCCGGCAGGGGGTCACGCTCGCCATAGGGCGCAGTTCGCTTGGCGTTGCCCACGGGGTAGACGCCGTTTTCAGCGGGCATATCCGTTTCGTACTTCACCGCCGCAGCTGCAGCCACATTGACCTCGCGATTCGCGACGGGCGCGTTGACAAAGCTCAGCTGGCCCAGGAAAAGCCAAACGCATGCGCTCGCAGCCAGCGCGAGGATCACGGACCTGAGTAAGGAGGAAAAAAATGCCATCGCTGGAGCTTCTGCAGGCAACGCAGGAGGCGGAAACACTGGCAGACAGAAGCAGTTTTTGCCTGAAGCTTCTGGAAGCGACACAATCAGCTAAGAGACTCAAACTCAGTCAGAGGCACATGCGACCGAAACACGAGATTATGAGACAGGCAGCACCAAGGCCCGTGCGATCGTGCCATGCTGAGGGCTTAGGCTTGCCTCGCAACCCAACAAAAACCGAAATGCTTCAGCACGACGCAGAGTGATGTGCACGACGCACAGTGATGTGCTTCTTCCGGCACCCAACAGATGATCCTCGGGCTTATAACGCTCACAAAAGTGCCAGACAAGACACGCTTCAATTTGCGGGCGCACTGCAACGTTTTTCAAAAATGTCGGCTTGTGCGTGAGAGACTTAACGGCAAGCACAAGCATGCTCTCTGCGAGAGGTACTGTGCACAAGGCTCCATTCATGCTTTCACTTCTCGCCAAAGAAGAAGTAGGGGAGGAAGTTCTGCACATACTCGTCGAACTCATCCTCCGGCGGCAGCAGAACGGACTGGTTGTCGAGGAGCAACAGCAGCAAGTAGAACAGGAAAAGCATGACGATGCCAGTCACCATCACCTGTCTTTCCAAAATATGAGGAAACCAATGTCTTAGCCGGTGTGCAACATTACACAGGCAACATCAGGCAACTGAAACAACACTTCAGAAATGCACTGGATAGTGATTGCGAGGCAAGTTGCCAAGACGGTCGGGATGCTGTCCTCCTTCGCAACAACGCCTGCCTCGGCATTCAGGGGCTTCAGCAAGTCCGACAGGCCAGTGCGGATGCCATATCCCTCCGGCAGGGGGTCACGCTCGCCGTAGGGCGCGGTCCGCTTGGCGTTGCCCACGGGGTAGACGCCGTTTTCGGCGGGCATATCCGTTTCGTACTGCACCGCCGCAGCTGCAGCCACATTGACCTCGCGATTCGCGACGGGCGCGTTGACAAAGCTCAGCTGGCCCAGGAAAAGCCAAACACATGCGCTCGCAGCCAGCGCGAGGATCACGGACCTCTGGTGCTTATCTTTAAGCTCGTTTTGGTCGGTGCAGTGTCTAGTTTGCCGACACATCTGCTCAAACGTCCTCTGCTTCCGACCACCCGAAGGACCCACGGCCTCACCCACCCCGCTTCCCCATGCACTGCCCACAGCTGCTAGTTTAAGCTCGCCGCCGCCCGGAGCGTCAGATGTGTTAAGCGCTTTGAGAGATTCACTACCATCTGCTTGTGGGCAATCACCATATGTCGGAGGCGAAACAACAGACGGTGACAACTCACATTGCAGTGACGCAGAGTTTGCGCTCATGCAAGGATTGTCCGAAGCAACCCGTCAAAAGCCTTACAGCCCCTCCCAGGGCACACGCGCGTTGCCCTTAGCTCCCGTTGAACTCCTCGCAGCTCTTGACTGGTTGTTTGTGACACGGACAGACCGGCAAGGGCAGTCGGTTAGCAGCAATGTTCGTCATAATCATAGGAACCGCAACGAAATCATCATAAAAGTTCCAAAACATCATCATCATCAGCAGCAGCAGCAGCAGCAAAATTATCATCATTATCATCATCATAGCAGCAGCAATCATCGTCATGGTCATCATCACCATCACCATCACCATTCCCACACCTTCTGGATAAGCTTCGGACCGTGCTGCCATGGCTCAAAGGAAAGGTGGAAAGGCCAGAAAAGCTCTCAGCCGATAACTACCAGGGAGCTCTGTGACGGAGACTCTGGGTTTAGGGTTTCGGGTTTTGGGGCTGAGGGTTTGGGGGTTCGGGGTTTGAGGTTTAGGGGTTTAGGGTTTTGTGTTTTAGGGTTTAGGGTTTAAGGCTTAGGGGTTCAAAGCGTTCAAGAGATGTTTACAAATTATGAGGGTTACTACGCAGGAGACTGTAACGCATGCGTACTGTAAGTAAGGGGTACCATGATCGAGGGATACTATAATGGGTATTACAATGGATACCAGGAGGCATAGTCCTGAAAAGGGGGACCTACACGACAGCAGGTCGGTTGGACATGGCAAGGCATGTTCTGGCGAATACTCTGAAGTCCTCATTTGCTGACATCGCTGCATCGATAAACTCAGTTCAGATCTTCAGATCTTGATTGCAACCCAAACAATAACCCTTGAAACATCCGTTGTAAATAATCGTTGTTGTTTTCCCTATGGTAACCCGTTTTGTAGCCCTTAATTGTAGCCCTTCAGTATTCCCTAAGTGTATCACTGATCCGAGACTGGAGCCAACTTCATGGAAGGACTGCTTTGCCACAGCGCGAACATCTCCTGCGAACTCACGAACTCAACAAGATGCACGTAGCACAAGACTTCCAGGGTCTAGTGGGGCTTAGAAATCCGGAAGCCGCAAGCTTCGCAAGCTGGCAAGTGAGGCGACAAAGCGGCAGCTGCCTCAGTCGAGACACCCAGCTTTGCGGAAGCAGCCTCACCAAGAAAGGTTGAACACACAAGGCCTTGCAACAAACTGGACGACAGAGTAATACTGAGATGCCGTGTGCCTCCGCACCAAGCGGTGCAGCTGCGGCGAACGAAACACCTCCAGCAGGTCTGCACTGAATCGGACCCAGAACTTGGCTTCTTGAAATAGTCTAGCACCCTGCCTCACATGCTTGGGCTGTGGAGCGTTCAGGACTTAATCTCTTTCGAAAAAACGGGGCCCGCACCAAACGTGCTCTCAAAGCGAGCTGCCGCCTCACTGGCAACCTGCAAGGAGCTTTCGTCTTTGTCTGAAGCGAATGCCATGAGGGACACTGCAGGGGCTGCAGTAACTGGTACTAACTACATGGGGTATTACAGGGATTTTTCGGGATTATCATAAGCCTGATTATTGTTATTCTAACTACTACAATTATGTTTACTCTTCTTGCTATTCTTGTTGGTCTTGCTGCTATTTTCTAATGGATCAGATCCCAGTTTCCCCGCATGCGCAATGCACATGCAATCATGCAGGCCTTGAAGTCGTCAGGGATACCATTTGCAAAGCGTGCCAGCTGCAGGTACTGCCGGGGAGTTGCGAGAACCGAGCATTATATTACATTCTGCTATCTTATATTTAGTATATTATATTATAGTAGAGTACATTGGTCTTATGCTATATTATTTTGTACTCTTTTATCTTACATGCTATAGCAAGCGATCTCGTATTATAGTATACTATATTCTTTGTTGTTTGTACCTGCCAAACCGAGCACTTCAGCGGCTACCCAGCTCCTGCTTGTCGAAGAGACTCCTCTCAGCAATGTCCTGCCCAAGGGCGCAGTAGAACGGAGCATATCATTCTATATTCACTATATATTATGTATATAATGGGTTATATATAATATGTTACATATTATAGGTTGTATATTACATATGATCGTGAAGACAGCATGGTGGCATTTCATGACTTGCCGGCCTTGGCAGCAACGATGCCCTTCTCGACGATGGAAATCTGCATGCGTAACCAAGCTTCTAGTGAACAAGATCAAGACTAAAACCGTCGCAGCAGCTGGTCATGCCGTGAGGTCTGAATGACTTTGTACTGCAACGATGCGCTCTCCTTTTCCTGCGAGCAGGGTATGCGCCGCACTGCACAACGCCAAAGCCAACTTTGTGGCTTGGGTGCCACAGCTTTGCTCAGAAGCTGCTCGAAGCGCTCTGCGATGCCTGCGATGCCTGGGAGGCGCACCGGAGCCGCTGCAGAAAGTCCCTCTCCAAGTCCTCAGGCCACGGAGTCTTTGAAAATCCCAAGACACTGCCATGAAACCCTAAACCCTAAACCGCATACGTCTCGGAGTCAGTCCAGAGGAATCGCAATGAAGCCGAGATCGCACTGAAACAGCACTTCATGTCCAGCTCGTATGGCATCCTCCAAGCCCTGCGGAGCTTTCTGGGAGCTGCAATTGTCTTCGGCTCCAGGATATATAGTAGATAATATAATATAATATAATATTATATTATATTATATTATATTATATATATAATGTATAGTAGAATGTATAATATACAATAAAAATAATCTAGTATGATATGATACAGTATTTCTATAATAAAATACAGTACAATATTAACATATTACAACACAACAGAATACAATAGTCTAAAGGGTTCTACTTGGCATGGCTTCACTTGTTGCCGGCCTCGTTCACCAGAACCTCCTGGAATTCAGCAGCCACTCCTCTTGTCGCAACAACTTCCGGCATGAAACACCGCATTGCTTCAAGAAAGCACATGACGGCGACGGGAAATACAGATCACCCACGAGCTCAGAATGCCCCAGAAGTATTCCTTTAGAGGTAAGCAAATTGGGGGGAGGGCCGGTCGACCTCTCCCAACCGAAGCTGCAATGGGCTGGAGGTCGCGCAGTCTCTGCCACCTCGCCCAGTTCTGGGGCAGAGCTCCCGGTGTCTCCCCATTTAAATCCCGTGAAGTCTCCCCTACTTGTCGGGTATCATGGGGAACTAAAGGTTAACCTTTTTGGTTATATAGGGATTATATTTAGGGACTGTACTACCCCAAAAAGGTTGAAGGTTACCTACTCTACTACTCGGAAACCCTAAACCTCGAAAACCCCAACCCCTAAACCCTAAACCCTACTAGGCTCCTTCCTCCCAGAAGCAGCGAGACTTCCGAGGCCAGGCGAAGGAGAGGCCGCCCAGCGGCCTCGAAACACGCTAAAAAACAGGCCGGGCATCGTAGGATGGGTTCCCAAAATAGGGATAGCCCATATCGGAGTTTCCGAAAATGAGGGGTACCTTATTTAGGGGTCCCTTTTTAGAAGGATCCTACTAGTTAGGGTACTATATTAGGGTCCCATATTTCCGGAAACTCCCATATGAACCCCCTTATAGTTTTGGGCCCCTTAGTAGTATGGGTCCGATAATGCAGAGAACTTCCTTAGACTTACGGGTAGTTGTCAAAATTCTGGCCCCTTTTTGCGTACCCTAAATATTAGGGTGCCGTACGATATTAGGCACCCCAAAAAGGGACCATGATTTCGACCACCACCCAAAAAAACACAACCCTAAACACCTTAGGGACCCAAAAAGGGACCATAATTTTCACAGCCACCCTTGATAATGACCCTTGGAGGTCCTTACGTTGTTGATCCCTTAGGCCCTTATGGTTATCCTTATAGGCCTTTACATTGTACCCTAATGGGAATGACACGCCGGATGGCCAGACGGAGCAAGCCAGACCCCAAGCTGCAGCAGCCGGGCGATCGCCTCAAACGGGAGAGGCAACAGCGATGCGCGAAAGCAGGGTTTAGGGTTTGGGATAAATGCCGTCTGTTATATAAAATATAGTACATATTATATTATGTTATATTGTTATATTAAATACTACATCATATTATATTATACATATATAGTATCAAAGTCTCAGGCGGCCAATTGCGCGGCAGGTCACCGCAGAGGTGCCCAGCACTTGGCAGAGGTGCTCTCGGTCTGCGCAAGCGCTGCAGGCCGGCGGGAAACCAAGTCTTTCAATTGTGGTGAAGGAGTGAAAGCCTAGCAGCCACACAGCAAGTTCCGTGCACACTGCGATGCCCAGCACCTCAGAGCCAGATAGTCCTCCAGTTTCGCGAAGTAGTCCGCACCAGATGGCCCATAGGTTGCAGTTTGCAGCAGGTCGGGGACCGGGTCCAGCCGAGAGGGCTGCGGTGAATCCTCGCGCGGTGTGGGCTTGCTCACTTGCTCAGGTTGGAGCAGTGGCTTTCCACAAACACCGGCGCCTCCCCACGATAAAGGCACCCTGCCAAAGTTGCAGTCAGCCACTCTGAGGGGCAGAAAGCTGCAACCAGCGCCACTGCCCCTTCCAGAGACAATGTGCCAAGGGGAAGCGTTTGGGCGAGCGACCTGACAATCTTCAGCAAACTGCCAGAAGTCACAGTATCGCGATGGATCCAGCGGCCTCTTCCTTCCTTGCCATGCCCAGAAAGTCATCCAACAAATCCAGGACAACCGGCATCGCGCAGAATGACGTAGAGGATCTGGGGAGAAAGCCTGCTGGCCTCGCCAGGGTAAGATGAAACTTCAAGAGCCTCCGAAGCCCTCTGAGCCCTGTTGCTCAAACGGAACTGACCTAAAGAAGGCCTGGCCCACGGATTGTCCGAGACTTTGGGACCATCGTTGAGCAATCCGGGCGTTTGAGCTGGATAACCACGTCCATGGCAGGCTTCATGAGCGACGTTGGTCACATTACTCCCTACGCCTATACCCCCCGTTGAACCATAACACAGACAATATGTCTAATACTCTTGTTGTTTGTATATGAACAAAAACTGAAAAAAGCTAAGGAGACTATAGACTCGTGATGCAAAGCAGCTGCAGACACTGGAAGCTGACGGAAGAGCTGCTGCCAATCCATCTTCGAACCAATGAGCACTACAATCTTCCCGCAATCAAAGTGATGCTGGCATAGTCAATCACAACTCTAACCGCCCACTGAATAATGTATATATCATGGCTAGTATACAATGATACACTATCATATGACACTTTGAGATACTACAGTTCACTATCATGCAATAATCTACTGCAATTTACTCTAAGTTACAATAGCCTACTACAACGGAAGCATGGCAACTGCGGCCGAGGCTCTAGCTGCTCTGGAGAATCCCTGTCGTGCCTTGTGCGTGGTGAAGAAGGATTGCACGAATCGCTGGGTATCCTGGTTTAGGGTTTAGGGTTTTAGGGTCTAGGGTTTAGGGTTTAGGGGTTTAGGGTTTTAGGGTTTAGGGGTTTAGGGTTTAGGGTTTAGGGGTTTAGGGTTTGGGGTTTAGGAGTTTAGGGTTTAGGGTCCTGCTTCTCAGGGTTTAAGGCTTGATGCGTTGGGGGTTCTTACTGCTGCAGGGTTCAGGGAAGAGGCTGTTTTGCTTGGGGGGGGGCGGGTTTTACTTCAAGGCGCGTAGGGGTCCGGAGTTTGGGGATCTGGGCTCTGGATTCGCATGTTCGGATGCCGGTCGAGGGGCTCTTTGTTGCGCTGATCGCAGGCTGCAGGGGTTCGGAACACCTATCGCAGAGCCTTAACCCTGTAACCCCCGAACCCCCCGCCCCGCAGGACCCGAGAAAACCCTCCACTCCTTATCCCGACTCCTGTTAGAACCCTTACAGGAACCCTTAAGACAGCCCTAACCCCCTAAGACGGACACCCCAACCCCTTTGTTTACTGCACGGCTGCAGTTTGGGCTTGAAGTCTTGCTGCAGACGTGGGCTGAAGCAGGGGAGGGGATGCGGGTTTAACATGAGACACGATTTAGGGGTGCAGGGTTTAGCGTTTAGGATTGCGGCATTTTGAGCTTTGAGGGTTTAGGGATTTGGGGGGTGGGGCTTAGGGCGACTAGTGTGGCTTTGTTTTATGGCACAAGTCTTCCTACCATGGGATGTGTGCGAGGTGCACGGATCTTACATCTCCCGGCAACGCAGCTACCACAGACTGGTTCTACGTGGTAAACCCTGTCTCATCTGAGTCCGGTAGGTCTCCCGTTTACAACCCTTCTTTACATAGTGCTGGTGAGCGCCTGACTAGGCAAAGAGCGACAGACACCACGACAAGATTCATGCAAGACAGGTGTGGGGACGCACCAAAACTCAGAAAATCATTGTGCACTTCTTGTCGCGACGGTGTTTTGACCCAGAATCCATGTCAATCTGCAAGAAGCAATCCCGCCGGCCTTGTTGAAAGACGACGGCTTGATGAGAACGATCGCCTGTGCTCAAGACTATGCAAGAATTCAAGAGGCAATGGCTTGGAAATGAACTTTGACCCCCAAGCTACACGGTCCTGCCTGGTTCAGCAGGTGGCCATCACGCTCGTTGTGCATGACCTGCCAAAGCACTCTCAGAGAGTTTTTGTGGGACTGGATATTTTGAGGGCCAGAGGCCAAGGGGCCTCCTGCACACAGCTCCACACTTCGTCAAGTCCCTGCTCTGCATTGATCCTTCCATGGTCGCCCCATGCCATCAAACTGCGAACTCAACGACGTGATTCGTGTCCTGCGCATGGCGCCTTCCCTGCTGAACCTCTCCACCACAGGCAAAGACCTGCAACACAGCCCTAGAGCAGCAGCATCCATGCGTAGTTTGGGTCAGAGAGCTGTGAGATCAAGTGCCAGGGCGAAGGCTCCTGCTGGTAAGTGGCAAAGCGCTTTTTGATAGACTCCTGCCAGACAGGAACGAAAAGCCAGGATGCCTGTCACGGAAGCTGGCAGCGAAGCCAGCGCCCCGGCCCAAGGCCCCCGCCAAGTTGTCGTCAGAGCGACCACTCGTCTTGCCCCTCTCAAGCAGACGCGCCTGGCCCGACGGCATGAATGGGGAGCTGCATGCAAGACTTTTGGGGTCTGGATGCCGAGGGTTCATGAGCATCATGCTCTGACACTGAAGGGCAACCAGCACATAAGATGAACCTCGAAGCGGCCTCCATCACTGCTTCCGAGCAGTCGAAGAACATGCAAAACTTCACGTCCACCTCCACGCACAAACAGCTTTTTACCGAAGGCATGGTGCCACACATGGCCATGAAGCCATAAATGCTGTAAGATGTATAGACCATGGCTTTAAGGCAGAAGCATTCACAGAAGCTTGCAACCTGGAAGAAAGCCCTTATAGCGCTGTCCGGCAAGCGAATTAAGAGCTGGGTTTAGTGTTGTGACAGGCGTTTACATAATATGCTGGTTATAGGGCTGGTTATAGTATACTAGATTATGCTGTAGCACTTCGATAATGTACTGGTTATACTATATGAGATTATGTCGTATTTTTCGGTACTGTGGTATGTAGGGTCTAGGCCTCGGTGACGGTTCCTGCCCTTGCCTTGCTCTGGCATCCAACGGGACATCACTTGGCACTGAAGGATGGTCAGAGAGATGAAATCTGGGATAAAGTAATATACTATAATGGTATATTATAGTATAGTATATTATAGTATATTATAGCATATTATAGTATATTATAGCATATTGTAGTATATTGTAGCATATTGTAATATATTACCTCATGGGCATGGTGCACTTCTCAGTCAGCGGAGCACTGTCCACCATGTGGCGATGTGCACTCGACGTCACCACCACTACTATCAGATAGTTGCTGCTATCACCATCGTCATCATCATCATCGTCATGATCTTCATCATCCTCGTCGTGACCCGAAGGGTGGATAAAGCTCGTGCTCCAGTGCCTTGGGACCGATCATATCGTTCCAGCCCTGCATGTTCTCTGCACTCCTGCTAAACGGGAATGGAACACAATACGGAAAGCAGCTTACTGCCAAAACAAGCAACAGTACTCAGGATCCTCGGGAAGCCATCGATGAGGTACTTGCCATCCTCCCATCCTCGTTCCTCCATGGCCTTCTGCAGTAGACGAACCACCTCGTTAGGATTCGCAGGGTCCGATCGCTGTCGCGGCATTCACACTTGCATACCTCGCCTGATGCACGGGCACGGACATCTGAGGCGTCTGCAACGGATACTGGGACCAGTTTGCCTTCCTGCGGCGACGTGAGCCCGTCATGCGTCAGGACGAAAGCCATCACACCAAAAAGAGAGCGAGAAGGCACAACTACCGGTAGCGGCTATTTCCGTGTCCTTGATGTGGCTCTCAATCAACTCGCCCAGCTCTGATCCGGGCCTCTTCCTCTCCTTGCGAAGACAACAACCAAGCACGGGAGACCGAGGACCGCAGTGGACGCCGCCTCGCGCAGCAAGTCTCCAGCTGACAGATGCTGGAATCCGAAGTTCGCTGCGATGCGAGCGCACCTCGTTTCGGAACGCCAGGTACCGGCACAACAGCATTCAAACATGGCCGTGGCATGGCAATCCTTGTCCCTCGGCACCACACTGAGTTCCTTTGCCAGCCCCTGGTCCACCCAGCACGAAGATCACTTGGGGCCCAAAGTTCCTGCCAGCATGGCACGTATCCAAGCCGCAGGAATCAAGAAAACCGTGCAACAGGGTGTGCCCAGAATAGAAACCCTAAACTCCTAACATTAAAAACCCTCATAGCCCAATATCCATGGTATCCCTTGTAGAAACCCTTATGGTAAACCTGTTGCACTGGCACTGCAAAGAAACCCTGGTCCTTTGCACATCGCTCCAGACCTGGAGGTGAAAGGAATGTGCCAAGGCACCAGGAGGGACGTAAACACAGCTTGCGCAAAACACCTGATAACACGCGGTTGTTGTAATGCCCGTTGCTTTCATGAGTACCATATTATGCACTAGTATTCGTGCTGTTAGTGTCGAGATGCACTTGTTAAAGAGTGTATTATTTCTGATCGTCGACGTCGTCGTTGCCGTCGTCCTCGTCCTCTTCCTCGTCCTCTGAACCTCGTGTTGAACCTCGTCGTTCTTGTCCGTTTAGTCGCAGTCGTCGTCGAAGCAGTAGTTGAAGTAATCGTCGTCGTCGTAGTCGTAGTGCCATATTGGGTGTTGGGCTCTCAACCAGCCGAGCCAGGGTCAAACAAGAAAAGATCAACTCTCCGATGTCCGCCCTCTCTCTCGCCTGCCGCGTAATTAGACGTTCATTGAGAGCGCCGTTTCCTCTGTTCCTGAGGGCTTAGGTTTTCGGGTTCAGGGTTTTGTAGGCTTCGAGCGTTTACGCAATATAACCCCTACATACCCTATAATTAAGCCCTAAAACCCATAAGCCCTTTAAGATCTTGAGGCTTTACCCTATAAGCCCTAAAACCCATGAACCCTTTAAGATCTTGAGGCTTTGGGGGTTTATGGCCTTCTCGGAACTCTGCTCTGCGTCGATGCGCCGGACCAAGCCCTGCCGTGCAAGCAGAGCCGTGCTGTCGGAGCGCAACCGGACCAGACTTCGGGCTTAGGATTTAGGCTTTAGGGTTTAGGGCTTAGGATTTAGAGGGCTCAGGGTTAAGGGCTAGTGTATGACTTGTACATCTATGAAGGGATTATACGAGTTCAGGCACCTGAAGCCGGTAACTCTCCACCACGGGCATCGACCTCAGCTGAGATGGCTGTTGCAGGACTCCAGTCTGCAAAGTGCCACCCTGCCTACGATACTTGGGAGTTTCCGAACATTCGGGGTACCCTATTTGAGGCCCTTATAATAAGGATCCTACTTCTACTATTTAGGGTCCCCTCTTTTCGGAAACTCCCAGACTTTGATGCTGAGCCACTCTTGCTGGAAGGTTACGAAGCGCTTTTTGATGGACCTTGGCATGAACTTCCGCGGAATCCAGACGCAAAAGCTTGCAAAAAGCGGCAAATGCAGACTCAGCAAATTGCTCCATGTTGTCATCGGCCCTTCCGCTTGTTTTCCCTCTTTCCACCAGCCGCACCTGCAGGACGACGGTACAGGATTTAGGGTTTTACGGTTTAGGATTTTGGGGTTTAGGGTTTAGGGTAGTCGGATCTGTCCGGGTTGAGCTGTTCAGTTGCCGCTACTCCTGTAGTCCCACAGCGCAAAAGCAAAACCAGGGAAACTCCGGTTGAACAGTACAATCTATTTTTTGTAATTTTCTTCATCGTACGGTAACTTATTATGGTTTACTTTTTTCAATGATGTGATGTAGTACCCTCTTTGGGGACTTGAGCCTGTTAAGACCCCCTGGACCTGCCAGCAAACGGAGGCTGCAGATCGCCTGCATCGTTTCCTCTGAGGCGTCGAAGAAGAGCACAAACTTCACCCGCACCTCCGTCCCAACAGGGTTTAGGGATACATTCTACAAGGATACTTGTATTATACACCTTTATATAATATTTAGCTTAATCCAAAATATGATAAATATCTTACAACATGCCACCGAAGCCATGTTGCAATCATTCAGGCCCCTCGGGAAGCCCGAGGGCCCGGACGTGCGACAGCGCTGCGACGGCTGTGAATTCTGAGGCGCCCTCCGAGTTGCCGATCACATTCTCCCAGCCTGACTCTTTAGGGTTCATGGTTAAGGGTTGAGGGTTAAGGGTTAGGGCTTCTATATAGAGTTCCATAGAAACACTGGTCTGAGCTCTTTTCACTATACTGTGGTGCACTGTGCAAATACTAGACAGCAAATATTGAAACATACATAGAGCACAACATATCGCACAATTTCTGTGTGCACTGTAGTATGGTATAGTATAATGAAATATAATATACTATGACATAACATAATAGTACAGAATAGAACAGAGATCAATATAGCAGCTTATGTTATGATACAACATAATATGATCCAACACAATAAACAAGGCATACCATAACATTAAACGAAATAACATCATTGACGCAACATAGCATAACATAACTTAGCACACTATGCTAGTTGATCTAACTGAACACAAACCTATGCAATTCAATATAATACCATATAGCAAGCCACGATATAATATGAAATCATATATGATATACGAAAACACAACACTACATTACGTTGTAAAACTACGATCCCAACACAACATGGATAAAATGTAAACATGAAATGGTAAAAATCTGATATAATGTAACACCCCACAAGATGCCGTAGCAGAACACAAGCCAACACCACATACTATAGTACACCATAGTCACAGATCATTGTACAGTATAATGCAATATACTACAAAAACGACCAACATCATACAATATCAGACTATATAAAACAACATGATATCAAAAAGTATAGCAACATACGACACCATACCATAATGTAATAGAATCTCATATGCTACAAAATGTATATGTATGACATGCTATGAGATCATAAAACATACAGCTGCACAGATTGGTCAACTCATCCTTCGCGCTTTCTGCATGAAGCTAGTGTCATGCATGCTCGGTGAATACGACGCTCTGTCCATCCTGTTGCTTCGGACGCGCCTTTCAAGTTGTCGAAACTTCTGGGAAACCCGTCGATCAAGTACCTGTATGATGCAAACAGGCCGATTTAAGCAGTGCGAAGCCCACGCAAAGACTCGCGAGTGCATCTTCATCTGGTGAAATGGAGCACCTTCCACCCTCCCAGCCAAACTTCACCATAGCCTCGCGCAACATGGTGCAACCATCTATTTCACAAGTCGAAAATTACAGTTCGCTCTGCTTGCTTTGATCGTTGCGACATCGGCCTGCTTGATCAGCTCGATGGTGATCTCCACTGGAACTAGCTTTCCCTCCTGCAGGTAGAGGAAGCAACAAGCCCGAAAGTCAAGGGCCAAGCACAACCACCGCACCAGACTGGCGAAGTCCTTGATGTAGGAGTTGATCAACTCACCGTACTCCGAACCCTCACGGGCCCTTTCCTGCTCTTTTAGGCAACAGCACGGCGTTTGACGCTCTCTGCGAAGATGTAACAAGACTAGTAGAGATACGAATAACCATCGTCATAATAACAGTTAGTACTACTGACGAATGATATAATACCACAAATGCTAATACTAATACTTCATAATATTGCTAAACTACAAGTAGTAGTTCCTTGCCGACCTCGCGAAGCAGGTCCCCAGCGCTGAGGTGCACGTAGCCGAAGCTCTCCTAAAAAGCGGAGAAAAAGGGGAGAAACCATCAGAGAGTGCCCCGAATATGATAATTTTTCTAGGTGGTAGTAAGGTTAGCTCTAAGATTACGTATAGTACTAATAATAAGTATAATAATAGCAATAACAGCAACACACCTCTCCAGTTTGTCACGGCATGCGATATTCGGACGAGAAGCACACAAAAGCGTGTTTGTATAAGCTCCGCACGGCTATCTTCGTGCACTGCGTGCCCTTTCCGGAACCAGGGCCACCCAAGACGAACACGACACTGGGACCAAAGAGCGCCTCCCGGCAACACGCTGCTGATTCGAGCATCGGTGAGACTTCGAACATTTCGATGATGCAGATGCTTCGGGCTACGTTATTACTGATGCATGGTTGAAAAGACACTCCCTCTTCAGAGACAACTGCCAGTTGAAGTGCAGCTGGGCTGAATTCAGACCAGCTCTAGCAGCTCTAGCAAAGTTTGCTTGAAGAGAAGGACCTGCACGTCTCGCCAGACGTCATCTCGGTGCTGCTCGGCATCTATCCTCCATGCTCATAGTCTTACCTTTGGTTAGTAGGGAATGGAGGAATGGGGTACAATTATAACTACTATTACGACCATTCTTCCATTCCCTACTAACCAAGGGTAAGCCATGCTCATAGTGGGACACTCTGCAATTGCACGGTGCAGGCGCAACTCGCAGCTCCTGACGACACGGCCATCTGCTTGGAACTTCTCCACCACCGGTCTCGACTCCTTCAACAGCGCCGCCCCCCGGATTTTTGTAGTCTGCAGTACTCAAGGCTCAGAAATGTGGAAGAAACGAGAGAAAACGTCCTGGTGGAAGGTCAGAAACCTTTTTCGAATTGACCTCGGAGATGAGAGCATCGACAGCAGGGACCCGAGTGGTTTAGGGGTTTACGGTGTTTGTGACTCTGAGATGGGCGACTCGATGTTATCATCTGCGCGGCCACTTGTCTTTCCTCGCTCCAGAAGCCGCGCCTTCAGGAACTCAAGAGGAGCCAAGACAAAGAGTGTGCTGAGTGGTGTACTTATACATATACATATATACAAGCATGAAAGTATTTGTAAATATTTCTTATAATAGGTAAGAATACATCTTCTGCATCTTGGTATGCACTGTTTGCACCACACCTCCATGACCTGCTCGCAAACGTCCAGGTAGAGCACAAACTTCACCAACACCTGTAGCGGCAGCGCAAAGATCAAGCGAGCATCCGGAAATTGGACAGGCACCTGGTCTCCAGCCATTTGCTCCCACGCTGCCAAATTGTCGAAGCTCCTTTGCACCACGGCCAGTTGCAAAGCCACTACACCAAGCCGTTTCGGAGAACCCTCCTCTCAAACCTGGTCCAATGCAAGAAAAAAGACAGCCCGCGGCTGCCGCAGAACACCACCAACCTTCAAGTCTACTCACACAGCGTGTGGATGATCAGAGATGTACGAGTCCTGGGGAAGCCATCGATAAGGTACTTGCCGCCTCCCCAACCTTTTTCTCGCATGGCCTGCTGCACTTGCATGCGGCTTTAAGAAGCACCGTCGACAAGGCCGCAAGGGCTTATGTCCCTTGCATCTGTATACTTGGAGGATCATGGGACTTACTAAGTAAGGCTATAAGTACCTTATTCGGGGTTATAAGTATAGATAAACCTAGTTATAACCCGAGTTACTACGTCCCATGATCCTTTAAGTAGTCTCTCCTCAACAACGCACGGCCCTGCAATCGTGACGCAGCAAAGGCGAGGCTCCTTGAACCCTGAAATCCTGGAACCCTGTAACCCGGGAACCCTAGAACCCCGGAACCTAAGTGGGAGTTTCCGAAACTAGGGGACCCTAATGTAGTACCCTAAATAGCAGGATCCTCATTTTCAGGACCCCAAAATGAGGTACCCCTAATTTTCGGAAACTCCCAAGTCCCAAACCCTGAAACCCCAGACTCCATAGACCTGGCTCTTGGATCAAAAGGCCTTAAGGATGAGCTCCACCGTGATGCTGGCAGGCACCAACTTCCCTTCCTTCACCGGAGAAGGAAAGGAGGGAGATATTCAGGGTTTAAGTTTACTTAAAGGATCATGTGACTTAGTAAGTAAGGTTATAAGTGCATTATTCGGGGTTATAAGTTTAGTTACCATAATTATGACCCTAGTTACTAAGTCCCATGATCCTTTAAGTCACCCTAAGAACCCTCTGGTAGACCCCTTACATATCCCTATTAAGGAGGCCCAATAAGGAACCCTAGTTACTAAGTCCCATGATCCTTAAAGGAACCCTAAATCCCTTCTTTTCGATCCCTTTTAAGGAGCCCTTTAAGGAACCCTATAGTTACTAAGTCCCATGATCCCCATTATAGAACCCCTATAGATCCCTTTAAGGAACCCAATTATAGAACCCTATAGTACCCATATCAAAAGGATCCCTAAACCCTAGTTACTAAGTCCCAGGATCATTTTAAGTGGGGCTGTAAGTAGACCCTAAACCCTAAACCCTATAGACCCCTTTAAGGAACCCCTATAGATCCCTTTTTAGGAACCCTAAGTCCCAGGATCCTTGTAAGTGGGGCTCAGGGTTCAAGGCCGACCCTCTTCATCTCAGGGCCTGCAGCCTTCTGATGCAAAAGGCCCGCAACAAAAACGCATAGGGGTTTAGGGGTTAGGGTTTAGGGATTTAATTAGGGTTTAGGGGTTTAGGGTTTAGGGGTTTGATTAGGGTTTAGGGTTTAGGGCTTCTCGCTTTTCTTTAGAAATAGAGGTCAGGGCGCGCGTCTCTCCAGCCCACTGAGCCCTGGTTCCGGGAGAGGGCCAGTTGTTTCTGCAGGGGTCTCGGGGGTTTAGGTTTCTGACGTTTTGGGCTCAGGATTGAGAGATTGGGCTTGGGGGCATAACGAGGCAGAGAAGCTTTTCCACGAGTACCAAACCCCTAAAATCCCTAAACCCTGAACCCCTAAAGGGCACGGGTTTAGGACCCGGGGTCGGTCAAGACAATGGGGATGTCGAGCTTGGTACTTGGAGGATCATGGGACTTAGTAAGTAAGGTTATAAGTACCTTATTCGGGGATACATGTATAGTTACCCTAATTATAGCCCTAGTTACTAGGTCCCATGATCCTTTAAGCAGCGTCTACATGACCTCGGTCAGGCCTTGATGTGGTTCTCGATCAGCTCACCCGTCTGGGAGCCAGGTCTCTTTCGCTCCTGCGCAGCTCGAAGCACGGTTTAGGGTTTAGGGTTTGGGGTTTAGGGCTTAGGGCCTTCCTCCCTTCCCCGGCCGGCCTCTCTTAGAAGATCGCCGGCGCTGAGATGCTGATAACCGCACGCCTGGAAGCTGGAAGTGCTTCCCCCATGGAGCCTTAACAGTTGAAATAGGGGTTTCGGGGTGTGTTACGAATGTGGATACTCTTCCTACTTCCCCTAAACCCTTAACCCTTACTTCTAAGATCCCTGCTGTGGCTTGGCCACACCTCCCTTGCAGCACCCATGCCGGCCTGGACAATCTGCGAGCAGAGCGTGCCTAGCAGCATCTTAGGGTTTAGGGTTTAGGGTTTAGGGTTTGGGGTTTAGGGTTTAGGGTTTAGGAGAATCACAGGGTGGCCAAACAAAGCACTCGTAGAACCCCAATATACAACATTATACAATAGACAACAGTATCGTATAATATTATAGTACAGTACGCTTTAGTAGAGCTATACAATAAACAACAGTATCGCATAATATTGTAGTACAGTATGCTCTGGTAGAGTTATACAACAAACAACAGTATCGTATAGTATAATAGTACATTACGCTTTGGTACTGCTATACAGTAAACAACAGTACCGCATAATATTATAGTACAGTATGCTATGATAGCAAAGAGTTATACAACAAACAACAGCATCGTATAATATCATAGTACAGTATGCTATGATAGGGTATGATACTGAAGAAGAGCTTCAGATGGGAGAGCCTTTTCCGGCACCAGGGCCGCCGAGAACGAACACCACACTGGGACCAAAGAGTCCCCGGACGTCTTTCCACACCTCGCAGCAGGGGACGGGGAAGTGATCTCCTGAGATGCTTAAGGGTTCCTTTAAGGGATCCTTACGGGTTCCTTTAAGGGTTCCTTTAAGGGATCCTTTAGGGTTCCTTTAAGGGTTCCTTTAAGGGATCCCTAAAGGGTTCCTTTAAGGGATCTATAGGGTTTCGGTTTAGGGTTCACGGTTCCCAGAGACTCCAATATCTCTTAATTCAGGAAAATACCTTGAAGCATATCAGGGATCCTATTCTAGTGTAAGGTATATTCCTTAGTCAAGGGATATTGGGATCCCTGGGTTTAAGGTTTAGGATCATGCGCTGGCACCTCTTCTACGGCCTTCTCGCACTGCACCTGTGCCAAGATCTGCGGATCAGAAACTGAATGGTCATGAAAGCACTCGATCGATCTCACATGTCAGACGTAAGGCATCACACTCACAAACGAAAGAACCACAGAAGCACTTCAAAACCCAACACTCTTTGTATATCGTATTTTGTTATTTTGTATGTAATATACTATAACATCGTGTTAGCTTATTCTATATTATGTCCTCCTGTCTCATATTACCTTATCTTAGTTGCTGAGTTCATACGTCCCCAAAAGTGTGCCCTTTTAGTTTTATAATGGGTAATATTATCCCAAAAAGTTTAAAGTGTATCCACTCAGCTACTAAGTATATTATATTAGATTACATTTTACTCTTTGGCGCCTGCCGCAGGAGCCCTTTGGATTTCAGGTGCTCGGCGACGGGCACGGACTCCTTTCTTCCCCGCCCCGGGCTCCCGGGATCTTGCCGTTGAAAGTACGGTTTAGGCTTTAGAGTTTAGGGTTTAGGGCCCGTTCCATGGCCCCTTTCACAACAAACAGTTCGCACTCGCAGCATGGCTCACGCTTTTTAAGCATTGATGAATGAAGTCGTCAGCAGTCTAAAAAGGCACAGACATCCACACCTAAGCCCAAATCGAGGTGCAAAGTGAAGGAACTGAAACGAAAGAACATGCTCAAATTTGTCCAAGTGTTGGTGTATTTCGGATAGCTGTTGCCAAGCTGGACCCGCGTCCCCTTCACACCGAGGGGCACTTCTGACCAGCTCGGTGCTCCCAGGGGGCAACAGAAGCTTGGCAATGCATAAAATATATAATCGATTATATAATGCATATTGTATATTTGGGAGTGCCACGAAATTGTATAAGGCCTTTCTGATACGGCAGCTAAACATTTATGCTGGATACCCTGCCTCAGGGATGACTGGGCTACTTTGACCGAGCTCTTTGTGAGCTTTCCATCACACATGGCAAACCTTCACATCGGAAGTGATAGGTCACCTTCACAGGCGTCTTGGACGGGCTGTGTGCAGAAACACGAAAGGTGAGACGATATCAACACAAAACAGAGCGACCTACTTAAGATATCATCTTTATCTCGGACAGAACTGCCTGCATGCAAAGATAGCATCCTGAAATTTCAAAACAGGGTCTCTGAGCAACCGCAAGAGCCTGGGCCTAGTGCTGGTTATATATCCAAGCCTATGGGCTTTTATTTGCGGCTGCCCAGTGAAACGACTGCAGTGGGCTGTTGCCGGAACGATCCAGGTGGCAACAACCCTCGTAGTGGCCTTGGTGCCTAAAACTTAGGTGGGCGGAGGCCCGGATCTGCACCCCAAGGGTGCAACGCGTCGTGCAGAATGGCATACTTGTGATTCCTGCCTACGCGGACTAGCGGGGTCCGCCTTGGAGGACTTCAGATGAGATGACCCTTGATTCCTAGCTGCTACAGTTTCATCACAAGAGTTTGCCTGAAGAACCGAAGCTTTGCTTTCATCAGGCTGGGACTGCCTCCGGCTCGACCTGACACGCAGAAACCGCAGCCACAACACACGCAACTCAGCTCGTTTAGGCTTCCGGGGTTGGGGTTTAGGGTTGAGCGTTTAGGGTTTTGGGGTTAAGGTTTAGGGCTTTTGGGTTTAGGGTTTAGGGCTTTTGGGGGTTTGGGGACTGGGCCTTGCTGGAGCCGCCGAACATCTTCCACTTCTTCTTTCCCGGGTTCGAATCGACCAGGGATTTCAGAGGTCCAGGCACGTACTCCTCAAGGCTTCCACTCGCGCTAAAGCGGGAGATTATGGGAGGAGACTTGGGATCCATCACGGCTTCGCGCCGCTCCCACTACAAATCGCAACGCCTATGCCGTGCCTATGCCTACGCCTAGCTCCGACTCCCTGAAGCCCCTGCTATCTCGAGGTTACTATACGATATGTAATCTACTACAATAAATACTATACTGCAATAACATCATACGATTGAGGAGCACCCCCTGGCCAGCGCTCCTCTGCACAGCCCATCTCCTCTGCGGCAATGAAACACTGGAGCGAAGTGTCGACCGCCAACCCGAAGACGTTCATGTAAAGGTGGGCCTCGCGATGTCCGGCAACCCTCACTTGAAGCTTTAAATATAGGGGCCTTAATACTTAGAATGGGGATTTGGGGACCATTCTACCATATTTATATTGAAGTACCCCAACATAGTATTCTACATGGTCCATTGCTCTCAGAATGACTGCTCGGGGTGTAGTCCAAGCCCCCGGAAGCGAGAGTGCTTCAGAGTCCCTGCAATGAGATTGTTTTCAGGACAAGCGGCAACGATGTACCCGGTGGCTGCATACGTCAGTAGGGGCAGAAGCGGATCTTCGCTTGGATGGAAGGCCTGGCAGCCAATGACAAGAGAGCTTCTGAAAGCAACGGGAGGCTTCTCAGAATTAAGGTCCCTGAGCAGTAGGATCCAAGCATCCTTAGAATAAGCAAGGTAGCCTTGAATAGAAACCTTCACACCAGAGAAGGCTGAAGTTCATCACTCCACGGCTGCTAGCTGATCGTTCGCAGAGTCCAACCCCGCCCCCCCCTCCTTTCCAGCCCTGCACAACACCGTCTTCGCACATTTGCAAAAGAAAATGTACAAATGTGCGCCCTTGTCTTTCATGCTGCTTCATCTGCTCTCATCGATCTGGCCCTGCTACGGTAGTATGATCTGATTAGGTCGTTTTCGCATCGAGCTCCAAGCTCAGCACGCCAAATCACAAAATCATGCCAAGCACCGCAAACACATAAAATCTAAAAAAGGATGAGGTCCGTTTGGCAACAAGCGGCATCGAAGACAAAGTAGCCGATGACGGTGGTCCCCACAAAGATGACCGTCCAGCCGATATAGTGGATCACGGTGCCAAGAATGGCCTGGCTTTCATCGCCGCTTCTTTTCTTGGGTTTTGGATCTGACACAGGGTACCGATTTCAGCAGCCAGCGAGGCTAAGTAGAGACAGCTGTGGAGAGAGAACATGCACGGCATTCCCTCGCCGAGACACGACGACCCCGAAGCGGAACATGTTGCGAATGATCAGCTGGAAAGCATTCCTCGGCTGCGGAGACATTGCTGATTAATACTAATACCGCATGTAATGGTAATACTAATTCTAATAGTAATACTAATACTAATAGTAATACTAATTCTAGTAGTAATGCTAACATTAATACCACCTCTGTAAGATTTCCTGCAGCCTGCAGCCTGCCGCCTGCTCCTGAAATCGGATGCACCGACTCTACGCATCGAAGCGTCTTGGCGGATGTGCAGAAGTTGGTGCCCATTAGGGCGACCTGCACGACGGCGATACTTCAAGGATCATGGGACTTAGTAACTAGGGTTATAATTAGGGTAACTGAACTCATAGCTGCTTATAACCCCAATTAGGGTACTTGTAACCTTACTTACTAAGTCCCACGATCTTCCAAGTATGACCGGATTTATGCCGTCGCCTCTGTCAGTCTGGAGCCTTCTCAGTCTAACTTTGAAAGACAGAGGCAGAAGCTCTGCACAGCACGTCCTCAAGTGCGAATGTGGGAACATGAACACGTGCAGTCTCTTCGCAGTGTGAACTCCACATACACGGCTTCAGCATGAACAACTTGCAATGGGAAAAATGCCTGGACTGGAAAGTAATTAGATTGGATGCCCTTCTGTAGCTGTTCCAGTCTGCCTCAGCACTGCCTCAGCCTGCTGGTGAAAAACGAACACAAACTGCCGACGGCGCGTGTGTGCCGCGTGCCTGGATGTACGCGTTCTTGTTGAGGAACTTGATGCACTTCCTCGGTGAAAATTGCAATCCTTCTTGCAACCCCAAAATGCCCGAATAGCCTTCTGCTGAAAACCTTTTTTGCAGTCCCTTTACTAGGCCGTAGAGTACTCTCGTAGCACCCTTAAAGGGAATCCTGTTGTAGTACCCTTAAAGGGAACCCTATTTCTAGAACCCTATAGCCCCCTCAAGGGGCTCCCTCAAAGCGGCCAATGCGGGAGAGCGGCTCAACACACCAAATAATGCATCCAAGAACTTTAAGGACGATCACCTGCAGAGGCGCGATGTCTCAGACTAAGAGGGTTTAGGGCTTCTGGTCGTCAGAATACGAACCCCTGGTTTTGGGTTGAAGGTTTTGGGTTTAAGGTTCAAGGCTCAGGGTTTAGTGGCCTTTTAGGGCCCAGGGTTCAGGGGTGCCTGTCATCAACATTTTGTATTTGGTTTCCACACGGTATACCCACGACGTGCCGCGACATCGAGACTCAACAACTGCCAACATCAAGGCGGCATTCCCTGAGGCATGGGCCATGACTCGATTCTTTTGAGCAGCCGCCTTTCAAAAACTCCGGGTCAGTCTGTGTCACAACATCAAAGCGCACGACCCTACTGCTCGTCGATTTTCCCGCACCCGCACGGACCTGCTTCTCAAAGTACTTGCAGAGATACCTGCAAGAATGCCGCTGGAAGAGAGGTGCTTGGCGATGAGTGCAAAAGTAATATTAGCAATAATGATAAAAACGATAATAATGGTAATAATAGTAGTAATGGTAGTAATGGTAATAATGGTAGTGCTCGTAATGATCGGAATTATAGCAATAGTTGGAAATAGCGTTATGAGTGACGATAGCAGTAGCAAGAAACGCAAGGCCTGATGAACTGAACCAAGGCCAGGATGAAGGCTCCTAAGCCATCGAACATGCACTGCAGGCTGTCTAACGTAGGAGCCTTAACAATCAGAATAGGGCTTTGGGGCCCATTATACAATAATTATAACAAGGAAACCTCAAAATAGCACAGGCAATTTTTTGGCCCCTATATTACATGCAAGGTCTGAGACCCAGGCCGAAGGCAAGTGTGCCTAAATGATAGCCTCGGGAAGATCTGCAGCGCATTCTGCACACTTCCGAACATCTGCAAGACGTTCAGGCCAGAACGGAAAGAACTCCACACTGCTCCTCGGATTACTGGCTCCTGCAATGTGCCGGAAGCACAACTCTACAGTGAAAGACGAGTGAGGAACCGTCCAAACCGGTCCTTGCCACGCCTCTCGTCGATAGTAAAGAACCACTGGGCACACGCAAAGGCGACGATTAGCCTGGGAGGTCAACACCGGACCAGTCACCAACACAGATCAACTCGCAGATAGCCTCTCTGCAATCAAAGCGCTCTGACACACCATGATGAAACCCCCCGGTGCAGTCCAACAAAGATTGCATAAACACTCCCGAAACCTCCCCACATCCCGCTTCCCAGCTCCAGGAATCCAGGGGCGATATCAAACCATATCAAACCATGATCAAACCCATCAAAACCCTTGCAAAGCTGCCTGATTCCTCCACCCTATAAACCATGCCCGACACGTGTCCTAAAGCTCCAGGTCCAAGCAGAACCCAATACCCTGCAACACCTTCCCGCCTTCATCACCTAATTCTGCAACCCTACAGCCCTCATCCCCTGCAACAAGACCCTGGTAGTAATGAAACGCTTACGGGAACCCCTAATTATAAGAATCCCTACAGGAACTCTAAAGGTCACCTCCCTCTTAGAGTCCCCCTGAAACCGACTTCAAGGAAGGAGGCCTCAAAAGGTGGGATGAAGGTAGGTAGGAGTGAGGATACCTTGTCTGAGGACTCTTCTTGTGGGATTCCTCCACCGGCCTTCATCCAACCCTTGGAGCCCTAAAGCCTAAACCCTAAAGGAGCGGTTTAGGGTTTAGGGTTTAGGGTTTAGGGTTTAGGGTTTAGGGTTTAGGGTTTAGGGTTTAGCGTTTAGGGACCCCTTCATCCCACCCTTGAGCCCTTTGATTCAAGGAAGGAGGCTGGCCCAGCGCCACGAGAAATGCGTTGTTCCAGAGGAGCGAGAAGAAGGCCTTGGGCCAGGGTTTGGGGCTTCAGGATTTTCGTTTAAGGCTTAGGGTTCGGGGCTTTCGGGATATTGGGGTTTAGGGTTTTAAGGTCTTGGGGTTTAGGTTTAGGGTTTTTGGGTTTTGGGGTTTAGGGTTCAGGGTTTAGGGCTTTTGTGTTTGAGGTTTGGGATACAGGGTCTACGATTTAAAATTAGGGTATTGCTATAAGGTTTGGGGCTTGCTTCAAGAGAGATCCTAAGTAGTTTCAGAATATCAGGGTATATTCAGAGACCCACGGTTCTTGATCGGGCTCTTCATCCTTCAGGGCGGTAACGTGAGTCTAAAAAAGCACCAGGTCTTCTTGGTTCCTACTTCTTAGCTCCTAGACCAACGCACTGAAGCTTCACAGGCTTCCCGAACCCTAAACCCTTACCTGGACCCTAAGGAACCTACCTTTTTTAGGGTTCCCTAATATGATTTCTTTATATAAGTCCTTGAAAAGGTAGGTTACCTGGGGTTAAGGTATACAGAATGCAATCAGAGCCACTGCTGCAAACTTGGCGTCGAAGGCGTAACGAGGTGGAGAACATCTCCAGCACCGAGGCCTGAGAGGGGATTCAGCTTGCGGTGTTGATAACTTTTATACAAGTAGTTACCCTTAGACTTCCCCTTATAGTAGCCCTTGTTGTACTCTTATAGTTAGTTACCCTTGTTCTAAGGTGGAAACAACTCTTTGGAGTCTACGCCGCGCAAGCGCACCATTCCATGTGAGACAGTTGAGCCGGCTTCAGCGCTTCAAATTTGACGCAACGTTGCTCTAAGGCCTAGAAACCGAAATCCTGCGCCCTGCAAACCCCATAACCCTAAACCCTGTCCTTCTTTTCATAAGGATGTAGGAATTTACGGTATTCGAGCCGCACCTCCTCAATCTCCCTGAGCAAGGGCTTTCGGGAAACGAAGCGTATGGGGTCTCTCTCTCCTTCACGCCACGAAGAAGCTTGTCTGCACAGGGGATTGGGTTTAGGTCAAGACCTGTAAAACCTCTATGGAAGCCTTAACCAGGAAGTTGCTGGGAGTTCGCACAGCCCTCAGCTCCCATTGCGCTCTGAGTGCCGTGCACCAGGCCCGTCGTGTCTCCAAAGACCCCGGTGCAGGTGTCGTTGGCCGAGCTTATGTTCCCCTGCGCCAGGGGCCTTTAGGGGTTTTGGGGCTTGGGGCTGAGAATTGAAGGGTAGGGATTCCTGCTGGTTCGCAAGGTCGTGCTTCGCTTCTGCGTCACGGGGCTCCCGCTTTACAGCCAGGCAGAGTCCATGAAACATACTGATCTCCGTCGTGACACCCGTTCTCACGCACTCCTCAACGAAGATGCGTCTGCATGCTCACACTCTCCGCAACGAAGACACAACTTAACACTGCTCTCTTATGACAAAGTCAGCAAGATAGTTCTATTCCACCAGAACAAGTTATACTATCTGGTATTCCATTATCTTGCATTGTCATATATTCTAGCGCATGATACTACATTATGCGATATAACCGTCATGATACTGATGTGGAAATTATCTCATAGCATACATATTGTATGATTTATTTTATACTGTATTATACCATACGATATTGTCTCTATTATATTACACGATGCTATATTATGCTAGACAAATACTACAGTTAGCATAATACGCTGCAGTCTAGCTCTGATGGGAGGCCAAAAGGGGGGTTCCAGATTCTTGGGTTAGGGATTCCTTAATATGAACCCTATTACAGGGCACTCCAGAAAGTTGGAATATGGTTTCATGGTAGGATACCCTATAATTTACCATAGAAGGGTTAAGATAATCATATTCCAACTTTCTGGCTTTTACCTTATGGGAACCCTAATCCCTACTAAACCCCCATAGGCTAAAAAAACCCTTTTGGCCTATGAAGCTCAGCCGGCCTCGTACTTCCAAACGGTGCTTTGTGGCCACTTGTCCGTGCAAAGCCCGGGCGTTGTGTCGTTTCCCCACCTTCGGAAAGGGTTAGGGTTCAGGGTTTAGGGTCTTTTTTTGGTACACTTCTCGATTTGTAGGGTTTAGGGTTTAGGACACTGCCGCTGGGAGGTTTCTCTTTTGTTACGGCCATGGGCTGGTAGGGATTAGGGTTTAGAGTTTGGGGGTGCGCATAGTAGGCCATCTGCTCTTCCAGCTCCCTCCCGCGAAAGAAAAGAGGACATGTAGGCGCAACCGGACACAAGACTTTCTTTCACTTCTTTTGCCAAGAAGCGCTTCTTCATATGTGGCAAACGCTTCAGTTGGCCTCATGCAGCCCGCAGAACTCTGAAGTTTCAGGTGGCGCGCGACGCGAGCTGCACTGCGACTCAGGCGGCAGCGTATAATCTGCGGGGACTTGGGAGAGAAGGAAAGACGCACAAACAATCCAGATCAGAATCCAAGCGAAGCCAATGAGGATCTGGACAATCTCAGCTCTGCAGGGTTTAGCGTTTGGGCGCATCCGAGGAATGGACATGGGACCTCAAGAACTCGTCAGCAATGGCCAAGGAGCTGGAACTGCCAGGATTGTGGGGTTGCTGGCCACGAATGATGCCTGTGAGGATATCCCAAGAATACACATGTGCCAGGCTTGGTGCACATCCGAAAGAAACGGATGTGAACAGGCCCGGCGCAACGCTATGCGGCCTGCGGTGTGCAAAATCCAAACTAGATCTGAGCCTGAATGCAGCTCAAGCGGCAGCTACTTTGTTGACGCCAATAGCTAGCCGAATTCGCTTCTGCAGGAAGCAGACGGCAATGATCTCAGCCAGTTGGAAATTGACCCCAGCTGCTTCGTAGCAGGGGTCGGAGGCACCCAACGAAACATGTTGCGGCCAAGAAGCCCAGATCACGCCCAAACCCCAAATGATGTAGGCCAAGACCCGGACAAACTCACCTGAGAAGCTGTAGGTGAGAAAGCAGATGTTAAAGGTGCTGCTTGTATGCAAACCATCGAAGCTGATTCTGTTCCAGGCAAAAAGACGGATGCCAGTATCCTCAATCGCGAATCCTTTGCTGCCTCAGCCATCAGATCATTCTCCGCTTCCATAAGCAGACAAGCACACCCGACGCAGACGGATCGAAACGAAGTTCATGCAAGATCTCAAGTAATGGTTGTAAGTGCCAGGCACTCTCCGAGGGTTACTCCAACCTTGGCTTAACGACTACGTCAAGCTTCCGCCCCATGCCGGAGAGTTCCGCAGGACCTGCAGACAAGGAGCCGGATTGCAAAGCTCCCACTTCTTGTTCTTGTCCGTCGTAAAGCACCTTCTTCGCTAGACGAGGCTCAGGCTCAAGGCCCCAGAAGTCCCAGAAGTCCCAGAAAGGCACGTCAACGGATCTGCTGTAGCACTCGTTCCCGTCACCGTGGTGCCACGAATAAAACAACGACGATGTAGGGTCATGAAAGTGCACAGAAAGCACAGGACAGCGTCATGAAATGGTAGACGTTCTGGGACTCCCACCAGATCGTCGTGGCTGCCCCATCTGGGTTACGACCTGCTCAATTTATGTATCTGACATGTTGTTGCGGAGTTGGAAGGCCCATCAAACTGATGCACTGGCCGAAACATGCTGAATTGGGCTTCCCACAGAAATTCTCTTCGAGCTCCGGGTACGCCGTCAGGTCGTAGCCTGAGCTTATCGAATCCCACTAAAAAGGAGAACCAGTCGATCCTATGGAGGCATGATGGAAGCCTTCAAAGCACAACTTCGGACAGGGAGCTGATGTTGTGGGGGCTGTCGTGGTCCCAACGCTGGCAGGTGTAAAGGCTCCTGTTGCTGCTGCCAGTAATTAGCAGTTTCAGCTTTGGGTCCGCAGAAGGGGCACAAAAGGAAGGATAGTTGCGGAGCATGTGCCTCTTGCAAATGTATATCTACACATCGAAGTTTCGATGAAAGTGTCCAGATTATTGAACATGTGTGTCTGACTCACTGTCTTACCAGACCAAGGCCACAAAGACCTCTGTCGTGTTCTCTGCCATGAAACGTTACCGAATGGTAACACCGTGCAACAAGCCCCTCCACGCTGCTGTTTCATATTACTGCTGCTGCCACGGCTGCTGCTACTACTGCTGCTGCACAGCGACGACGACGACGAGTCCTGCTCCATCTCCTACTCCTTGCCGTACTCCTCCTTTGCTGCACCTCCTCTACTGTACCTCCTCCTTCCACTACTCCTCGACGAGTCTCTCACGGCATGTGTCTGTGGCAACTTGCCTCCGATTAAAGCGATTGGTGGCGTTGCTAGAAACGTTTGGCCTTGTGCAGCAGGCAACCACCCCAAACGGGCCAAAACACACCCTACACCCTAGATCCTAAACCCTAAACCCTAAACCCTGAACCCTAAACCAAGCCAGCAAACTCTCGTTGATAGGCTCAAACATTGCCACAAGCCTGGCCTCCCCGGCGATGAAAACAAGAAACAACACCATACCACAAGGAAAATCATGGAAAGGAAATGGGAAGAGGAGGGAGTTTCCGGAAATAGGGGGACCCTGAAATAGTACCCTAAATAGTAGGCTCATTATTATAAGGACCCCAAAATAAGGTACCCCGGAAACTCCCAGGAAAGAACTGGTACTTCGCACAGATAAGCCGATGCCCAAGTCCGCTCAATAGCACTTTGCCAGATGCATGTGATTAAGCTATCGAAACAATATCCGGTAGAAGCAATATCGATGGAGAACCATACACAGCTGTTGGATCACAAGAATGATCCGTCCCCTGCTGGGTTAGCACCAACCCATCAACACAAGCGCACGATGATCCGTGACTTTAGCTGCCTTCCGCAAGTGTCTCCTCAGTGTAAAGTCTACATCTTCAGTTGCTCTTCTATGGGAGTCCGCTCGTTCTTTTGTGGCCACGCCACGGAAAAGTTCCAAGGACTGACTTCGCATACTTGGAGTTTCCAAAAATTAGGGGACCCTAATTTAGTACCCCAAATAGTAGGATCCTCATTATAAGGACCCCAAAAGAGGGCACCCCTAATTATCGGAAACCCCCCCATTTCAAGACAGTCCTGGTGAAGCGCTGGCCGCCCCGATAGTCGCTGCCATTCCCGGAGAGCGCTTCACTGCGCGCCACCGTCCCAGACCTGCTTGGAGTCGGCTTGGAGGCGTCAGAACGCACATGGCGATAAGAAGAATCACCCCAGAAACCCAACAGCCACCAAAACCCCCCAAAGACACCCAACCTAAATGCCAAAACCGCCCCAAAGAAACCCAACCCTAAACCCTAAGCCCCAAAGAAACCCAACCCTAAACCCTAAACCCCCGAAGAAACCCAAAAGCCCCAAAAAATTGCTCAGGGCTTGGCACGGCATTGGAGACCGCCACCACGGCGGTTGAGACCAAGGCCGAACCTACAAAGAAGAACTGGGGATCTGGAGCTCAGCGTAGGGTTTAGGGGTTTAGGATTCAAGGTTTAGGGTTTATTTTTTTTTTAACCCTCGTGTCTTTTCCACCTGTTAGGCTCGAGACTACCGTTACGGTTGAGGGAGGAGGTTTAGGGTTTAGGGTTTCAGGGTTTAGGGTGTAGGTTTATAGATCATGGGACTTAGTAACTAGAGGGTTCCTTAAAGGGCTCCTTAAAAGGGATCCACAAGGGTTCTAGAAGAGGGATCTGAGGGTTACTTAAAGGATCATAGGACCAAAGGAAAATTAGGCTAACTATACTTATAACTACTTATAATCCCAATTACTAAGTCCCATGATCCTCCAAGCAGGGTTTTGGGGTGTGGGATTTTCGCGGCTAAGGGCTTTAGAATGTGAGGTTTAGGGATTGTGGGGATTTGAGACTGCAGATTTTTGGGAAGTGTAGGATTTGCATTTACGGTTTTGGGTTGTGGGGTTCAGGGATGGTAGGACTTGGGGCTACTGGTTTTGGAATGTGGGGTTTAGGGAGTGTACTGTTTTGGGCCTGGGGGTGTAGGATCTCGGGTAGAGTTTCTAGGCTCCTGGGGTTTGCTTAGGACTCGGGGAGAGGGAGGGTTCTGTGATTATGTTCATGTTTGTTCTACTTATGTGAAATGAACACGCACTTCTTCTTTCTCTCATCCGCTTTTTCAATGCATTTACTTGCGGACAAAGACTCTCTTCACATTATAATGGATGAACGACAGATGTGAGTAAAGGAAGGAAGCACGAATGGAAGAGAGCCAAAAGACCAAAATAGAAATGTAACAAAGCGCGCGCGCGCGTTCGCTTCACTTCTTTGTCCCGTTGTTACGCTTTAGCCTCGGGCCCCAGGGCTTCAAGGGGTTTAGGGTTTAGGGTTTAGGGTTTAGGGTTTAGGGTTTAGGCTGCCAAGTGGCTGGTTTCAAGTCCAGTCTCAAGGAGGCCGGCACCTTGACATTGGAAGCTCCGGATGAAGACCACGAGTCCTGAACGCGCCACGGCAGAGCCAAGCGTGTTCTTCTCGGGTTTTCGGTCGTTCTTTCATCGAAGATGCCCGAATCCGCGATTTCTCGCTGCCCTGGCCTCCAAAGGCTAAAGCTGCTGTTACCAGGAATATCGAGCACCAGACGACCTGAGCGAAATCAGCCGCACAGCCGAAGGGATGCCTCAAAGGAGACTGAGAGAACTCTGGGCCTCCCACCACACCAACCAGAAAGCGGAGTGAAGCCAGAAAGACCAGACCAAGTATGAAGGAGAAGAAGCCAACCACCTGGGTCCAGGCGCTTGGGCCCTTTCAGACAGCGAGAACCACGAAACCCAAGCTTGGCCGGGACCCCAGCAAGGAAGGCATCCATGGTGGCCATCCTCAAAACACAGGAAATTCGATCCGAAACCCAGAACCTCTACCCTAAACCCTAAACCCTTACCCTAAACCCAAAACCCTATTAAGCCTTAAACCCTCTGAGCTCTGGCTTTTATTTCCTTTGATCTCCAACTCTCTGCCGAGGCTCAACTCGCTGAAGACACCGGCCTGGGACACACAAGTTTCAAAGGGGAAAAGGAGGGACCCTTAATGGGGACCCTTACCCTAGAATGGGCTATATAATGGGTATATAATAGCTAAATTAAGGGTATATACCTAGAGGTCCTTATTAAGGGTCCCTCCTGTTACCCTTGGAAAGTTCAAGACAGAAAACACAGGGCTTGTGGGGTTTAGGGTTTGGCCGCAGAAAACCGCACAAAAGTTCAGGGACTTCGTAACCAGGGTTGCAAACAAGGCAACTATACTTAGCCAATGCTATTTTGGGGTTCCTTATTACAAAGAATAGTATAATGTAACCCAAACCCTATTGCAAGTGCGAAACAGAGGCTTTAAGTTTGGTGCTTATATTGCTTTGGGTTTAGAGATCGAGGCTTCAGGTTTAGAGCTTAGGGCTTCGGGTTTAGTGCTTACCTTAACCCCAAGTAACCTACCTTTTTAGGACTTATATCAAGAAATCATATTAGGGAACCCTACAAAGGCAGGTTCCTTAGGGTCCAGGTAGGGCTTTAAGGGGAAAAGCCCCCAAAGCCGAAAGCTGTGCCTGGCTCTCGAGGATCCGCATCGCCTGCTCCCCAGCGCCTCCAAAACGGCTCAGGCTGAGAGCTAGGAACCCATAAACCCCTTTACCCTTAACATAACCCGTGGGTTCAGGGTATCGGGTTTAGGGTTTAGGCTAAACCCCCAACACCCACTTCATACAACCCCAAACCCCCATCAGCCCAAACCTCCCTCTCAACCCCAAAAGTGCCCTAAACCCCACCACACTGGGCCCGGCCTTCCAGCGTGGAGGTCAGAGCATCGCCCAGGACGGCAGCGACTCCCGTGTCGACTTTGGGCATACACCGGTCGAAGGGTGCCTCATGCAAAAGATATGGATTCATGTTCTAGTATATCTGACTATAATACATATGATATATTCACGATCAGTTGTATCATACTATTATATATATATATATATATATACATGATGTTGCATTATGTTTCAGTATTATCGCAAGACGTTCCGAATGTTCTTCTTCAGCTGGTCTTTCTGAGGCGGCCCACGTCTCGGAAGGCGACGCCGGGGAAGGGAATGCAGTATCTCTCATGGTACGGGCAGACCTGGCGACGCTGGGCCGAAAGGCGCGGGATCTGACGAGCTCCCCTAAACTCTAAACCCTAGCTTAGGGTTTATGGTTTTGGGTTTTTGGGGGGTTTAGGGTTTAGGGTTTTGGGTTTTTGGGGAGGTTAGGGTTTTGGGTTTAAGGTGTAGGGCCACTTAGGGTTTAGGGTCAGCCTCCAACGGCAGAGCCGTGAACGTGAACTCATTGTTGATTGTATCCTGCACACAGAAGGGGCACGGCTAAGCGACAAGCCCCCTAAAACCTAAACCCTAAACCTTAAACCCCTAAACTTCTAAACCAGAAAAACACCAAACCCTAAACCCAAACCCTGAACCCCTAAACCCTCCCGAAGGTCCTGAAGGCTTGCTGGCACGGAGGGGTTCCTGGCTAAAGTGTCCCAGGCAAACTTCCAAGATGACGTTGGTGTTGGCGAGTAGACGTAGCTGCGGAGACCTGCGGTGCTGGGTGACGTCGATGCATAGAATGAGAGTAGTTAGGGGTTCCTTAAAAAAGGGGTCTATATAAGGGCTACTATAAGGGATCCATAAGATGATTAGGGTTCCCTTAAAAGCGGTCTTTTTCAGTGTTACGATAAGGGATCTATAAGGGTACTATACAATGATTAGGGTCCCTTACAAGGGGTCTATATAGGGGTTTCTGTAAAGGATCTATTGGGGGTACTAGAAAATAGGGGCCTTACTAATAAGAATAGGGTTTGGGGCCCATTATGTTACAACTGTAATAAGGAACCCCAAAAATAGTCAACAACCAGTACCCTTTCATCTTCAGCCAGGCTCCCCACTGAAACACAAGAGCAGGTGGAAAGGAAACGAAAACCCGATGTCCTGGCCTGCAACCGAGGAGTCATTGACCGCAGGCGCAGCGCAGGATGTCTGATTCAAGCAAACGGCAACCATGAATTTGGTCATCTCCTTTGCCGCGGCGCAGGGTTGGAGAGCAAGCGCGAAGATATAAGCCAAGAACGAACCAACACAGAATTCTGAAATCGGCCGTGGCACACCCCAAATCGCTTCTGCATCGAAGGACACCGCATTCGCGCTGCCCGACGAGAACAGCGACGCGGCTTTGCTGGGATCTGTGAACTCCGACATCCTCGGAAAGCGCCGGGGGGGGGGGGAGAAATGCAGCTCCCTCTTGCAAGGCTTGCATGAAGTCGTCCTTGAACCGATGGAAGTCGCCGCAGTAGCGGGATCCTGCCAACCATCTGATGCTGTGAAGAAGATGTCGCAAGACAGTGATAGATGGAAACTGAAAGCACACCGGGGGAACGGCCTCAATATCTTGTAGGCCCAAGCTGGCTTGACAGCTTGCGCAAGGTAGCTTGCAGCAGGCACATTTGTAGTCATCCATGTCGGCCTAAGCGATGCCGGACACAGGAGCCCTAAACGTCATCTCCTGGCCTGCCTTCATCTTTTCAAAACTTAGCCCAGTTGCGCTTGAAAGAATGGTGACCAAAGCATTCTCCGCCTTAATCCATGAATGCATGAGAGCCCTACCATGTGGCCATGTGAGTTTCAAATCAAGCGCGCTTCTCTGCCAGACATGCACAGGACAGCTGACTGGGGTCAATACTGCCGTGGAACAGATCAGCTGTTTCGCAACCTCATCCACAGTCGCAGATACATTGAGTGTCCTGCGCAAGATGCGGCCGCGAGGAGCAAAAGAACACTATGTCGCTACGTTTCTCTGTACCAGCACCAGTTCGCACTCCAAGCCGTTGCCAGAACTTGTGATCACAAGGACACTTACGGGGGTAGGGAGGAGGAGGGCAGGGGGCCTTAAGACCTATAATAAGCACTGAATAAGGCCCATTTAAGGAAGTATAGTCCCTTACCCTCCTCCCCCCTACCCCCCCTAAGGGTCCCCATGATGTGACCACAGATGGACTTCGATTCTTGGTGCCCCCAAGATATCCAACGACGCTGGGAGACGTTTTAGCACTCGGCTCGCTTCTCCTCCGGAAGAGAAACCCATGATGAGAATGCCATGACAGCCCGTCCTAAGGAGCTTCTTCACTCCCTGGTACTCTTCAAGATCGCAATAGTCGCCCTTGAAATCGCGCCTCGCAGGAGTGAACACATGAAACGTGAATGAAAGCTGAGCTGGGTCATCCTCCGGGTCTATGCACACGGAACAGGCGCTGTGCGACGCGTGCATCTCAGAAGACGAGCTGCGGCAAGTATAGTTTCGAAGGATTCCCATCCGCATATCCAGCAAACACGATCGCTGCGAAGCCAAACCAGTGCCTCAGAGTCCGCATCGTGTGTCTGTGTGGGTACATACATGTATGATATCCGCCGAGGCCAGAGGCCCAGGCGTCTTGATGGTTACCTCAGGTACCCTCCACCTAATCCTCCTCCCTGCAGTCCAAATGTTTGGAGACACCCGTTTTTTGCGTTCGTTTGCCACCGGATTTCACCTGATTTGTCGACCGTGTAAAGCCTGCCGCTACACAGCCGAGGCGGGCGGCGTAGCGTTAAAATTACCTTCGTATACATGCGCGGACACACTGTACCTATGTTCATGTATGTCACATGCACATATGCCATAGGCAGAGCTGGCACACAGGAACCTACAACCTCAATGACAACGATTCCAGTTCAGGCCATACCATGCTGACAGAAGTGCTGGCCGCTCGCTGCAACTGAAGCATAACTTATGCTGAGGACTCCAAATTTACACGGAGCTACGGCCATCAATGGTTCCTTTTGTTGCGTGCCCTTTTCGGACTGCATACAGCTAGATTTCCTTACCAGCAAGAGCCTTGGTTCGGGTTTTCACAAGCGCCCGTGTCCCAAGTGCAAGTACCGTCGGATATTCAGCTCAAGCACAGGCACAGCAACTAGGGCCAAGGCAACACGAAGATGATGCAGCAAAGAATATCCGTGCAGTGGCGGTTCTTCACCGGACCTCCCGAGACGTCCTTCTCGCCACCCTGGGCAGACAAGCCATGAAGTCCACTGATACATGTTTCGTGAGGTTGCTTGCACCAAAAAGCTCAATCGTGTTGCAAACATGCTGCACATGCAACACCATCTTCAAATCGGAATCTCAAGCTTGCTTGCTTGCACCCAAACACGCAGCCTTGTCGAACTTTTGCTCAGCTTTGGCTTCCTGTGCATGCACGCTTGTGCAATTCGGGGGAAGCTAGCAGGGCTAAGCGTGGCACTCGCTGCTGCTTGCGAGGCTCATCATCGCGGCTACAGCAGCAGCTGCCCATGACTGGACTGCGCCGGGCCCCTGCGCCAGGGGCCCCCGAGTATCGCCAGCCTCAAAACTGTCGAGAGGACAACACCCAACAACAGCAGCGACATGAAGAGGTGCCAGCAGCCTCAACTTTGCACGGCAAGCACTTCGGGGAGCGTGTGTATGTGTGTGAACCGTTCGTGCAACAATTCAGCTTGTCTTCGGCGAACATAGAGCTGTCAGCTCTGCAAAGCGATCCCCACGTTGCTTCAACGCAAACTTGTGCAGAGCATCACAGCATATCACAGCAGCCGAAAGCGCCTGCAGTGTAGCATCAAGAAGCAGCAGAAAACAAAGTAGCATGAATAGAAGTCATCACCATCACCATCATGTCGAATGCTGCCATAGTCAACACGGAAAAGTCAAAACCAAAGCTAGACGGCGTTGCACTGCTTTGTACTCGTATGTCTTGACTTGTGGCCATCCCCTCTCATGTCTGGGCCCGCAACAGACAAGCGAGGTCTGCAAACGCTCTGCCTTCTCTCTCGGGCCGCGTCGGCTGGCGGAATGCACACATGTACCAGAACTGCGGTGAAACCCCGTACAGTCTCAACGTCACTCTCAAGACGGAGCATTGAAACGACACCACCCCTTGCTCAACTACGGAGCTGCAGCTTCCATGAAGCCTCGATCAGCTCTACCGAGTCCTGCTTAAACGTCCTCAGCCGTTTACGAATGGCTTCGGCATTGTCGTCGGCCCTGGTCCAGAGCAGATGTCTAAGTGTTCGTTGAACACGTCGCCCCTGGCTCTTGCGCAAGACCCAGGCCTCCCGCTCGTCTTCCCTCGCTCAAGGATGCGTGCCTGAGCATGGCCCGCAATGACTTGACGTCATGGCAACACTACGGGGGAGGTCCCGGCCTCCATGACGGCTTCCGAGCAGTCGAAGAACAGAGCGAATTGGACTTCCGCGGAATCTGTCCAGCTTTCGCAAGTCTTCATGGCTATCCACGAACTGTTCGTTAGTTGCGCACAAGATGTCGACACACCTCTTGTCCAATGCCCCACCTCCAATCACCTTGTCCCAACCGTCCATATTGTCAAAGCTGCGTGGGAAGCCGTCAATGAGGAACTTGCCCTGCAAGCACATGGTGATCTCATGTTGATTTTCACACCTCCTAAATCCCAATCCACACCTGTGCCCAGCCATGCTTCTCCATCGCCTGCTTGAGAAGTTTCACGGTAATCTCGACGGGAACCAGCTGCCCTTCCTTCCATGGCCGTCCAAAAAAAACACCAGGAACAAGGTCTGAAACCCTAAAACCTAGTCCCTAAACCCTGAACCGTTTTCGGCATGGCAGAAAGTGGCCTTGATGTAGCTCTCTATGAGCTCACCATACTCTGAGCCGGGTCGACTTCGCTCCTGGCGTGCACCCCTGGAAGGACCGTTCCCCAGGGTTCAGGGTTTGTTTAGGGGTTTAGGGTTTGGGTGTAAGGAATCTTGCACCGAACCTCAAACTGAAGTCCGTGACGAAAGGGATCTAACTCATCAGGGGTCTACACGAGACCAAGAGCGCGAGTCGGCAAAGGGAGATGAGGTGCTCGAAGCGGCGAGGCGCGGGAAATCCTGGAGCCCCAAACCCTACTTGAAGGATCGTGGGACTTAGTAAGGTTACAAGTACCTTAATTGGGGTTATAAGTATAGTTACCCTAGTTATAACCTCAGTTACTAAGTCCCATGATCCTTTAAGTAGACAGCAAATCGTAGGGCCCCGCTCCTCACGAAGCAGGTCTCCGGCACTCAGGTGGCGGTAGCCGAATGTCTGCACCAAGGGGCGAAGGGGCCGGGATTCAGGTAATAGTAATAATAGTAGTAATAGTAATGGTAATTGTAATAGTAGTAATAGTAATAATAAGAGTAATAATAACAATAATAGTCATAGTAATCGTAATAACAATAATAGTAATAGTAATAATAATAATAATAATCATAATAGTCATAGTAATAGATCTACAGGGGCTCTGAGCTTCAGGACTTGCGATTCAGGCTTTCGGGATTCAGGACTCAAAGCTTCAGGGCTGAGAGCTTCGAATTTTGAGGTTTCCAGGGCTAGGGACTTGGGGTTTAGGGTTTTGGGGTTTTGAGGGTTTGGGTGTTTAGGGGTTTCGGGTTTAGGGTTTAGGGTTTAGGGGTTTGGGTTTAGGGTTTAGGGTTTAGGGTTTAGGGTTTAGGGTTTAGGGTTTCGGGGTTTGGGGGTTTGGGGGCTTGCGGTTTAGGGGTTTTAGCGGACTTGGAGTTTCAGGAACTCTGGCTTTCAGGAGTCACTATGATTCAAGCTTAGGAAAACCAGTGCACCTCGCTGATCCGCGCGCACTGAGTGCCTTTGCCTTCGCAAACATGTGGAATGCTTTGCCGACCCCATAATTCAATCCTATACACTTGGTTATGTAGCAGAGACATTTACGTAGTTTTCGACGGGTTCCGTCCTCGAAGCGGTCAGAAGTCGCTCCTTATGTCGTTCGGCACGACTTTCGAAAGTGCCAGGCGAAGCAATGGATCCGCACGACACGTCTGGCCCGTCTACGTCGCACTAACGCAAAACGCCACATCTTCTTTGCTGTCTTAACCCTACCCTGCACTGACCCTATCAGCCAGTTGAGGGCTGCTTCGTATATAACTCTGGTTTCAATAGATGAACCAGTATGGCTATTTGATAATCTCTGCTCATACACAAACTAGTTGGATTGCGGGACGGCCGAAAGACCAAGTCGTATCATGTACAATGCCGTGCGTTTGCCACTGCTCGTGTACTCCACGGTCATCGCCGAGCGGGTGGCCTGTTCGCACAATGCCGGCAGATGGTTTTGAGTTGACATTGGTACTTGGTTGACGGGCCGTCCACAGCGACAAGTTGGACCTGCGCGAGTCCTGCTGATGGCGTTGTGTCCGCAAGACCACGTGCACAAAAGAACGCGGAATTTTGAAGAAAACAGTAGGCTAATAAGTTGAACGGATTGAAAGAGGACACCGAATTTCAGGAAGAATGAAATTTAGGAAGTTACATAAAGTAATCTAACGCATTTCACGAACTGAAGAAATGCTCGGAATGTAAACAGCTTCAGGAAGCAAAAACGCATCAAGAATTGCAGTATGCAAAATCAATCGAGATAAATCCCGCATCAAGGCTTTAAAGCGACTCTTTTCTTGGCAGTAGACAGAGCGGAGCCCGTCAAATGCTACACAAGGTCCCACGATCACCCATGTCTTGGTGTGGGGGGGCGTCAGAAATCCCCGAAGGGATTTTCACACGTCCCCCAAGGGATTTCTAGCATCGCTCCAAGAAGTGACTGATTGCGCACATGGCCTTATGGCCACCCAGGACTAAAACCCCAACATAAAGCATCAAACAAGACGTTCCGAATGAAGGTGGAGATTTGCTCCTGAACCTGCTCTGACGGGATTCGTGAACGAACTCTCGCACGTGCTTCTCTAGACAAGCCGCCAGCTCCAGGGCCACCAAGAACAAACACCACCGAGGGCCTTTGTCCGCACTTTCGCTCGTCAGCTTTCGGATGTAAGGGTTCAGGGGTTGCCGGCTGGAGGATGTTGCCAGAGTAGAAAAAGTAGCGCACAGAAGCTGCAAGAGTCATAATAATCACCTGACCGGGTCTCCCGCTTGCCAGCGCCCGGACCAGCATTCGGGATCAGGCTGACTTCGAAGTAACAGTGAATTCGGAAGGCGACCTTCTGCAGCAGATCTTTGCATCACGCTGCTGCCCCGACCACCACTTTAAAAAATCCTTAGTGTACTTCTTTTGGCTCCCGAATGCCCCGTCCCGTCCCCCTAGTGAGAAGCGGTGGTCCATGCGTGGAGAACCACTGAAAACATTACCAATAACATACTCTTTTATTGCATACCTTGATATATATATATATATATATAGTAAACAAAACAGACAGTATACCGTACGTACTGTATTTGTGGATGTAAGTAACCTACAAAAAGGTGAATTCACTTGACCTAGCTTTGCTGATCTCACACCTAGCGCTACGGTTACACACTCGTCTAGTTCCTTTGCCCTGCCCTGCACTGCCCCGTTTTCGGCTGTAGCTGTGTATGATGTGCGACTGCTGAGTGTGAATGTTAGGGCGCGGTGGTCTTTACACGAGCACTGCAAGCCCATGTTCTCCCGAAAGCACGGACTTGGAGAAGTGTGCTTCACAATGGTGCCCAATGCTGGCTGGATGCTAGACTACACGCACTACCAAGCTCCAAAAAAGCAGTGTCCTGTGTTGTGGATTCGACACCCGGCAGTCCACAAGATCCTGTTTCGAAGCTGATGCTCTCTTTGCGCTTGTGGCCGTGGAGGCTTCTGCGATTGCGCAGGCTCATGGGATCTGACAGGGTGAGCTCCCATTCGCGCTACTGCTGCTGCTCGAGTGCTCGGCACATCTCGCTACTGGCCAGTGTGGAACTAGGGCCCAGGCGCAAAAGCGAACGAATTCCGCAGCATCCGTCGGGGCCACAGTCTCCCTAGACCTTGCAGGAACGCTGTAATTGAATAGAGAGCTGCAGATGCAGCTCGAAGCATGTGCTTCACAGCCATGAAGAGACATCGGACCCCGAAACCATGCATTCTGTCGACTCAAAGGCCGAAGACGACGCGTTCAACACCGAACTCCTCTCATAATAGCCCGACTCTGCTGATCTCTACTGCCAGCAGAGCCGTGCTTCGGGTTTCCGACCGAAACAAGACGGAACAACAAGGCCGAAACGTCAGCTTCAGCAACTCCACCAGCAGTCGACACGTCTGCTGGCGGCACAGCCGCACACAAATTCGTTCGAACATGTGCCCATGCAGATAGACGAAAGTATGCAAGAACGAACAAGCGAACAGACTGAACGATCTCTGATTGCGTCAACGTCGAAAAGAAGCCACCGAAACATCGGTTTCATGAATTCGCGAGGATGCTGATGATCTGAGAAGAGTGAGCAACTCATGATCCACCTAAAAAGCCCAGTGTGAAAGGGCACCTGCTATGTCAGCGGCCACAGTTGTGAAGCGTCGGAAGCAATTCTTCCCCAGTCGACTCTCAAGAGCTCTCGGACCGCATCTTGCCCCAAGCAAGTTGCCCCCTAGTCACGTGCGAGCAATGGTGTATGGACGGCAGCCACTGCGAGAAACCATGACACAAGAAGAGACAAGGACTATGTAGTCATAATCACATAGATACTAAACTGAGGTGACAAGCCAGAGACGTCACCGTTTTCTTCCCCACTGGTAGCAGGCAGAGCTCGGCTAGGCTTCCCGGTGTACAAAGTTGGTGACAAAGAGATGCAGGTATGTATACATATATGTATATGTATATAATAAATATATATATATATATAGAGAGAGAGAGAGAGGGAGGGCAGAATCTCATCTCTCCGGTAAAGCAGACGACAGAGCGGAAACGGCCGGATATCCGGAATCCAAACTGCGAAGGCACTCAGACGCGAACTTGCCCGTCAGCTGGCTAAAGGCAGCCAGGATGACGGAAATCACAGCAGAGGGGTCTTCTCGGAACCTCGATCAGACAGGAAGTGAGACAGAGAAGAGTGAAGTGCTGCACTCTGGAACAAACCAAAGAGGAAGCAGGGTGCTGTGTTGGCTAATCTCTGCGCTGACGTCAGACGGCAGTGTCTCCATCCGTTCGGAGGATACACTTCAAACACAGCTCCTTTGGAGCGGCGAAACAAATCATTTTGTGCCTACAGATCAAGAACCGTAGCTTGTCAAAACTGCCGCTGAACTTTGCTTTACTGTAGCTTGTTGCGATGCAGGCTGTAGAACTTAGGAATGGTGCTCTAAGACTTGTCCACGTTGATACGGCTACCGTGTCTGTCTTCATCTTCACATCTCTCACTGCCCATTTAATCCGGGCCAACACTGCTACACTGCCCGCTTTCACCGCGGTCTTAGCGAAAGTTGCTCGGAGAGTTGGAGGTGATTCCAGCTACCCCCATCCGACGATGCTTGGTCAAGATGTCCTTGAGGGCATCGAATTGGTTTATGCTCATTCGGCGACCTCCTTGGTGCAACAGGTCAGCAACGGATGACGATGAAATGATGAAACACGCAAAACATTCGGCACGTGGATGCTCGTCGAGTGGAACGGGTTGCTTTGAGATTCCCTTCTGAGCCTTGCACCTTTCCTGACGTAAGTCTGCACGCCCAAGCTAGATGCCTTCTCCTGCAGAATGTGAGCTGCGGACAGAATGTGGCGCAAAGACAAGTCGAAATCAAGAAACATCGCAGCAACACTTCGGGTGCCGCCTGCGACCGCTCCAGCAATTCCGAGTACCCTTTCCTGCAGCAAAACACATCGCAAATCCCTTGATCGTGCCAAGACGTGATTCATTAATAGAGAGGCCTTAGCAATTAGAACAGTGTTTCGGACTATTTACACCATAATTAGAGTAAGGAGCCCCCAAACAGGATTGTTAACTATTTAGGCCCCCACAGTAAACCCTGTATGCCATAGACTCGGGTCGTGGCACTTCGCTGTGCAGCCCAGACAAGTCGCTGATGTTCGGGCCTCGAGCAACATGAATGCCCCGGAACCTTTTCCGAAGGTATGGACGATGTGGATTATCCAGGATATGATATATGATGTGATATATGTCGAATATGACACGAAAATGATGTACGACATATAGATTGCAAGGTGAGGTGCGTCCGCTCTGGGGCCACCACAAGGAACATCGTAGTGCTGGAAGAGCTGCTTGGCCTATCGGTACTGCTTTTCGTGCGGGCCAGAGTTGACAGAGCTCTGCGAAAAGCACACTTGTGATTGATGCGCAATGCGTGCTCGTCATATTCCCTACAATGTCAGCACTCCACGCTGGCCTTGGACTTGATGGGTGAGGTGGCTCGCTGCTGCCTCTGCCTCATGAACTGATCGTCGCCAGTGGCCGCGGCATTCAATTCACTGCACTTCAAGGCACTTCCCGTCCCTCTTCCCCGGCACTTGGGAGCCGGCGGATTCTTCTTCAGAACCCGAAGACCCTGCGACCGGACACAAGTCGTCTCGAATTCCGCAGGCCACCCCAGGGCCCTTCGTGTCACGCCTCCGAAGAGAAAAAAGTTCGGTCGCTGAACAAATCATCCTCCGTGACCTTACCCAGCTCTGTCAGTATAATCTCCGCAGCTTTGTAGGTTGACACCGGCATCTGAGAAGCCGGACCATGTCCTTCAGCCAGAAGTTTTTGAATCTGTAACTCCTTGGCACGAATCGGCACTACGACGACGAGCGCAGCACCACCACCGCCCACATCGAGGCCGCTGCTGCGATTTGAGATTCTCTTGGAAATGCTGGATTCCACTGTCTGTCTGCAGTACCTGCTAAAGCACAGCTAAGTACAGAGGAAACTCACATGAACCAGAAACAACGTCGGACCTGGTCAATGAGTCGCATCTTTGGACCCGAACCATTCTTGCGCCAATCCTTGGATGCATGGGATGCCGACCCTGCTCACTCTTAGCAGCTGCGGAGGGAGCCCTAAACCCTAAATCCCAAAGCCCAGACCTCAAACCCTCAACCCCAAACCCCCAAGACTTAAACCATAAGAGGCCCTAAAGAAACCCTTGTAGTACCTATTGTCTCCGTTGTAGTTCCTTTTTGGGGTTACCTTATACAATCCTAATCCCGTCAGGCCCTAAGAGGTCTTAAAGCCCCAAACCCCCCACCTCGAAGGCATTCATTCGCTTGTCGTCGTTCACGTCCCGGTTCTTCTTCTTAGAGCTCCTGGGGCTTAAACACCCAGATGTACGGACCGGTTTAGGGTTTAGGGGTTTAGGGTTTAGGGTTTAGGCGTTTAGGGGTTTAGGGTTTAGGGGTTTAGGGTTTAGGGGTTTAGGGGTTTAGGGGTTTAGGGTTTTGGGGTTTAGGATATACGGACCTCCTCCTACTAAGGATCCTCTACGGGATAGAGGGGGCCTTAAAAATTAGAATAGGGTTTCGGGGCCCATGATACTATAGTACGGCTGATGATACAAATCCTGCATAACCTTAAGGACCCAAAACTATGGTAATTTTAATAAATTCCCTATTATGGGTAATGCAGGATTTAGATCATCAACCGTCAACCGTATTACACGGTTTACACTAAAAGGGGTTTAGGGTTTAGGGCTTATGGAGTATATGTTGTATAGCATATATTAAAAGCCGTATACCATGGAGTCTCTTGTACTATCTATACTTTACATTGTATTTTACAGCTTGTACTATATGTATATATATATATATGACTACATATATATATATATATATACACATGTACAAATGCTGCAACCCACCGACAAGTTTGGCATAGTAGCGAGGTGTGCGCGACTGTTCTTGTTTCCGACGTAAGAACATGTCGACCTTTCAACGTGAAACATTCCTTCGACGTGTACATAACGAGTGTTCAATTCGAATCGCGGGGGGCTTAGAGTTGACCTGGTTGAGCTGCAACTCGGGCTAGAATCGCGTTCTGTACAACTCCTGGAGTTGCAAAAACAGACTCCGAGTCCAAAGATCACAAGGGGCCTGATCTTTCGCGCTATGTATGTGTATATATGTGTATATGTATCTATCTATCCCCAACAGTAAAGCTTGGATGCTGGAAGAATTGGAAAGCTCCTCAAGGCCCAGGACGCCTTGCCCTTCGTGCCCTGCACGGAGAATAGAACTGGAACTCGCCTGGCATCGCACTGCAGCTCCATCATTGCTGATGCTCAGCACCAGCCACCAGACTTCACACATGATGATCATACAAGCAAGGCACCGGCAGCAGCGCACACTTTCAAAGAAGCACTTTCTGAAAGCTCTCTGGGCTGGCTTTTCTCCGACTTGTGGCTCTGATAATGGCTGCGATTGGGTATCAGGAGCTGAGATTGAAACTTTAGGACACTGAACATGGAAAAGAGAGGGCGGGCAGGATGAGAGATGAGCAAGGATGGAGGCGAGACTCAGAGCGACGGCGACACCTCCCGTTTCCCGCAAGGCCACTTGTCCACAACGTTACTCAGATTACTCGCCTGCTCTCTTTCCACACACGCTCGCTCAACGTAGTCATGCACTCTGACTGCATGCCGTGGTTTGAGAAGCTGTGCAGTAGACTGCCCTTTCCGCGCCTCGTAGATGCCCAGTTGGGGGTACGAGGGAGCTGTGTTCGCCGCGGCGATGTGCAGACATACAGATCACCGGCAGGCAACTTAGTAGCAGCGCAGGGAACACTTAAAGGATCACGGGACTTCGTAACTAGGGTCATAACTAGGGTAGCCATACTTATAACCCCGAATCCGATTGAGGTACTTATCACCTCGCTTACTAGCTCCCATGATCCTTTAAGTAAACTTCTCTCGACTTTGCCCCAAATGCTCTGAGCGCCCCACGGGATGCCTGCTCCAAGGCTTGGCACCTCTTTGTGTCAGCGGCAGCGGAAACTAAAACCGCTTAGAATAGGGTTTTGAAGCATTTTCTACAATAAACCATGAGAAGGAATGCACAACAGAATATTGGCAATTATTCAGGCCCATCTTGTCTTGAGGTCAAGGCCCATGCTGCTGCACGTGTCAGAAGGGGACCTTGGCTTCGGATTTGGAGCACACAGGGCCCAGAAACAGAGGCCGAGACAGGCCCAGGGAAGCGCCACAAGGCACGGACCAGCTCCCCAGCTGCGGGGCCTCGGAAAGCTTTTCACTCATATTCTTGCGATACATGTAAGAAGTATTCTTACCCGCGCTGGGAACAGTCCTAATATGACGCAGATGAGGAGACCTAATGATACAACCAAACCCGCTCATAATACGATGACGATGACTCCTATCACTCACTCCTATCAACATTAGTATTGCTGGTGCTGTCAACATTGGTATTATTAATATTACTATTATTATTGCTACGATTATTGTTATTACTATTACTATTATTATTATTACTATTACAATTGTTATTTGGCCCTGTTTCGATGCGGCTCGAAGGAGCCTCGTCCGCTGAGGGCTCCACGGAGGCTGACTCTTCGAGGCCCTTCGCAGAAAGCTCCGTGACAATCATTAACGCCAGCAACAATAATGATATTAATAATGATAATAGTAATAACAATAATAATCGTAATAGTAGTAATAATGTTAATAATATGGTAATAATAATAATAACAATAATAATAATAACTACTATCCTGATACCACTAACACTCAATAGCCGAAAGGGCAGGGCCTTGTCTGTGGACGCCAGCGAAGCCGAACTGAGCGAGGCAAAACAACAGGGGAATTGCATGGCTCAGGGTTTAGGGTTTAGGGGTTTAGGGGTTTAGGTTTACTGGCTTAAGGTTTAAGGTTTGGGGTTTTAGGGGTTTCGAAGTTTAAGGGCTTAGGGTTTAGGGCATGTCTGCGCATTCTGTGGGCTCTTGAGGCTTCTCTCGCTGCGCACGCAGATGGGCTTTGCGTGGAGATTTCCCAGAGACTCCAATGTCCCTTAATTAAGGAATATACCTCAAATCAAATCAGGGATCCTGCTACAATTGAAAAAAATCCTTAATGAGGGGATATTGGAGTCTCTGGGTTGGAAATCTAGCAGCGCAAACTGGAGAAGGCCTCATGCATACAATTACGACTGGAAGGTCCCGAAACTGCAAACTAGCGTGCGTTGTCTTGGGAATGATCGTCTGACGACGGTTCAGGCTCTGCCGATCTATGATTGGGCTCGTGAACATGGAAACCTTTCGCGATCTGCCCAATTAACAAGGAGTCTTGGGAAACACCGCGAACCACAACGTGCCACGATACCCACCGCCGGCCTCAGTGTCTCCATGGTTGTGGGCCGTGACTCGCCAACATTCCCACGCCTGGCGAAGCGATCTTTTTTGTTCTCCGTGAGCCGCCGTACTGTAAACCGTCAACAGCCCCTAGAAGGGCCGAACACATGAAATCACGACACTGCAAGGCCTCGAAACCGAAAATCACCCTGAACCCTGAACCCTAAACCCCAAACCGTAAACCCCAAGCCACGCCCCACCTCCGCAGGCGCTCGAACTCCAGGTCCACAGGAGGCGGAATTCCTCTTCAAACGCAGATCAAGCGCCAAGCGCTACGCCCCTCAAAAAAACTTCTAAGCTGAGCATCAGAAAGTTAAACTCGCATCTAAACTGTTTATATGTGTGTGTGTGTGTGCTTGTGTAAATATATATATATATATATACGCACATATTGTTTATATAAAGAATTCTGTGGTGGTTTGTGTGATCATAGTAGTCATACGGGTCACAGGGATTCCGGACATCTCTTCCGGCACACACCCACCAGGGTCCCTTCACAAGTGCTTTTGATGCCTCAGGTGGTTGCATGTCGAGTCTTTAGACCCGCGCTGCTCTTCCCGGATAAAACGCCGGAAGAAAAAAGAACTTCCTAAAATCAATGGCTCTGTTTACATCTCAACCATGTCTCAAAGATTGTCCGATGTAGACAACGTGATATGCCAGATTCCTTAAATGAGCAGAAAGAGGGGCACTCCTAGGTGCATGCGCTGGTGCTTTGGCAGCCCAGCTCCAGCATCTGACCTGCAGGGTGATCACGACCCTGCAAACCCTAAACACCTTGGATAACGTTGAGGGTTTAGGGTTCAAACCCCTACACCTTAAACCCCTAAACCCGGAAACCCGGATACAAGCTGAAGCAGCATCGCCCTGCCTTCGTACGGCACATTTTGGCGGGGGTCCAAGGATTGACCGCCAGACCTGCAGACTTACCTTTGGTTAGTAGGGAATGGAGGTATGGGGTACAAGTATAACTACTATTTCTACCATTCTTCCATTCCCTGCTAACCAAAGGTAAGCAGATGCTGGCACCTATATTATGGTATATTCCTGGATTAAGGGATGTTGGAGCCTCGTCACAAGGCACTGGCGACAGATCTGCTGAAAGACCCCACTCAGCACCATCATCGAGAATCAGAAGCCTGCAAAGAGCTGTTCTGGCCCGAACTCGAGGATGCCAGCCTCAGCCGCAGCGAAGCCCTCCGCATTTCAAGAGGGTGTCGCCATAAGACTCGGGAAAACTCTGCGGGCTTATTGCAGTCTGCAGTCATCTGCAGTCTGCTCCCCGGTGCCTTGCAAAACCGACTTCCGAAGCAAAGCTCCGGGCGGAGCTTTTGGCAAGGTTGCTTCTGCTGCCCGGATCTGCACAGGGCAGTGCATGGCATTGTATCTGAACATGGTGAAGTTCCGCGAATGCGGCGCACGCATCTGGAACTCCCTGCACTGGCCTGCCATTCACGTTTTGCCTGGGCCGCCCGCAGCCGAACAGAACTGTGGTGTGGCAATGCCTGGGCCTTGGGTGAGATGTGCACCAGTCTGGCGAAAGCCGAAGGCAATCTTGGACTTGCTTTTGATGAGTACGACATAGCACGACTGAGCTGAGGTGAGGACCAGCGAAAGACACTGTTCGTGCAGTTGCCGCAAGCGTTCCCAGAACTCCATCTTGCTCGCATCCCGCGGCCTGGGATCACCAGCTCACTAAGACTGCAGACTGCCCTGTGCTTGCTGCCCTTAAGTGAAGACAGACAGCCCTAAAACCCCCAAAACTCTTTTGTTCAACAGCCAGGTCCAAAAAAGTTCAAACTTTCCAGGACGGACCAAATTTTTTTGTAGAAAATAAATTCCAAAGCTCTCCCATTGGTAACTATCTAAAACAAAGACCTTCGTTTTTTGAAGACTCGCCCTTGGAGCCGAGGCGATGGCCCCGTGTACTCCTGCTCTAGGGCCTGGCACTGCCTCGCCTGGACCTCACTCGCCAAACGGTTTAGGGTTTAGGGTTTAGGGTTTAGGGTTTAGGTTTTAGGGTTTAGGGTTTAGGGTTAAGGGTTTAGGGTTTAGGTTTTAGGGTTTAGGGTTTAGGGTTTAGGGTTTAGGGTTTAGGGTTCAGGGTTTAGGGTTCAGCGGCTCTGGTCGAGCAGTATCTAGTCAAGTTCGCTAGTAAGAACTTGGAAGAATACCCATCCACCCAAAGAATCCCAAAACATAAGAGTTAGAAAGTTTTTTTCGTTACCCTCAAACGACATCAAACCTCAAACCCTACGCCTCGATTTCCAGGCATACTTATGTTTCTATTGCTGCAGTACAGAAAGAAGCATGACACATTTCAGGCCGGAAATGTGTCATCTTTTCCGCCTTACAGAAAGAAGCATGACACATTTCAGGTCGGAAATGTGTCATCTTTTCCGCCTTACAGAAAGAAGCATGGCACACTAAAGCCCAAACCCTAGGCCCTAAACCCTACAGCCCAAACCCTAGGCCCTAAACCCTAAAGCCTAAACCCTAGGCCCTAAACCCTAAAGCCCAAACCCTAGGCCCTAAACCCTAAAGCCCAAACCCTAGGCCCTAAACCCTAAAGCCCAAACCCTAGGCCCTAAACGTTACCCTCAAACGACATCAAACCTCAAACCCTACGCCTCGATTTCCAGGCATACTTATGTTTCTGTTGCTGCAGTACAGAAAGAAGCATAACACATTTCAGGTCGGAAATGTGTCATCTTTTCCGCCTTACAGAAAGAAGCATGACACATTTCAGGTCGGAAATGTGTCATCTTTTCCGCCTTACAGAAAGAAGCATGACACACTAAAGCCCAAACCCTAGGCCCTAAACCCTAAAGCCCAAACCCTAGGCCCTAAACCCTAAAGCCCAAACCCTAGGCCCTAAACCCCAAAGCCCAAACCCTAGGCCCTAAACCCTAAAGGCCAAACCCTAGGCCCTAAACCCTAAAGCCCGAACCCTAGGCCCTAAACCCTAAAACCTAGAAAGCTATGCAAAGCTGTCTCACCGGGGGGTCCATACGAAAACCTAGCTGAACCAGCGGGGGCCCATACGAAAACCTAGCTGAACAACCGGGGGGTCCATACGAAAACCTAGCTGAACCACCGGAGGGTCCATACGAAAACTAGCTGAACCACCGGGGGGTCCATACGAAAACCTAGCTGAACAACCGGGGGGTCCATACGAAAACCTGGCTGAACCACCGGAGGGTCCATACGAAAACCAGCTGAACCACCGGGGGTCCATACGAAAACCTAGCTGAACCACCGGGGGGTCCATACGAAAACCTAGCTGAACCACCGGGGGGTCCATACGAAAACCTAGCTGAACCACCGGGGGGTCCATACGAAAACCTAGCTGAACAACCGGGGGGTCCATACGAAAACCTGGCTGAACCACCGGGGGGTCCCGAACGAAAACATGGCTCAACATTTAAATACTCATTTGAAAGAGAGGGTTTAGGGTTTAGGGTTTAGGTTTTAAGGTTTAGGGTTTAGGGTTTAGGGTTTAGGGTTTAGGTTTTAGGGTTTAGGGTTTAGGGTTTAGGGTTTAGGTTTTAGGGTTTAGGGTTCAGGGTTTAGGGTTTAGGGTTTAGGGTTTAGGTTTTAGGGTTTAGGGTTTAGGGTTTAGGGTTTAGGGTTTAGGGTTTAGGGTCAAGGGCAAAAGGAGGGACCCTTCATAAGACGGTATATATACCCTTAATATAGCTATGATATTCCCATTATATAGCCCCATTATAGGGTGGAGGTCCCCATTAAGGGTCCCTCCTTTTCCCGTTTGACAATGATAAGACCCATATCAACAAGAGTAGTAACAACAAGAACAATAAAAACATAACAATTCTAAAAATTATGATACCCATAACAATGACAGTAACAATAGTAGGAATAACAGTAACAATAACAATAATGAAGGTATTGACAGCGATAACGGTAACTATTGTAATACTATATTGATTGGGCTTTGGTGTCCAGAAACGCAGCTACCCAGCTTCCACTTCACCGTGTCGTGGTAAGGCCCACTCGGCGATCTCAACTGCACGCTCCAGCATGGTGCGTGAGACTTGGCCGCCCTGCCAAGAAGAAGCTTTCCGGCTCTCCATCTTCTGTTGTGTTTGGTCATGATCGTTTGGGGTTTCAGGTTCAGGGAAATCGACGACAAGAGCAGGTGGCACAGACCCTTGTCCTAGAACGGGCAGAGGCCAAGCAAGCGACCGCGACTTGGGCCTTGTCCGAGTCGGTTGAAGGCCTCCGAGCCTGCACTGCGGCGGTGCGATGCTTCCAAGTCACAGCCAAGGCGGTTCATTATTATAACCATAGTAGAATATACCCCCAGACCCTGTTCTAATTATTAAGACCCCTATATCACAGTACTCTTATAGTTCCCTTATAGTAACCCCTTGAAAGGAACCCTATGAAACCCTATTCTAATTATTAAGGCCTTCTCATAGAGCTCAGACACCACGAAATCCGCCGCCTCGATGCGCGAAGGCTACGATCAAGGCTTCGTCGGGCAGCTCAAGACGAGCTCTTGACTACCTTTGGTTAATAGGGGATGGAGGAACGGGGTACCCTTATAACTACTATTACTACCATTCTTCCATTCCCTACTAACCAAAGGTAAGTTGAGACTCCACTCCCGATCCTCCGAGGCATTTTGGGCCACGTCCAGTGCTTCTGCATGGCGGGCAGCCTCCGGTCAGTTTGGGGTTCAGGGTCTTATATTACTGAAGACTGCATCATCTATAACATATGAACCCTAAACCCTAAACCCCAACTGAGTGGTCAAGATTTCGACTGTGCAAGTTTGAGGGAGTGATTAGACATCAGCACAAGGTGAGTCGCATGGCCTGCGATAGCCCAGCACACAAGAGCACTTGCACGCCGACCCTTGCCAGAGCCACCTGCCAGCCGAAGCGAGAAAGTTTTTTCCCCAAATCCTGCATCCACACTCTCCGCGCAGTCTCGGTGCACTGCCACGTCGTGTCTTAAGCGCGCTTGCCTCATCCATTTGGTCGTCTGACTCCACGTCCGCGAAGGCTTGCTCGAGCAGCTGAACGGCCTGCAAGCCCAGACATAGCGAAAGCAGACTGCAAGACCTGTAGCTGCAGCCACGGACTGAAGATAGCTGGACTTTCCGACATCGAGCAGAAGCAGGAATGGACCATCGCATGCTGCGAAGGTGGAAAGTCATTCGGCATTTACAACGGAGCTCGAATATCGTTCAAGGCCTCCTCCACTTCGCTCGCGAGGATCAGCTGTGAAGCCGCCTTACTGTGCACTTTAATCCCCCTGCAGCCTTCCCTAGGGTCAGACAGAGTGGACCTCCCTGTTTGCAAGCTTTACCCTGCAAGCTTCATGGCTGGGGGCCGTGCTTCAGCCAAAGACTCCAAGGAGTCGAGCAGGGCCTGGCACTCCGTGCAACCCTTCCAACCCAAAGCCAGACCCAGACCCCTTCATGCGCGACTGCACGTCTTGTATCCTCTCCTTGCCTGCACGCTTGAAGCAACTTGAGGTTGCTGCTGCACCTGTGCGGAAGCCAAGCAGTGGCACGGAAACAACAACCTCAACAAACTCACCTGTCCACTGAGTGCATTCATGCGCCTTGACCCATCAAAAATCATGAACAACTGTCATTACACCACGTTGCTTCTCTTTGGGCGTTCTCTTGGCTTCCCTGTTCCCGCCTTGTCCAGTATGTCTGCGCGCCTGGCATAGTGGTGAGACTAGTGACTAGCCCATAGATGTATGGCATGGCCAGTGATCGGGATAAGTTGGCAAATCCGCGCATGCACCGCTCAGCATAGCATCGACTACACTTGATGACAGACCTGCAAAGCTGTGCAAACTGCTGTGCGAGCGAGTCACTCGGCAGCATCTGCAAAGATGTCACTCACGTTCGATGCGAGCGACAAGCGCCGTGACTCGCGCCGCCTCATCCGAAACTGGAGAGCTTGGACAAGGTTTAAGTGGGTTCTTTTGGGGGGTGCGCTTATCATATTTAGCTATATTTGTAACATAACGGGCCCCACCAAAATGTAGTGTACTGGGCCGAACAACCCTGCTCTAATTATTAAGGCCCCGATTGCTTGTGATACTGAGGAAGCAAAGGAAGTATAGAGTCCATTGTCAGCACTCCGACATGCCAATGATCTATGAGAACTAGGACATACCAGGACCAAACATCCCCCAGTGCAAAACAACGAGCTGGCAAGAAATGCGATGGCTTCGCACCTCTCAGTACCAGACTTTGGCAAGAGGTTGTCCGCATCAGTTGCTTCCATGCGTAGAGCCTTCCACACAGTATGCTTCACGCCTCAACCCCACATTGACGTGCGAAGTTGCTGAGGTGTGAACACCTTCAGGCCCGCAACATCCGCGGAGCGAGGCGCAACAGCATGGCCAGATGGAAATAACTCCCTGGATGCTTCAATGCTGGCAGAGCACGGGTGGGGTTGGGGTTCAGAGGCAAGCGTGATTCAAGCTTCGAAAGCTTGATGGCATGCCACTGCTGCTCCCGGAGGGTAACATTTCGTCAACATGCTAATGGCGTGCGGCCTGCGGCAACGTGCTTTCATGCGCCTTCCTTCCCTGCAACCGCTACGAAAAAGTCGCACCTCCCGCAGCATGCAACTGCGGAGAAGCAAGAAGAGCTCTTGCTTCAAGTTTTGAGGGACCGAGGATCCACTTCTCAATGCAAACAGCATGGCTGGGCGTTGGACTCTTCTTGGAAAGCCTGCAAAGCTGGAATTCGGAGCTCATGAGAGCATTGCCGACTTGCCGGGTGTATCGGACAGCACTCAGTACTCTCGACCAACATGGATGTGAACAGGACAAGCCAACCGTTCGTCTGACAGCACAACTCCCTCCATGCTGACTAGCACCGACGATTGGAACAAGCAGAACCCTCATTTCCCATGTAGCCTCCAACTGCGAAGGTATCCTCGCCAGCGCTTCCAGCACCTTAGATGAGCTGCAAGCACATAACCACATCTTTGCCCAACCCCTGAATGACGCAAACATTCAAACGCAACATCCATCCAAACAGAAAGAACGAACAGATCACCGATGGGACCCAAGCTCCAGCAGCTAGATTGTCCGCCGACTGCGCAACACCTCGGGTGGCCGGAAAAACTCGCTTGTGAAGAAAAACCTGTCCCCTAAACATGATATGGGTTGAGGGTTTCGGGCTTGAGTCTACGGTAACACCGCATACCGCTGAGTCCAATGGCTTCTGGAAGTAAACGCACCGGTGGCAGCGACTGGAAAGTCCGCACTCCTCAGAACCTGCATGCAAAGTCTTGGTCGGCAACGCCTCACCACCAAACCAGATGTTGATCAAGCCTCTGCATTCTCGCAAGTCAAGAGGGCAAGGTACCGGTCCACCTACAGCTATGCAGCATTGGCAGCGAGTTCGCCACACGCATACGCTGCAGCATCCTCAGGTTCGACCAAAATCACACCAAGGACAAAGGCGAATGCAGCCGAACAAAATGGCACGCGCCTGTTCGCGGCTGGGAGGCGGAAGACTTGCTTCAGGACCTGTAAGCAAACACCGGCCAACAAGAGAACACTCGGACACGGAGAAGCCAAGCCGGGCGACGAATTAGCCGTGGCGGGTGTCGCACCAAATTAGCCTCATGCCGTCGGAGCAAGTTGTGCACATACCAGACGAGACAACTTCAAGCACGGAGATGTGAGGTGCTCACCATTGCAAGGCTGTTCCAAGCCCCCTAGGGGGTCTTGAACCAACCTAGAAACGGCCCGTCTGCGAGCACAGCGCAGAAATGCGCAGAATATTTGTGAGCGGAAAATGGCTTGAGAAAACAATACCCTTCGAGGAAACAAACGCTGCATGTACTGTACATCATGTACTCGAACAGCATGCAAAAAACAATAAACCCATTCTGATAAGATTCCCAAAACACAAACCTGTTGAACATCTGTTTGGGGCGACCAGTATGCATCCATCAATATTTGTAACATTCTAACAGCTGCAAAAAGACAGTGTAGCATAGCACAAGTTCATGCTCATTGAAGCGTCCAGCGTGAGGCGGGCGACCTTTCTCCGTGCTTCGAAACAACACTATTGGCGTCAGGCCGCCCTCTTCACTCTAAAACACTCCTGGGTGCGCGCGTCCCTTGACCTTACGCCTCCAAGAATGTGAAAATGCGGATGTCGTTGACCGCAATGCTTAGCTTCCTGCATCAACCGAACAGGAAAAGTCCAGGCTCTGGAGGCAAATCTTTTGACCTAACCCCCAAAGCAGGAAAACAAGCTAAATGAGAAAGATCTCTTCTTCAGAGATCTCGAGTCCCTAGGTCAAAGCATATGTCTCTTGGAGCGAATGACGCTCTGTAGCGCTGCTCAAGCCCGAAACATCGTGCGGGTCTTGCTGTTTGCTCAGTTCACAGACTGAGACTGGCCGTGCCTTCACTTTTTGCATCTTCATGCTTCTCGGCACTCTCAGCCACTGTGCGGCGGCTCACGTGCACAAGCACCCACGTCGTCCACATCTGTGTGAAAAACAGGATGCACACCAATGCTGGAATACCGACTTGGAGCACGGCAGCCCAATCGAACCGTCGCATTGCATCTGTTGCAAGAGGACGATCCTTGTTGTAGCCCGTCTTCAGCCAAGAAGCGAAGCTTACATTGGCCAGGCGAAAGGTCTCAGCACTTGAGACGAAAAGATAGAAGGAACAAACATTGATGGCCGCGTGCATTGCGAGCTTGATCCACGCGGCCGCAAAGAGGCTCCTCTTGAAGCAAGTCTTGTGCCCTGGGACGCCCCGAAGCGCGAAGATGAGCAACACAGGGACATCGGTGACAACATGCAAGAGCAAGCAGGCTGCGATGCTTGCATAGAACTGCGGCGCATACTCGTAGGCAAAAGCGTTCCGCAACATGCCTATTATGGCGATGGTTGCTGAGTGGTGCACAGCCAAATCCCAGCGCAGACACTCGTTGCTGCCTCTGACAATCAGCTCGAAGACATAGGCGCTGCCCACCAAGTCTGCACAGGCACTCAGAGACCAGAAGGAGCTGCCAATGGCCTCGTTCACAGAGTAAACCTTCTCAGCTTCAGAGAGGAACCATTCCGGATGACAGGCGATGAGCGTGCCCACGATCATTCCAAGCAAGGCCAGCACACAGTTCAGAGATCTTTTTAAGACATTCAAGTGACCTTCAAGTCCTCGACTGTAGAGCAGCGACACCAGTTTGTAGGCCACCGCGATGAGGCCCAAATGCACGATCATGCCTGTGTGGTGCGCACAAGCCGAGAAGAACACCGCTTTTAAGATCATGGCATGCTTAAACGCGATCAACTGTTCTGGCCAAGATGCTGTGCGGCAAGATCCAGTTGTTTACGGGTGGAGTTGCCTCTGCCTCTACAAGCAACTCGCAAAGTTCGCGCTGCGGACCCTCCTCGGTTGTCAAAGGCTGGAGTTCAATCTTGTGGAACTCCTTGCTGTGCGGTGCCAGCGTCGAGCACTCCTCCAAGTCAAAGCAGGCACGTGTTCCGCAGACGCCATACTCATCTCCTTGGCTGGGGATGCCCACCACGCCTCGTGCAAAGGGCAGTGGAGGGTTGGCAGCCAGGAAGATCTGGCACATCTCATCCTCAGAGCTCAAGCCCCATACCTTGTCACCCAGATTCCTCAAGTCCCACGTGCATGTCCATGAGATCACATCCCCGGGCATCAACTTAAAAGATTTGTAGATCACAGCCTGACGATTGAAGTCGAACCCCCGCTGCTCGAAGAGCATCTCTGTGCGTCCGCGCCTCGTTCGGTATGCCTTCATGGACTTGCCGGCGTAGTGCATGTGTGCTAAGGCCCCAATCACAGTGACTCCATGTGCTGGCAGGGTGTCTGTGCACGATTGAGTCAACACGAAGCTCTTCTGGACGATGTGGTTCGCCGGCAGGACATCTCTCCAGACTCCGTTGATGCTCGTGATACCCACTGCCTTGTCAGCAGACACGTCAGAACTGGCGGCCCACAGACGGAAGCCAGTCTGAATGTCAAAGGCGTCTTTCCTGGGGTTCTCAAAGTGAGCCTCCAGGACGTAAGTGCCAGCCTTCAGCTCAATGAAGAGGCTGTTTGGTAGGACTTTCTTCGCATCTCCAAGGCCCCAAGAAAGGGACACTTGGCCCGGACTGTAACTTGAACATTGGTATTGCTCTGCGAAGTCCAGCTCTGGCTCCAGAGGCCCCAAGTGCATGTGATGAAGGTTGTTGATGTTCAAGACGGCCCAGGCATGAACTTTGAGGTCACAAGGTATCTCCACCTTGGTGTAGCAATGATTCGTCTGCCCCTGAGGTACCTTGATGCGTGGACCCATGACGTCCACTTCCACAGCCTCAAGCGCCTCTTCATGTAAGATGGGCTCAGGCAAGAACATGTAATGTGAAGTGGTCTCGCGCACCTGGCCATGGTAGTTCATGCGCCCATCACCATAAGCAGCCACAAAGTAGTTCTGCATCCACTGAGGGCCTAGGTCCTCATCCTCGCCATCGCAAGTCTTCATCATTCGTCTGAGCACGGCCTTGGTCACAGCCGTCGGTCCCAAACAGGTCTCCCCCAGGCTCAAGTGAGTGATGCTCTGGGCTCTCCAGTTCTGAAGCTTGTCTGCCACAGGACGCTCAAAGCCATGGGAATAGGCATCAGTGACTTTGAATCCGTTCGGGCCGTCCTCCAGAATCACCATGTCGGCTCCAATCATGCTCCCTACTTCTGAAATCCCAAAGCCAAACCAACCTGTACTTGGCACTGCAAAGGTGAACTCAATCTCCCCTAGCTTGGACAAGATCTCATAGCCCACCACAACCCCGATCTTCTCGAAGTAGAAGCGCTGGGGCGATTCGACCAAGGCATCCAACTCATGCAGAAGGCAATGCTTCGCTTGGACTGGCAAGGGGCTGACGGAGCGGAAGGAATCCAGGCATGAGATGTTAGACGCCCCGATGTTAGACGCCCCGGCGATAGCCAGCAGCGCCAAGCAAGAACCACACCTCATCCAGCCCATGATGTTCAAGATGCTCTAGGTTTCGGAAATGACTTCAAGCCCGAAAGAGCTACAGGAACAAAGCTGTCAAGAGGGGAACAACCCGACACTTGCAGAGAAGGTACCTGCAACAGAAACACGGTCTATGAACCCTATGAAACTCTGAGTGCTCCCAGGAGTCCGGCGCAAACAGCACCAGGTGATCGCCCACCCTAGAAGGGGCAAGGTTCGCGTTTCCTAGCCAGGCTCCCTCACAAGAGTTGAGTTACTTTTCTTTCTCAGGGAGGATGGCTAATACTCAAATTGAATTATATTCAACTCTGAATATAAGACTTCAGACTTAGCAATATATTAGCATGTTCACCATTTCAACTCACAGCAGCGGACTCTCAATTTGCCATGTAGGAAACAATGGGCTCCGGAGTGAAAGTCGGCCACATTCACGTGTTGCAGGCAAAGGTGAAGCGGTGCATCCCGCATCCCTCTGCCACACTCGACCGCTCACCTGAAAACCCAAGGTCGCCCCGAGGCAAAAAGAGTTGGATAATGTGGATCTCAGGAACTCCCTTGAGATGCTCACCCCCAGAAGGATGGGTTGGATCCAGACCCTGTCAGCCAGCACGCATTCTCGAGGTCTTTGTCGCACTGTCCTTGTTGGGAATCCGAGGAAACCAGCACAAACGTCGTTATCACTGCGGCCTCAGAATGAGACTCCAGAACGCCATTCAGTGAATCGGCCATTTCCACGAAAGTGTGCAAAAACTCCAAAACGGATGGCGCCAGGGCCTCCAACACAATTTTTTCGTGTGTGCAAGAAAACCACAAAGCGTGAAATGCGACTCAACAAACAGTCCAGATGACCAAAGAAAAGCCACCAGCCAGCAAGAACCTGTTCAGCAAGCAAACCTCCAAGGCCAAAAAGCGAGACGGCACAAACCGAACTGAACCGCTTCAGCAGAAGCGAAGAGAGCTTCACTTCCAATCGAAACAGCTTTCCAACTACGAAACTGTCTGCAAAACATTCAAAAAAAACACACTAAAATCCATTAGGCGCTGCAGATTGAACAAAAGCTCGCACTTGCCAATCGTCTTGCCAATAACATTCAGCTTCAAATCAGAAATTGCAACTTGCGTAAATGGGGTGGTGTGGGTGCACCACGTCGTCTTGCAGGTTGTAAAGACTGATCCACATCCACGCTTCTCCACCAGAGCATCTGCACCCAGACTTGTCAAATGCGTCCCACTCACACTGAGCTTCGCTTTGCAGCTTCTACAGTGAAACGCAGTTTTGCGTCATTGACATGGCGCTCAACATGGCTTTGATGAGAAAAGATGTTCATCTAAGGACCTTTTGCTTGGTGCTCTTATATTCTTGAGTGACTCTTTGAACTGGTTTGAGGATGGTTCTGCCCAATTCGAGTGGCTGAATCCAAGTTCAAACAGCCCAAGATCCGGCTAGCCAGGAGAACAACAACAATCAAGCATTTGGGCGGTTTGAAGACCTCCAGAAGGCCAAGTCCACGAAAACACCATCCTGGTGTCTTTTTCCTGATGTGGTTTGTTTGCTTTGAACTTGCCCTTCAGAAGCTCTTTGGCCGTTCGACTTCCAGAGGGCCGCGTTTGCTTTCTTGGCTCCAGCTGGACCAAGGGCCTTGTAAAGCTTGCACAATTTTGAAGTTAAGAAACAAATGAATCAAATGAACTGTCATTTTACATGTCGTGCTTTCTGGAAACAACCACCACGAAGTTGAACTGCCGGGGTGCACTACTGTCTTTATGTTCAGCAGTGTGCAAGCCTTGTCTGAGGCAGAGCACGAATGTTTTACGGGCTTTGAGCCTGGCACTAAAAGCGATGACTCTGCGGAGTGGGGTTTGCCATCTGGCAATGAGGTCTGCCATTTGAGCCAGTGAATGTATGAGCATTGCCCAAACTGTTGCCTGAGCAGCTGGTAAACTTTCCGGCTAGTCAGTGACGAAGCAATCCCAGCCTTCTTTTTCTGAAGGCCACAAAACGTGGTTGCGTTGCGGTGTAGGGTGTAGGGTTTAGGATGAGTAAGTGAGCCTTGCTGTAGTCCATGTGGGCAGCCAAAACTCTTTGTTGACATCTAGCAGGTTTTTCCGAATGCACGAATGTGAGCCCGTCATATCATGCTCATTCGCTTCTGAAATGTTGAGCCTGTTGCAAGGTCGAAGCTGAGCGCCGTAGTCTTTTACGTAGAGCAACGCGCAGCATGGGAAATCTGGATCCGAAATTGTCCGCTTGCAGAAAGCTAGGACAGGCAGACTCTACTGATCCGCCGCAGTTTGATTCGAGATTGTATGCTGCAGGGTGTGAGGATACAGACGAGGGAACCTGAACGAGCCCAGAGGTGGCGGGCAAATGATTTCACCCTTAGGACAAAGCCGGTGGTATAATACTCAGCTGCCAACTGAGTTTGATTGACTCCGGCATGTCTGGGACCTTCCACCGTTCTAATAGTGTTATACTACCCAAAGGGTGTGTAAGTGGGTTCCCTTGGTTTTTGCAGCAGATGGGGTGGGTTCCCTGTGGGTTCCCTTGTTTTTTGCAGCACTTCAGGTGGGCTACATATGGGTTCCCTTGTTTTTTGCAGCATTTCGGGTGGGTCTGTGTATGTTCTTCATTGAGCTTTCTTGTAGATTCCCATGGTTTTTGCAGCATGGACGGTGGGTTCCCTGTGGCTTCCTTAGTTTTTGTAGCATTTTTAAATGGGTTCCCATGGTTTTTAACAATATCGACGGTGGATTCTCTGTGGGTTCCCTTGTTTTTTGCAACACTTCAGGTGGGCAACATATGGGTTCCCTGGTTTTTTGCAGCATTTCGGGTGGTCTGTGTATGTTCATCACTTAGCTGTCTTGTAGATTCCCATGGTTTTTGCAGCATGGACGGTGGGTTCCCTGTGGGTTCCTTAGTTTTTGCAGCATTTTTAAGTGGGCTCCCATGGTTTTTCACCGTCGATACGGTGGGTTCTTTGTTTGGTTCCCGGGTTTTTGCAGCATTTGAAGTGGGTTCCCATGGTTTTCCAATAGGCTCTTTTGGCTTTTGCAGCATGTCAGCTGGGTTCCCTGTGGGTTTCCTAGTTTTTTGCAGCAGTTTTAATGGGTTCCCATGGTTTAACAGCATCGACGGTGGATTCCCTGTGGGTTCCTTGCTTTTTGCAGCATTGCAAGTGGGTTCCCATGGTTTTCCCAGCATATATTGCGCAAAGGTCTGGGTGGGCTCCCTTGGCTCTTGCAGTGTGTCAGCTCGGTTCCCTGTGGGGTACATGTGGGTTCCCATGGTTTCTCCAGCTCGCGCATTATGTTTCAGAGAAGAGTGGAACTGAAGAAGATGTTCAGGACAGTGGCTGCAGGTGTGGCCCAGTTCCATCGCACATCTTGCGCTGCATTTGGATTTGCTGCTTTGAAGTAAGGCTGCAAAAAGCACGTCTGCTATCTGCAGTTTGGGTCGAGACCAAAGACGTTAAACAGGCTCACCTCTGATGCACATGAGGCTCGCCGCCCTCCTGTGGTAATGCTCTTGATAAGTTTGCTGCAGCTAAATGCTGGCACGCTGATGCGAGGATTTTGCGGCATCTACTGGTAGATGTTAATCTCAGCTTGTAGCTTCAACTGTTTCGATTGCTTGCTGTACGTGGGCTGTTTTTGCGCTGGGAAGCTCCACTTGCAGGAGCTCTTTTTTCCTACAGAATCGTAGGAAGCCTCGAAGGGCCTCCCCTGTGCGGGAAAGATCTTGTACGAACAAGAACAGAAGCACTTGTCTTGAAACGGCAGCCGATGGCAAGTTTGGCAAATTTTCCAAAAGTATCTCACATTTCACAGCATGTTGGCTTTCTTGGACGTTGATCCAAACAGCATGCGGAAGGAATTTTGTTTTTCGTTTTCCAGCTGAGACGGGTTCCAAAAAGCAGCTCTAGTCCGGGCACCGAAACGGGGCTCCCGATTTTGGCTTTCTTCGTTGGACATACAAGCTCACGCAATTCGGGGCCCCAGATTAGAGCTCAGATTTGGGAGCCATTTCTGGGGCCCAGTTATGCCGTTTTTTCGTCGAGCAGATGCCACATCTGCGTGCACAGCTGGCCGTTGCGTGCAACAGTATATAAACCTCGCCAGCTCTGTTTTGCATTTTGCCGGTGTTCCTTCAAAACTCAAAATAACAAGTGGAACGCTCGCAAACATGTGAACCTTGCAAACAGAACTTTCTCACACAGAGGAGGCCCTTCCAAGCATCCTAGAGAACAGCTTCCGGAATTGGCTCCGTAATTCGAGCGTTCTTTTGGCCCATGTGTTGCAACGATGTCCGACGTGGAAGCACCTCCTGTTCCTCCCCCTCAAAGAGTGGAGTTGCCGCAGGAGTGTAGAACGTCCTTCGTAAATAAATGGTCCTTCCTCGTCTGCCTGTTGCTAGGAGACTTTGTCCGCCCGTCTGGCCCGCCTGCGACAGGAGCGTCAGGATGCAAAGGTGTGGTATTGTCTGCGTGTCTACAAGATGTCTTGATTGTCTTTCGTCCAAAGCAGGTAGAAGCGCGCAGAGTCGCTAAGATCCTGAAAGCAGAGCAAAAACGACTTTGCAAGGCATGGTTCTGTCTGCTGCCCCGTCGAATGTAGATGTTTGAACTTGCCCAGGCCAAAACAGTAGCACGGCAGCTTTCTGAATCGCAGTAATTAACCCTTGTCGTTTCTCGCACGATGGCGCGAATGTTTTAACGCGCATTGAGCCCGGCACTGAGAGTGATCAGCGGTCAGTGAGCTTCGCTGTCGCCTCTCTGGTGTTGAACTGTTGCCCCAGCAGCGAGTATCTGTTGAGCAGTGACTAAGCTCTGCCAGCTTTTAGTACGTGAGTCAGTGAGTGTGAATGAGTGAGCTTAGCTGCGACGAACGGCTGCCTGCAGCGCGTAAATTCTTCTTCGGTGTCGGGTGAGCAGTGACCAAGCTTCGCTCTTTCTTTTCCAAGGGAATGAATGTTTACGGCTTTGAGCCCGGCGCTGAGAGTGGTCAGCGGTGCGAGCCCTGCCGAAGCAGTGGGTGAGAGTGCTTGGCTGTGGCCCGAACTGTTGCGTGGCAGCTAGTAACTTCTTCGTCTTCGGTTGAGCGTGAGCGGTTCAGCAGTGTGCAAGCCTTGTCTGAGGCAGAGCACGAATGTTTTACGGGCTTTGAGCCTGGCACTAAAAGCGATGACTCTGCGGAGTGGGGTTTGCCATCTGGCAATGAGGTCTGCCATCTGAGCCAGTGAATGTATGAGCATTGCCCAAACTGTTGCCTGAGCAGCTGGTAAACTTTCCGGCTAGTCAGTGACGAAGCCTTGCTTTGACGTAATCCCAGCCTTCTTTTTCTGAAGGCCACAAAACGTGGTTGCGTTGCGGTGTAGGGTTTAGGATGAGTAAGTGAGCCTTGCTGTAGTCCATGTGGGCAGCCAAAACTCTTTGTTGACATCTAGCAGGTTTTTCCGAATGCACGAATGTGAGCCCGTCATATCATGCTCATTCGCTTCTGAAATGTTGAGCCTGTTGCAAGGTCGAAGCTGAGCGCCGTAGTCTTTTACGTAGAGCAACGCGCAGCATGGGAAATCTGGATCCGAAATTGTCCGCTTGCAGAAAGCTAGGACAGGCAGACTCTACTGATCCGCCGCAGTTTGATTCGAGATTGTATGCTGCAGGGTGTGAGGATACAGACGAGGGAACCTGAACGAGCCCAGAGGTGGCGGGCAAATGATTTCACCCTTAGGACAAAGCCGGTGGTATAATACTCAGCTGCCAACTGAGTTTGATTGACTCCGGCATGTCTGGGACCTTCCACCGTTCTAATAGTGTTATACTACCCAAAGGGTGTGTAAGTGGGTTCCCTTGGTTTTTGCAGCAGATGGGGTGGGTTCCCTGTGGGTTCCCTTGTTTTTTGCAGCACTTCAGGTGGGCTACATATGGGTTCCCTTGTTTTTTGCAGCATTTCGGGTGGGTCTGTGTATGTTCTTCATTGAGCTTTCTTGTAGATTCCCATGGTTTTTGCAGCATGGACGGTGGGTTCCCTGTGGGTTCCTTAGTTTTTGTAGCATTTTTAAATGGGTTCCCATGGTTTTTAACAATATCGACGGTGGATTCTCTGTGGGTTCCCTTGTTTTTTGCAACACTTCAGGTGGGCAACATATGGGTTCCCTTGTTTTTTGCAGCATTTCGGGTGGTCTGTGTATGTTCATCACTTAGCTGTCTTGTAGATTCCCATGGTTTTTGCAGCATGGACGGTGGGTTCCCTGTGGGTTCCTTAGTTTTTGCAGCATTTTTAAGTGGGCTCCCATGGTTTTTCACCGTCGATACGGTGGGTTCTCTGTTTGGTTCCCGGGTTTTTGCAGCATTTGAAGTGGGTTCCCATGGTTTTCCAATAGGCTCTTTTGGCTTTTGCAGCATGTCAGCTGGGTTCCCTGTGGGTTTCCTAGTTTTTTGCAGCAGTTTTAATGGGTTCCCATGGTTTAACAGCATCGACGGTGGATTCCCTGTGGGTTCCTTGCTTTTTGCAGCATTGCAAGTGGGTTCCCATGGTTTTCCCAGCATATATTGCGCAAAGGTCTGGGTGGGCTCCCTTGGCTCTTGCAGTGTGTCAGCTCGGTTCCCTGTGGGGTACATGTGGGTTCCCATGGTTTCTCCAGCTCGCGCATTATGTTTCAGAGAAGAGTGGAACTGAAGAAGATGTTCAGGACAGTGGCTGCAGGTGTGGCCCAGTTCCATCGCACATCTTGCGCTGCATTTGGATTTGCTGCTTTGAAGTAAGGCTGCAAAAAGCACGTCTGCTATCTGCAGTTTGGGTCGAGACCAAAGACGTTAAACAGGCTCACCTCTGATGCACATGAGGCTCGCCGCCCTCCTGTGGTAATGCTCTTGATAAGTTTGCTGCAGCTAAATGCTGGCACGCTGATGCGAGGATTTTGCGGCATCTACTGGTAGATGTTAATCTCAGCTTGTAGCTTCAACTGTTTCGATTGCTTGCTGTACGTGGGCTGTTTTTGCGCTGGGAAGCTCCACTTGCAGGAGCTCTTTTTTCCTACAGAATCGTAGGAAGCCTCGAAGGGCCTCCCCTGTAATGGCACATTCGCAGCAGAATGATCGGCGCTGAGGCAAAGGCAGCAAGACACTGCCAGCAGAAAGAGTGAAGCCACGCGCAGCAACTGCACCCGAGCAGCAACAGAAAACGCCACAGGCGCAGTGTACTTGCAGAAGCGCAACCGCTGGAAGCCGAGCATGCTAGATGCGCGCTGCGTGTCTCCTGAGTGCCGGAGCTCCGTTTTTTGGGGCGAGAGCGAGAGACTTTGGGTACTCTGCTGCCGACAGAAGTGGCGGAGAACCACAGAGAACACAGCTCAGCTCAACATCATTCCGCCTATTGGCGGGAGCTGCCGACAGTGGCGGAGAACCACAGAGAACACAGCTCAGCTCAACATCATTCGCCAAGTTCACAGAGTGTGAGCGCAAGCCGGAACTGAGCTTTTACGGGACGTCAGGCTTGTCTCCCTAAGGAAGTGGAGACCGCCAGTGTCGAACTGCTTCAACTTCAGCTCAAAAGCAAGCAGGACGGGGCCTGAACTGCGAGGAGAAGTCAGCGGCGGTGTCGAAGCTGCGGAGGTGGCAAGGATCAGCGCTTATGCTCCTTTGCAAGGCCAGACCCGTTTGCTGGAACAGGCAAAGAAGGTTAAGGAGGCGTTGGTCCTCTGGCATGGGCGATCAGCTATGCTTCCTGTGTGGGCCAAGTCGTTTTGGCAAGAGGTTGGCCTGCTGGAGCCGCTGGACACCGACTTAAGGTGTTACTTTTGTCGCAAGGCTATCTGGGAAGGGGAGTTGGCTCTCCCCCGCGCTTCAAGGAGCTGAAGGAGAAGCTGGACGAGCTGTCCACTGCAGGGGCGGTTGCGCATTCCCTGGACGCTTTCGGGCTCAGGAGGGCGGCGTGGATAGGAGATGAAGATGAGGGCCCGGAAAGTTGGGAGGCGGCCCTGCCGCCCGACCTCAAGCGAGCGGGGCCCGAAATCTACTCCTCTATGAAGGCCTCGGGAGTGCGATGTGTGCGCGATTGGGTGAATAGCATGTTCAGTGTGGATCAGAGACAGTCGGCGCATTACGTGGATCTGTTCAATTTAGCCTTCTTGGTCGATTTCAAGGCCAAGGAAGGGGGCTCATCTCAATCGAAGGTCCTGAGCACTATTGCGCACGACGACACCTGTGAGGTGGCTCTGCGCCGATTGGCAGCGTGGATCCATGAACGCCGCACTAGCGATAGAGATGCCGCGCAGAGCATGCTTGCGATCAAACCCTCATCTTTCTCGACGGATGTCGCGCCGAGCTGGCTGGTGACGGAGGCCGCCACTTATAGTCAGTCAGAGCACAAGCGCCGAGAGCGCGCGAGGGCGCAGGGCGGCGCTGGAATGGCAAGCTCTGGCGGTGGCGGCGGAGGTGGCAAGGCAGGAGGCAAAGGCAAGGGCAAAGGAAAGGACAAGAAGAAAGGAGCAGCCACGCAAGGCTGACAGGAGGGCAGCCCTCGGGGAGAGCAGAGCATGAACCGAGGGTGTGCGACTGGAGCTCTGCAAGAGTGCTGCTTTCCATCTTGTTTTCAAGACCTTTGCCTTAGTGACGGGCGAATTTTTCCACTGCCGGTGCCGTCGATGCCGTCCCAGCCTCAGTCGGCGTCACCTAGACCTAGACTTAGGAAGAGGTGGCGCGAGAAACTGGTCTTGTGGAAATTGGTGTCCAGGTGGGTTTTCTTTCTCAACGATTTGAACAGTTCTTCATTGCGGGAGCCTAAGAAGCACTTAGCTGCTGCGCGCTTGCAATCCCCAACTAACGCGGCGCAAGCAGCTGTTCTGCGTCTTTGGGATCGTGCTAAAGTTTGCCGTGAGGGCCGCCGTCAAGAGCCTGCGGTTCTTGAGACAGGCGGCGGTTCAGCTGCGGTGCAGATTGTGAAGGGAGCCGTGGCAGATGACTCTTATGCTAGGGTCCAGAAGAAGCAGAATCAGATTCCTTTGCAAGCGGATTTCATTGCCGAGCCCTCGGAAGACCGAGTGGTGGACATGTTAGAAGCTCTTCCACGCTCTGAATCGGAGTTTTACAGCAGCGAACACAATTGCATTGACTTGGTTGGTAAAGCTAGGCAGCTTCAAGACGAGATCGAGCAGCAGTTTGCGTTTGTCGGAGGCACGCTTGATGAGTACCGCAAATATTTTCACAGATTGGATTTGCCTAGCAACATGTGGTCTTGGAGGCCTTTTGCCGAAGTCAAAGCAGTTGCAGGATTTTCGTGTGTACCTAAGAAAGATGGGGTCACGCAGCGTAAGTTGTTGATGTGCTGTTCGTTCAACTATTTGCTATCGGATGTGGAGGCTCGGTCACGATTAGGAATGACTGGGGCTGGCGCCCTAGCGAGGGCCCATCTCGAGAAGCCGGGCTTGAAGGCAGCAGTTTGTGATCAGTCGAATGCCTTTACAAGCGTACTGGTGCCTGAGTGGATGATCCCGTACCAGGCGGTCCCACCGATTCCGGCGGGTGATGTCTGGGAGCTTCTGCCTCGGCGTCTTCGGGATGATTTGTCCGCGTCGGATTGGGTATGTCCATGTTACATGCGATTACCTATGGGCTGCAGTCACTCCGTCCACATCTTGATGAACATAAACTTGCGCATTATTGGCATGACTTTGTCGTCGAGCAAGCTCCTGTCCCGAACCCCCTCTTCAGGTCACGCCGCGGAGAACTACGTCATCGAACAGAGGCTTCCTGAAGTGCATTTCGGATGTTCGGATGCTGAGTGGTGGGAGCGCTTTGAGTCTCGTGGTTCAGGGCGTGCCGAAGCAGGGTTTTCTGTGGATGAGTGGTGGTATGCCATTCGCAAGGCCCGGCGCGCCCCTCATCGAGTGTTTGTGATAATGCATCTGTTTGGAGGGGAGCGGCGGACGGGAGACATACATCATTTTGTCGAGCGCTTCGCGGAGGAAGCGGGGCTCACAGTGCTCATTGCCTCTGTTGACCTGGCTACCGATTACCGATGGGACCTTGCGCGGGAAGACACTCAACAGGAACTTTTGGGCATGATGTCAGGCTTCGTTGACCTGTTGGTGCTGGGCCCGCCTTGCTCCACAGTCTCCAGGGCCAGGCACACCAGAAACAGTGCAGGGATCAGACCAGTCCGTTTTCGTGATTGTTTTTGGGGGAGGCCAGATCTGCTGCCTCATGAGCGTGCCAGGGTTGAGGAGGCAAATGTGTTGTTCAAGCATAGCATGGCTTTGTGTGATCGTATCTCGCTGTATGGTGGAAGCTCTCTGTGGGAGCACCCGAAGGACCCAGGCTACCAGCCCTACCTGTCGATCTTTGCCACGACTGAGTTCAGGGAGCTGCTGGTGCGCACGGGGTCTTCTTCGGTGTCTTTTGATCAATGCACCCTCGGAGGTCCCACCAAAAAGCCGACTACCTTGGCGGGAAATGTGCGGGATCTCAATAGCTTTGCTCATTGCGCCTGCCCCGGTGAGAGTCAGCATCATCGGCATGAACGCTCAATGGGGTTTGACAGTGAAGGTCGCTTTCTTACGAGACGGCTGCAAACCTATCCTCCAGGTATGTGTCGACTTGTTGCGCAGTGTTTGATCGCTACGTGCAAAGTTTGGCGAGGCTCTGGAGAAGGACCGACGGGCTTCTGTGCACGGGGCCCTCGTGCGCCCTTGGCTCCTTGGTCGGTGAGTGCCTCAGCTGATCGCATAGGAGTCAGGATTTTGAACGAAGCCGTGGAGGATCATGTGCGGGTGCTGCTGGGGGATGATCAGTTAGGCCTCTACCTGCATGTGGACGATACACTGGTTCTAGGAGTGGGGGATTGTGCGAGGCTGACAGCCCCCTTGATGGAAGAGATCGCTGATAACATGGAGGCCGCAGGCTTCAGAGTGCCCGATCGCCGATCGGGCGATGAGATCGCAAAAGTGGTAGGTTACGAGATTGATGCGCAGAAGGGTGAGTTCAGGCTGCCTCGAAAGAAGGCCAGGCTGTTACAGGCCGCTTTTCTGGAGGTGGCGAGTGCGCGGTTCGTATGTGTCGAGCTGCTCAGGGCATTGGTTGGAATCTGGAGTTTCGGTGCACAACTTAGAAGAGAGCTGTATTCCATCCCATTTTCAGTTTACCACATGTTGGACATTTGCGAGGGCCAGTTTGTGAGACTTTGGCCGTCGGTGAGGCGTGAGCTCATCGCCATGGCCAGGGCAGTGGATTTTATGGTTTTGCAGGCATCGGACCCAGTGAGTAACGTGGTGTTCGCAACGGACGCCATGGGAGCCGATGATGTCGACTGTGGGGGTTTTGGGATTTGCATGGCTCAGGCCGACAGCGAGGAGTTGGCAGCTCTGATGTGGGCCGGCGAAGAGCCGGGTTTTGCCATTTCCGAACAAGACCGGGGGTTGAGGGGTTTTCGCAAACCGACGGAGTTAATCAAGCTTACGCGTCCTTTTTCGAGACTGCCCCGGTCTTTGTTTGAAGAGTCTTGGTGGACCGAGTTGCAAGCAGGCCGTTGGCGGACAGCCGATCACATCACCATAGGCGAAGCCAGGGCTGTCACAAAGTGCCTCGAGTTGGTTTGCCAGTGGCCTCATGCGCACGATCAAGTTTTCTATGCTTTACAAGATAACCGTCCTTGTGCGAGCGCAATGACCAAAGGGAGGTCGTCGTCATGGGGTTTGAATTTTTATTTGAGGCGGAGGGCGGCGCTCGGCATTGCAAGTGGACTGCGCTTCATCTTTTCGTGGTGTCAGTCTGCTCTCATGCCGGCCGATCGGGCTTCAAGACGCCGGGGGCAGTAGCTGCCGTGACCAGGGCCCGGGGGAGGGCTCGGGCATGCACCATTTCCGGCCTCAGAGGCTCGACCCACTGCATGTGAACTCCATCTTGAGTGACACGTACAAGCGCTACCAAAGGGCGGTCGAGAAGTTTGAGATTTTTCTGCTTGTGAACGACGGGGCTCCTTCATCAGCTGCTGAACTTGACGAGTGGCTCGTTCTATTCCGCCGGGAGGCCTCTTTGACACGGTCGCAGTTTGAGGTCACCTTGGCGGGCATCCAGTTTGTGGCTCCGCGCTTAAAGGGCAAGCTTCCCCTATCAAAGAAAGTCGTGAAAGGATTGGTCATCGAGTACCCCGCCAAACATGCTTTTCCTATGTTGTCCCGCTCGGCTAAGTTTATTGCTAGTAAGATGGCAGCAGAAAGGGAACATCGTTTGGGAGTGTGTATGCTGCTTCAACAAGCCACCGGGCTCCGGCCCTCTGAGATGCTGGGGCTGCGAGAGCATGACATTATCAGACCCAGTGAGTTCGTGCCCCGCTATGTTCTTCGCCTCGGCACCAACGTGGGCACCAAGGTGGGGAGGGAACAGACCGCGTTCTTTGACCCCGACCAGGACCCGGTGCTTGCTATGCTGTTGTTTAGGCTACTGCGTTCGACTCCGGAACAAGGGCAGCTGGCTGCGTGTGGTTATGATCACTATCGGAGGGTTCTCGCGCGTCATAGTGCGTGCTTGGGAGTGCGCTATTCTCCACATTCGTGCAGGGCCGGCTTCGCAACAGAGGCCATCATTAAGGGCGAGGCGCCCACACTCGTGCAGAGGCGCGGACGGTGGGCCTCGGAAGCGAGTTTCCTTGTGTACATTGACGTGGCAACCGCTTTGCAAGTGGAGGCTGAGTTTCGCAGCCGTGCCCTGGATTCGGAGATTGACGCGGCCTCCCGCAACTTGTTGGTCTACTTCCCAAAGGGCTGCTTTGCGGAGGCGATCGATGGGACTCCCGGTCACCGTGGCGATCGCAGACGCTTCGGAGGACGAATCCTCGGAATACCAACCACCCGCCTCTTTGCGGCAAGTGAAGGCTCAGTCGCGCCGACGCACTATGACTCCACCGCCCCGGGCGAGTCAGGCCCGCCAAGGCGCTCGCCGCACCAAGCTGGACGGCAGCTCCGTGCTCACCCCCGAGGTGCGAGCACAACTGCCAGTGGATGGTGGGGTTGGTGTTGCAACAGGCGCCGTTCGTGAGCTTCCGAAGCGGGGGGTTCAGCGAAAGAAGCCAGTGTCCTGTTTCAGCTGGGTTTGGAAGTTCTTCCGCAAGGGAGTGGCCCGACTTCGTTTGATGGTACTATGGGGAAGTCTGGCCTACGTGTTGGCGGCTGGACCCATGCGCGAGCTCCTGGCACCGGTGCAGAGTTTGCTTGTGTCCACTGCACAGGTGGGTGAGAGTGCGGCTGGGGCACTCTCGTCTATTCTGGATGGCGGCACGCAGCTGGTAACTGCGTCCACGAGTGTGATGCGAGCGGCTTCGGTCAACACTTTGAGCGTGGCACAGGCCGCCTGGGTTGGTGTGGACCTCGTCGGCATGAATGCTACCAAAGTGGTTGGGCGAGTTTTGGGCGAAACCTCAGAGGCCATTGAGTTGTGGCTCTTCTCCGAGCAGGGACGTAGTCTTGCGGGACCCAGCTCGTGACGCCCTTGTCTTCTGGCAAGGACTGCTGCAATCACAGGCATTTCACCTGCCGGTGGTCGCCGCTGAGTCCGAGGCGTTGGTGGCTGCGGGCGACTACTGGACAGCTGCAGGGAGCGTCTCCTTCGCTCCCAATGGCCTGGTTGTCTTCGAGTTCCGAGTGCTCCGAATGCACTTTTCGCCTCGTTGGGCGAACCCTGTCTGGCAGGTGGGTGGATGGAACGCGGCCGATGAGTATGATCAGATCCTCGTCATCGCCCGCGACTTCGCCGCCACGGTGCCGGCAGTCAACCACACGTGGGACTACTTTGTGGCCCACCCGCCCTCCTCAACTTCGTGGCCCGCTGTGGCCGGGCTCCTTCGCCGCTCGGGGGCTCTGCTTACGAGCCCATTTCGACGCTGCTGGCGCTTCTTGGCTTCCATGTGGATGTATGGGACCTTGCATCCGCTGGCATTTGGAGGTCTGATGCTGGTGGCTACGAGTTGTTGTTTCTGGGCACGCCGGGATTTGTTTTCGGCGGCACTACCAACTGGAGGACATGCCAATTGGGCCAGGCTAGTGGAGCTGGTCTTGCTCATGCGAGGCTGGGTTTTAGTGCGTGGAGGTGTGCTTGCGCGACAGCTTTGCGGTTGAGTCCAAAGGGGAGATGGGGTTTCTACTCTTTTGGGCAGCTCTGCGCAGTCAGTACAGGCTTCTCTGTGAGGGGAGGCGAACCAGACTGCTTAGAAGAGCTGCTCTCGCCATCTGGTCCAAAATGACGTGGATGGCTTATCATATGCCAAATGTGCCAGGCGGGATCGCCTAACTGGATTTACTTTGCTGGCTCCTAGCAAAACAGCGTATTGCAAGGTTCTGAGTGAGGCGCTCTGCACTTCTGCATCCTGCAAGCAACGCATTGGGGCTGGGAACTCGCTGCTATTTCATGCGATTTGTGGACTCGTGAGCATTATTGTTGAGTGAGCTGAGCGCACGGAGTTTAATGTGCAGTCCCCAAATGTCAGCATGAATTTTCCTTTGCTGCTGTAGGAGTTTCGTCGCAGACGGGGAGGGTAAACTTTGTAGTCGTGCTTGCTTGTGTTGACTTCGAAGTGCGGCGGCCAAGTTTTCTCACGAGGCCCGCCCACCCTCCCGGGTTTCTACTCTTTTGGGCAGCTCTGCGCAGTCAGTACAGGCTTCTCTGTGAGGGGAGGCGAACCAGACTGCTTAGAAGAGCTGCTCTCGCCATCTGGTCCAAAATGACGTGGATGGCTTATCATATGCCAAATGTGCCAGGCGGGATCGCCTAACTGGATTTACTTTGCTGGCTCCTAGCAAAACAGCGTATTGCAAGGTTCTGAGTGAGGCGCTCTGCACTTCTGCATCCTGCAAGCAACGCATTGGGGCTGGGAACTCGCTGCTATTTCATGCGATTTGTGGACTCGTGAGCATTACTCAACCTGCTGTGGAGTTGTCGTCCATGTATGCCTTGAGCATTCGCACCCGTGGGATGCGATGTAGCGGACAGATGAGCGGATCCATCGCTACACAAAACAGGAGGACGGATGTGGCGCGTCCCATAGCAAGTCTCATACGGAGTGGTGGCAGTAGGAGGCCTTGAATGCGGTGCAGGGATTGACGACCATAAAGAAGGTGATGGTATATTGTCGAACCCACTGCGGACAGAGACGTTCTAAGACCTCCAGAAGCCACCCTGGGTTGACTCTTTCAAAGGCTTTGGCCATATCAGTGAGGAGGACATTGCAAGGCTGCGACTCGGACAATAAGCAATCCTGGACCATCATAAAGTTGGCAGGGGCCTCTTTAAGCTGACTAACAAGTGCCTGCGACTGATTGAGGCAAGGGGCACATATTGGCCTGCGTCAGCCTTGGGGATGAAGGTCAATGCCTGTGTAGGGGGCGGAGCGACCCCAAGAATGATATCCAGGAAATACGAGTGAAAGGCGCGTGCGGACTCTGTAGGCAGCTGGCGATAGCACTCATATGGACAGCCATCGGGTCCTGCCGACGAGTCACCCGTGCGTAAGAGATGAAACATGATGTCTTCTTCTTGGGGGAGAGCACACCTAGCTGCAGGCTGCGGTCGATAAACGATCTCCCATTCCGGGGAGTAGTCTGGTGGTGATTGTTGCCAAAATGCTCTCGTAGCACGCAAGGCAGCGTCGACCTCTCCCACAGTAGAGCAAGGTGAGCCGTCCGCCCGAAGTACACGCGTGGTTCCGAAGGATCCCAAAGATGAACGATGGAGATCCCATCTCGGGTGTTGACAGTTTCAAGCGTTGTCAACTGCATGACGACCTGCTGAGCCTCTACCGCGCTGATTGTTACCGGCTGACCTTGCGTATGAAGGGGCCGCGTTTCAAGCAGGTGTTGGAAAGTCTCATAAATGGCCCACGGGACAATGAAGGATGAAGCGTGTGGGCGTTTGCGTTGTCGCTTCAACAAGTATGGAAGCGCGCCATACTTCCCTTCTGAGACAGCACAAGAGGTGTGCTCAAGCTCCCCCGCCCACCACACGTGAAATAGACTTTGGAGATCTTGCAATGTGGGTGAGTTAGGAAGGAGGACTTTGAGCCTTTCAAGGCGCACCTTGGCCGGATGAGACGTGTGTGCAGGGATGTGTGTTGAAGAGGCTTGCGATTGTTGCTTAAAGGCGCGGATTGGTATTGCTCGATACGTAGACGCCCCAACGTCATTGGAGAGCATGCGCGCTTTACGCACCCGCAATGTTACGACACCATGGCCTTGTGGGAGAGCATGGGGCCAAAACACCCGGCCCCTGAGGCGGCGGCAGCCTTCTGCTTCCTCATTATGCAAAACTTTGTCTAAGCAAGACGCGACATTGCCGGAACGATATGTCGGGATTCCCCCTCCCGAGACTTGACGTAGGAGCCCTTCAGCACAGAAGAGTTCCCACAGGCCGGGCTGCTTTTCGGCCATGTGGTTGAAGTCTCCCATTACAAAGAGCTCGTCACGTTGTGACCTTGACGTAAGGTACGAAACCAAAGCACGACCAACTTCAGCAAGCTTATCTGAATGTGCATACACACAGATAATCTCACAGCGATGCGCAAAATGTTGGACTCTTGCTGACAGGATCAGCCCAGGCAGAATCTCAGTCTGCGAGGTGAGGGTGAAAGGAGCTGGGACCAGGATAGCAACGCCCGAGCTAACTGATGCGTGTGAAGTTTCACAAAAGGGGTCTGTAATCGAACTTCGGGAATTAAGGACTTGAATTGCGCGAATCGGTTTTCGAAATGCGTTCTGTCATTTCAATCCGTTGATAACATTTCAAGTCCAAACAAGGCGAAATCTGCACGTGATTTCTCAGTTTTTTGTTTCGGTTTGCTTTTTTCTAGTCCAAACAAGGCGAAATCTGCACGTGATTTCTCAGCTTTTTGTTTCGGTTTGCTTTTTTCTCGGGCTTATTTCGGATCGGTTTTATCGATTCTTTTGGTTTTGTTTGGGTGGCTTCTTTTGCCAGTTGAATGATTGTTGAAGTAATCTGTGTTCGAACACGCAAAAAGGACTCCGACCTGGTTAATTATTATTATGAGAAACCGCAAACGACACTTTGGAAAGATCTCAATGGGCTTGAGGGTTGAAACCAGCCAAACTGGCCCGAGCACTTCCTCCTTGCGATTCTTATGCAGGGGCCATAACCCCAATTAGGGTCCCATTTAGGGTACTTATAAGTCTACTTACTACCTACTTACTAGCCGGGAAGGACACAAAAACGGCATAGTTGTTTCGATCACCTACAATTGTCAATTGTACATAATCATAAAGTCCCTTTCTCTCTGTATCCCTATAAAACCTGTTACGCCTGTTACTACCAAATCACGATTAGCCCATCAAGTCTGAAGCTCCCCCTCGCTTGTGCCACATGTGCCACTTGCGCCGTTGCTGGGATGGACGATGACTTCGACATGTTGGAGGACCTGCATGGGGTGGTGTGTAGGTGAATCCTGAACCCTAAACTCCAGGTCCCAAACCTTCTGTAAACCGAGTTCTGGTTCTGGTCTGATTAGAATGGGATTTGTGTCCTGCCCGCAGTGGCCATCAGCCATCAGAACCTGAAATCGGATCTCAGGATCTCTTTGGCGTGTTCTGGTTTTGAGGTGTGCCAGGATAGGGTTAGGGGTTTGGAGTTTAGAGTTTAGGGTTACGGGTTTAGAGTTTATGTTTTTGTTTGGCTTTTGGGGTTTAGTGTTAGGGTCTAGGGTTTAAGCTTTTAAAGTAAAGCTCAGGGATTAGGGTTTATGATTTTAGAGTTGAGGGTTTGGGGTTCTCTTTCAAGGTGGGTTTGGCTTGAACCTCAGAGCCCAGAGTCCAGAGCCGTTGCACATGAGAATCCATCAAAACTTCCGTAATTGTAGTTAAGAGTAGGGTGACCGTGGAATGCCGGATTTTGCCAATTTCCTTGGAAAGCGACAGGACTCCCCCAAAAGCGATACGATCAATGAGGATCCGCAGTTTTTGTGCCTCGATTTTCTGTGTGAGATATGGCTAGGCAATCGATACCCTAATCGATACCCAATCGATACCCTAATCGATACCTACTAGACCGTTTTATGAGCCATTGCCCCACAGGGCAAGCTACGAGTAGGATCAGTGAGTCTGATGGTGCTTACTTTCACAAGAGCAAAGCGATACCTCACAGAAACATGTGAGAGAATCCTTGTAAAGCGATAGGACCCCCCCAAATCATCCATGGTCATGAACAAGAAGTTTTGACAAGCGCTCACATCATGTCGCTCCGTTTGCAGATTTCACTGCTCAGTGGCAAGGCAGCCACCGTGGAAGCATCCGAGAATGAGACAGTGGACGTGCTGGCGGGAAGAGCACAGGAGGCGCTTGGAATTGGCAGAGCACGGCTTTTGGGCCCTTCCGGTTTTTTGGATGGAGGGTCGACGATCAAGCGTTTGAAGCTGGATGAACGATTGAAGCTGACATTGCAAGCATCTGCGGTTCAGATTCAAGCGAGTAGGTCAAATTTCGCTGCGATTTTGGGCGATTTATCGGTGGGTACAGAGAGCTGGCCACTTCGGGTGCAGAACGTAAAAGCATTGGCAGCCACAGAGAATGCTTTTGCTGCAATTCGCATTGACGGATCCGTGGTGACGTGGGGAAAGGAGTCTTTTGGTGGTGATTGCAGCGCAGTCCAGGAGCAGCTGAAGAATGTAGTCGAGATCCAAGCCACTTGCACCAGCTTTGCTGCCATCCTTTCTGATAGATCTTGTGTCACATGGGGCAATGCTTCTTGGGGCGGCTGCAGCAGTTTGGTGAAGGATGAGCTGAAGGGTGTGCGGCAGATCCAAGCTTCCGAGCTTGCATTTGCAGCCATCCTTGACGATGGATCCTTGGTGTCATGGGGTCACAATGAGTGTGGCGGCGACAGCAGTGCTGTGCAGGACCGTTTGAAGAATGTGCAGCGGATCCAAGCAAATAGGGAGGCTTTTGCAGCGATTCTTGGCGATGGTTCTGTTGTAACCTGGGGTAATGCTCAGTGTGGTGGTAACAGCAGTTCCGTGCAGCTCTCGAACGTTGCTCACGTCCAGAGCACTTATTGGGCCTTCGCTGCCATTTTGGCCGACGGCTCCGTCGTGACCTGGGGTTCTGATGATCATGGAGGC